AAAATTTGGAAAGGGAGAATTATTTTGTGGGGTTTACTATGTAAGTCGGAATGGAGGTCCACGGTGCGCGGAGTTCTGCTGATTTATGGAAGTAGTATGTATTACCTTGGATTCCCCATTTCGAACATGAAACTTTGTCAGAAGGTTCTGCAACATGCTGATCAACTTCATTCATTTAAAAACCATACACTTCATTAAGGATGTCTTGAATGCGGGAGGGCCCAAACGGTGGATGATGGACAACAAAAGAGCGGACGGCCCACCGCCCGAAGTTGCTCACTTCCAACTTGAAAATTGGTCAGAAGGGTGCTCTCGAAGCATGCTGATCGGCTTTTTTCTAATAAAGACCTCATGCTTCATTTGAAAATTTGGAATGAAGGCGTCAAAGTTTGAAGAACGGAGACATTCGCAGGGTCTGCGATTCATTAATTTACATGTTAGCTGTTCCAGCGTAGCTCAGTCAAATCGGCTCGGATCAAGAAACTTGAATGATGGAAACGCTCGGCTAGAGTAGGAGAATCGTTCACATGAAGTGGATTTTGCAACAACGCTGTTTGTGAAGAAATAGCTGCTAGCAGGCAGTGAGCTATTGCTGAAAAGTATACGTTGACCCTTCCAATCATGCATAATGAGCTGAGTTACACAAAGAGGTCCTTCTGCATCTTTTGCTCTGCCAGGGTCCACCTACTTGACAATGAACGAAGACTACTCTTCATATAGCATCACGCTTACAAACATAAAGGTGCCTGTATCTCCAAGCTTTACAATGAAACGTGGGGTTTTTATTCAAGGCAATGTGCTCGGCTTGGCCAACCGCACCTTGGGTGTCAGTTTCACGTTCATCGTGGCCAATCCCGGATTTCGCAATGTCGCTACCAGCCAAACTGGATCCTGGGGGTCGACCTCTTCGACGACGACGACCAAAAAAATATTTTTTGGGCTAGTTGCGACATTGAACGCGACACTTTCACACAAGGTGCTGTTGGCCAAGCCGAGCCCATTGCTCTAGCCAAAACCCCGCGTTCGTGCCAAGATGCAGACACCTGTAAGCGTGATGCTATATGAAAGTGCTGTTTAATGTAAAGTAGCTACACCCTTGACCCAGAGCAAAAAGCAGAAGGATTTCTTTGGGTAACTCAGCTAAAATCAAGTTTCAGGGACAATGCATGAAAATTACGCAATCCTCACTTTTATGTCATACATTGGCAGCTAATAGCCACTTTGTGCATTCCCAACTTTTGTGCATTCTATTGTAGGTGGACGATGCTCCTGCTCTAGACATTCATTTCCATGATTAAAGTAAAGATTTGATCCGAGCTGATTTTTTTTTTTTTTTTTTTTTTGGGGGGGGCGTTTGGTTGAGGTCCGCTCACACAAGTTACATCGGTTGAGCTACATCGAGCGTGCTTGATGTCCAGAGTGATGTAATCTCTCTTTGACCGCAGCTCAGTCAAATCGGCTCGGATCAACCTACTTGTCATGGGGGAAAATGAATGTCTAGAGCAGGGGCATCGTTTATGCAGTGGATCTCGCAACAATGATGATTGGATAAGTGGCCGTTAGCTAGCAATACATGCCTGTTCCTAGATGCTCCATAAAGTAATTATACGCTGACCTTTTCATTCATGCAAACGTAGCTGTGTTACACAACACGAACCTCTGCATCTTTTGCTCTGTCAGGGTGGCAGCTACTTTACATTAAACAAAGACCACTTCTCATATAGCATCACGCTTACAAACATAAAGGTGCCTGCATCTCCAAACTTACAATGAAACGTGGGGTTTTTATTAGAGCAATGTGCTCGGCTTGGCCAACTGCACCTTGTGTGCAAGTTTTACGTTCATCGTGGCCAATCCCAGATTTCGCAATGTCGCTACCAGCCAAACTGGATCCTGGGGTCAACCTCTTCGACGACGACTGTAATATTTGATGGAAGAAAAGGGACTGAGGTAAAATCCTTTAGGACTCTTTGATATGCTTTATGTAAGAATGAGATAAAAGATTCAAAGATGATGATTTCTAACTGCTTGGAGGATGCCTATTTATACTATTCTATGTTGTTGTTGATGTATCATGTGCTTGTAAGGAACGTTCTAATGTGTGATGGAAACATCTATCCTACGCTTCTATGTATCGTATCCATAAACAAATATCGAATACAACAACGACGACCAAAAAATATTTTGGGCTGTTGCCGACATTGAACGTGAAACTTTCACACAAGGTGCAGTTGGCCAAGCCGAGCCCATTGCTCTATTCAAAACCCAACGTTTCATTGTAAAGTTTGGAGATACAGGCACCTTTATGTTTGTAAGCGTGATGCTATATGAGAAGTGGTCTTTGTTTAATGTAAAGTAGTATGACTATAATAGAGCAAAAGATGCAGAAGGACCTCTTTGGGTAACTCAGCTAAAAAGTCAGGACTTCAGGGACAATGCATGAAAGGTACGCAATCCTCACTTTTATGTCATGCATTGGCAGCTAATAGCCACTTTGTGCATTCCAACTTTTGTGCATTCTATTGTAGGTGGACGATGCTCCTGCTCTAGACATTCATTTCCATGATTAAAGTAGGTTGATCCGAGCTGATTTGGTTGAGTTACGCTCACACAGATTACATCTGTTGAGCTACATCGAGCGTGCTTGATGTCAAGAGTGCTCTAATCTCTCTTTGACCACAGCTCAATCAAAATCAGCTCGAATCAACCTACTTTTAATCATGAATGTCTCGTAGAGAACATCGTTCCATGCAGTGGATCTCGCAACAATGATGATTGGATAAAAAGTGGCCGTTAGCTAGCAATACATGCCACAATTTCCTAGATGATCTATAAAGTAATTATACATTGACCCTTTCATTCATGCAAATGTAGCTGTGTTACACAACACGACCCTCTGCACCTTTTGCTCTGCCGGGGTCCACCTACTTGACAATGAACAAAGACCACTCTATGCCCCATGGCATCACGCTACAAACATAAAATTACTATCCAGTACTACAATGAAACGTGGGGTTTTTTGAATAGGCTGTGTCGGCTTGGCCAACAACCCTTGTGTGAAAAGTTTCACGTTTAATGTCGCAAACAGCAAAAATATTTTTTGGTCGTCGTCGAAAGAGGTTGAGCCCCGGATCCAGTTTGACTGGTAGCGACATTGCGAAATCTGGGATTGGCAAGCTTGATCGTGAAACTGGCACAAGGTGCAGTTGGCCAAGCCGAGCACATTGCTCTAATTAAAACCCCACGTTTCATTGTAAAGTTTGGAGATACAGGCACCTTTATGTTTGTAAGCGTGATGCTATATGAGAAGTGGTCTTTGTTTAATGTAAAGTAGTATGACTACAATAGAGCAAAAGATGCAGAGGGCGTGTTTGTGTAACTTGAGTCATTCAGCACAGGCGATGCATGATTCTTGTACACTATTTAGGAATAGTTCAAAATGCCAGCTAGTATCCTTAGTCCTCCCATTCTCCATTGTTGTCGAATCCAATGCATGTGAACGATTGTACTGCTTCAGCCCAGCATGCCCATCCTTCAACTTTCTTGATCCGAGGGGATTTGAGTGAAAAACGCTCAAACAAAGAAACATCATCCAATATCAGAAGAATCAAATTGGTAAGTTATTTGTAAACTGCCGGCTAATAGCCCATTCCTTCCATTCACCTTTGTTGTCCAATCCAATGCACACGAACGATTGCCCTGCTCCAGCCCATCATCCCCATCCTTCAACTTTCATGATCCGAGAGGATTTGACTGAAAAACGCTCAAACACAGAAGTATCGCCCAATATGAGAAAAATCATTTTGCAAAGTTATTTGTAAACTGCCAGCTAATAGCCCATTCCTCCCATTCACCTTTGTTGTCCAATCCAATGCATACGAACGATTGTCTTGCTCCAGCCTAGCATGCCCATCATTCAACTTTCATGATCCGAGAGGATTTGATTGAACAATGCTCAAACAAAAAAGTATCGTACAACTTCAGAAAGTAGTATTTGATTCCCAGCGCTTCCACTTCCTGCTTCTTCCCTCTTCCTCCCGTTTTCAACTGTTGCCCCATTTAAGTACAACCACACAACTATCTCTTGCGAACGATTGTCCTGCTTCAACTCATCATGTCAAGCCAGCTATTGTCTTGATCCGATTGTCCTTGAATGAATGGCAAGTCCATGGCGTGTGCATCCCACTACGACACCCCCGCTCCTTGACATTACACGTTCTCTTGTACACTCTTCTGCCACAACCAATCGTAACAGCATTCATCCAGCAGTTGCCATTAGCGTGGTCTTTACTCCATTGTCTCAAACAGCATCCTTTACTTGCAGTAACTTGGCTTACAGCCTTCCTTCACGTGGACAGCAGATAGTCATTATATAGAAGCAGCTTTTTTTTTACGTGTAGCAACTTGCTTTAATACATACGAATTCTTGTGGATATGGATATGGATATTGGTTTGGTGCATGGGATGGAAGTGGGTATATGCAAAGTTGAATTAAAGGTTGGGGAGTGTTACTACATTGGTCCCGTAAACCAGGGGGTCTCTCAAAAGAGAAACAATCAAACCTATGAACAATGACCACAAATTTGATCCGCAGGATGCTATTCAGCGTGATAGCACGTCCATCAACTTGGTGGATTTGATGTTGTAAGCAATCGAAGAGTGATACAGAAATCTTAATCAACGCAACTGGTATTGAAAGCAGCGTGATGACTTTCACAGACCGCACGGACCAAGCTATTGTGTTACATCATGATGACCCTTCGCATAAACCAAGATATCCTAATAACAAGTATCCCAAACAAGTGTGTATTATTGGTCTAAAAGACTCGTATTCTATTAATGATACATTGAAATGCGTATATGTGTGTGTGTTGTTGTTGGGTGAGTTGCGGTATATGTGTGAATGTGTAGGAGGGAACTAAATACAATAACGTACAAAAGAGGACAAGATGCAAATAGGAAGAGAAATATAAAGTATGAATGGAGGAGGAGGAATGCGCTTAACGTCTTCCCTTACGCTTCCACCAGCAGAGGCCAATGAAGAGGAGGACGTTGAAAACGAAGAATGCAAAGATAATACCAAGATCACGCCACTTGTTGGCAGCATCCCATTGATAAGTAATCGAGTAGTATTCAGGACCGCTCTTGTAGTTGCAGTAGGCGCATTCGTCGGTGGCATTGTCATCAACAATATAACCGGGTCCTCCGTTGTTCAAGTAATTGGCCATGTATTGACCACAAGTTTGACCGCTGGGGGGAGCGAACTTGATGAGATCACGGTCACTGCACTCGACAGTAATGTGCTCCATTTCGTTGGTGGCCAAACCTTCAATGTAGTAATGGAAAGGATCTAATAAAGAAGTGAATGTAAGTAACAATGTTATCCATACCAAAGATGATGAATCAAAGAAAACTTACCAAGCCAATACATCCAAGCGGACCAAAAGCGGGGCATAGCAGAAGGAGGTTGCATCATACCAGCGAACAAGATAAGCATGGAAATGATCAATGGGTTGATAACAGAGGCCATGACGGGTGATTCAGAGATGGCGGCAATGACGAAACCAAGAGTGACAGCCCAAAAGACGAAACCAACCAACATGATGTAGAAGAAACCACAAGCTTCGGGAGTGTTCATCAAGCCAGCTGTCCAATAGATACCACCCATGAAGCATGCACAATAAAAGATGATGTATGGGATCTCGACAAGGACCGAAGAAATGGCAAATGGCAACCAGCTGTAGAAACGGGATGCATACTCGCGACGGAAATAGAGACGTTCGGTCATAAACTTGGGTTGAGCCAAAATGATAAGGGTGAATGCCATGATAAAAGTGCCGAGCAACACAAAGAGACGGTTTTGTAAATCGGATGAAGTAGTCGACATCTTCCAGAAAGTGAAACCATTGATAAGCGAGGTACACATAATGGTGACAAAACGGCCAATGTTGTAATCGGGAGAACGCCAATAAGCAAGAGTCATACGCTTAAAGACAAGCTTGAATTGAGTAAGGTAATTGGTGGCATAGCTGAGAGACTTGCGTTGAGGGTTTTGATCAGCACTACCATGGATTTGTTCAAGTTCTTCTTGGAGGGCTTGAGCCTCAGGAGACTTTGCCCAAATCTCAGCCCAATCACGTGTAGCCTTGCCAGCGGTACCAGCACCAACGACTTCCAAGATATACTCGGCAGGGTTAGCATCAGGAGAGCACTTGGGACCACCGTTGGATTCAAAGTAATCGATCATAGTAGCAGCATCCTTGCCAATCTCGCCATAGTAAGCGGTCTTACCACCACGCACAAGCAACAACAAGTGATCAAAGTGTTCAAACAAAACAGCCGAAGGTTGATGGATAGTACACAACACGGGCCAACCAGCATCAGCAAGCTTGCGAATGAAACGGACAATGTTGAAAGAGGATTGGGAATCAAGACCAGAAGTGGGCTCATCCAAAAAGAGCAACTTGGGCTTGGCAACCAATTCCATACCGATAGTAAGACGCTTGCGTTCTTCAACAGAGATACCAATACCATGATCGACATCACCAATTTGAGCATCGGCAATATCCTCCATCTCGAGCAATTGAATGATTTGTTCAACGTATTCATCCTTCTCGGCCTTGGGAACATCGGCATCTTGACGCAAATAGGCAGAGAAACGCATTGCTTCACGCACCGTGACAGCGGGCTGGTGGATATCCATTTGCTCACAGTAACCAGTGATACGTTCGAAATCGCTCATCAAGGCTTCATTGTTCAAGTAAATTCTTCCTTCAACCTTGCCAATGGTCTTGCGTTTGGCGAGTACATCCAATAACGTGGTCTTGCCAGCACCAGAAGAACCCATCAATGCAGTCAAATGGCCAGGCTTGACAATACCAGAAATATCATTAAGCAAGTGAAGAGGGCCACCCTTGAAAGGCACCGTATAGTTCACATGTTGCCAGGAGAATGTGGTACCAGTAGAGATAGAATCCATCTTGGAGGTGATCTCAGCTTGGCGGCGGCGACGTTCATCTTCTTCAGCATCAGTACGGGGCTTGGGAGCCTTGCCAGGAGCATAAACCTTGATCAAAGTACCGCCCTTTTCAGGGTGCAAGAATTCCATGGCAAGAGCACAGACGGCAGTGAAAAGCAAAAAGTAGGCGACGACCACAATGAAATCAGGAGCCCACATTTGGGATGGCTCATAGCTAAGCTGTTGCTTGAGATATTCATCACCAAGGACAAAGTTTTGGCCTGGGACACCACCAGTCATAGTGCACACCTTGTGGTTCCAATCATCATAGCCAGGACCATATGGAACAGCATTGCCAGGACCTTCGCAAGAATACACTTGACCCTTCATTTCGTTGATCAAAAGATTCTTGTAACCATATGCCAAGGGGTTCATCCAGTAAATCCAGAAGAGCCAAGGATGCATGGAAGGATAGGGGATGATGTAACCAGTGTATGTAACTATAAGAATGATCATGAGTGATGCTGTACATGATTGCTTTACAATAAAGATGTATACATACCAAGGGCAATAAGAATGACACCAGAGAATTGAGTGGCAAAGAAGAAACTTGAAGTAACGGCACCAAACATACGGAAGCAACCGTTCATCATCATGTTGACGAAGAACAAGGTAACAAAGAACGTAAAGAATGCACCAGCTTCAAGCTTAAGACCCATCATGAAATAGGCGCAAATCTCAAAGAGCAAGACTATCAAAGAAAATAGATGAGTACAATGAAGACAATGACGTTCTCAATCAACGTACCTTGAACAATGGCATAGGGAATATCCATGATGACTTGAGCGACGTAGAAAGCGGATGGTCTGAACATGGCAAAATGCTTTTGCTTTTCAAGAACGGGACGACCCATCATAAAGTTGACCAATTCAGATTGAGAGATGAAAGCATTGAAAAGAACCGAAAAGAAAATGGCACCACCACGCTATTGAAGAAGATGTTAATAAAGAGCATGATTGCATATACAAATGCAACTTACCGAAAAGGCACCGGTACCAGTGAGAGGGATGTTGTAGAAACAAGAAGCGGTAATAAGACCTTGAATGAGAATTGTACCATAACGAGAGATAAGAGCGGGATAATCCTTGATCAAAAGATGATATTGGCGGATAGTGAGGGCACGGACTTGTTGGAAGAAGCTTGAGGTGTAGGGAGCGCTGTTGGGAGCACGCTTTTGATGTTCTTCACGAACAGCTTCCATGAACAATTCGGATGGCTTTTCATTGTTGACTTGAGCCTCAAAGTCGTGAAGATCTTCCATCATACGCTTGTAGACATCGGATTTGTAGTAGACTTGCTCAAATTCGGAAGCATGCTTGGGCACAGTGTTCTCGAAACCAGGCTTGATCTCACGTTCCAAAGGATTACAAAGACCAGTCAAGAAATCAGGAGTCGACTTGCGAGGAGGACAATAGAAACCAAGGTTCTCAAAGTAAGGCTTGGCCTCTTCGGCACGTCCAAAAAAGATAAGATGACCTTCGTCAAGCAACAAGATCTTGTCAAACAAGTCGTAGATGCTGTTGGATGCTTGGTACAAGGTGGCAAAGGTTGTCTTCTTGAAAACGTCGGTCATGATACGCAACGAACGAACGTAATCGAGGGCAGAGGCAGCGTCAAGACCACGAGTGGAGCAATCCTAATAAAAAAACAACATGTAAGAACTCACAATCGCTACAAGAACTGTCGATTTGCGCACCCACCCAGCAGTTTATAGAGCTTTGTGTCGTCATAACTTCTGCAATGGACAGGCGTTTTCTCTCTCCACCAGAGAGACCACGGACAAATGCGTTACCAACAAGAGTGGGCATTTGCTTGGTAAGGCCGAGCATGTTGCCAAGCAAGTAAATGATCTTCTCAACAAAGTCGTTCTTGGTCTCATTAGGAAGACGTGCACCAGGAGTCTTACAACGAAGGGCGAATTGCAGAGTTTGGCGAGTGGTAAGAGTGGGATAATGTTGATCTTCTTCGGCGTTGTAAACAACTTGACCCCGATAGTGCTTTGCAAAAGTCTTGTGATCAATGCCACCATAGCTGACTTCACCACCAATACGAGTGTAGGATGCTCTTTGATTGGACATCAACTTCAAAAAGGATGTACAACCAGCTCCAGGGCGACCAAGAACAAGCAACATTTCACCATCACGCACACAACCATTAAGGCCTTGCAAGATGGTCTTTGTGGTAGACTTGACACCAATACCCAAAAACTTCCAGAATTGAAGGACATTGAGGATACCACTGATGACAGTAGGGATGGTATGAGCATCAGCACCAAGACCCTATTATAACATAGATCTAGATTAGGACACCTGCATATGGATGATGATAATAATAAAAAAGGGATGCTTACCTCAATTGTCAAATCCTTCCAGATTACACCCAAGTGCTTGGGCTTTTGGCCTGCGTTTTGGGAGTCTTGCATCATGCCGTTAAGGAATTGATCGAGGTTGAATTCTTCAACAGCACCAGCTTCGACTTGACCATCAGTGCTAGTGGCCTGTCGGCTAATACGAGATAATTCACGCTTAAGCTCTTCATATTCGGTTTTGGCAGCTGTTGATATTCGAATGATAAATATTAGTCGTAATGTCGAAGATATAGAAAAAAAGCCGTACCATCGACATCTACTGCATTGCCGTCAGCTTCACCAAAGCTGCCCTTGGTGCCAATGGGCTCGAGAATCGTTTCGACCGATCCAGTGACGGATGCAGCGGACGTTTCCTTCTTTGGAACATCCAACTGTATCTTCTCGTGATCCATGTATGTAAAAGAAGGTGTTGAAGATCAGATCAAGATTGGCAAAAAAGGTCAGGGCAAGCTGTCTATTTAAATAAATTTTACGAAACAACTCCACTCTTTCGTTATCATCGCCGCTTTGGCTGGACCAACGGAGATTCCTTATGAGAGCGCGCTCACACGGATGCTTTTCGGCCCGTCTCGCGCCACTTTGCCGATAGCTTCTGCAACAAAAAATCTTTCATATCGCATGCTGTGCCACATGCCATGATCTCCACTTTCTATGGTCCTCATCCTACCATCCCGCGATTTGTCCTACATGCGCACATTCACTCCATATCCAGTCATATTGTCAAATGCTCCCATTGCTGAAAAATTTCCATGACAACCCTTTTCATTTCCTTGACAACGCATGTTGAAAAAACACTACTTGCATTGATATTGGTTCCTTTTACCAATGTCTCCACATGTCGCAACATTTGGGCCGATCTTTGCCTATCCAATAAGAAAACATGGAGCTTCACGGCCCGATACGGATCTTATCCCCGATATCCCTATGCCCAAGGAGCCTAATTTTTCCTCTCCCGGTACACCACCGCTATCTCTCGTGTCTCCTCCTGCTTCGGCCGTTATATTACACACGGCATAATTTCCATATGTGTGTGTGCCTTTATATCCATGGCAACCTTTATAGACTAGAAATTTCCAGTGATAGTAAGAGAACGCATCTGCTGCAAAATATCATCCACTCTTGTATCTTGTCCTTGCTCCATCTCTTGTGAAAATTGTGGGCGTAACGCTTCCAGCTCTTCATATGACTTTTGAGAAAAGAGTAATTCGGTCTTGATGAGTGCTTCAAAAGATGGATCAAGGTATGGCACACGTAAATCAACCACTTTTGGGAGATCGGTTATCAGAATGGTGTTGAGCCCCTCGTACATCTCGCGTGCTAGATCAGCTTCCTGCTCCGCCTAAGATAGGAAAAACAGTTGAATCTCATTACTGCATGCGCAAGGGGGGGTAAACCCAATATCCAACCAATACAATAATGCTGTACTAGCATGATAGTTGCCATTTCATATATCATGCATACATACAACGCCTCCACACCCCCATTTGGTCCTACCTTACCATTGGCAATTTTTGTGGATCTTCACTTGGCCTATCAATTAACTTTCGAACCTTGGATTTTTGAGCGTCATAGTCAAGCTGCTTCTTTTTCCTACGCTTAACAGCTTCATTGATTTCTGGAAAATATGAACACAACCGCGCCAGGGGCTCTAGAACGGTAGTTTGAAATGCCTTATCCTATGCACAATGAGGCTGAGATCAGTATGACATCAAAATACGATATGCTTGTGGAGATGGAAAGCACAATGCGTGCGTGTGTGTGAGCGGGATGAAAATAGTTACCAAATCCGTTTTCGTTTCCTCGTTGAAACGTTCAATGGTCTTTACGTACTCACGACCACCTTGACTCATGACGACCCAATCGTCATAAAACAATCCCAAGGTTTGAGCTATCCTTAACTGTGTTGTTGTCATCGCTTGTTATGGTAACACCAACCACGTTCAAAGTAAAATCATGGATGAACATGTCAGCCGGCTGTTGTAGTACTGGAGGGTCACACTCAACATGCGCATGCACATGCACATACCCCCGCCCTTCGATGTCCCTCCCTTGTGTTACCTCGCATGGCATCCAGAAACGCCTTGGCATTTTTACTAAGCTTTTCACATTTCTTCTCAAGTCTGGTGATGTACAATGATGCCATAGAATGAGTCCGTTGCATAATACTTTTTGATCCGCCTATGCAACCCTTACATTTTGAACCGCTCATACTCATCCGCAAACTCACTATCTTCAGTACGATCCACAGCACCTGTTTTTTGCATCAGCTTTTAAGGTAGATCAATGAGCATGATGATAAGAGACACGACGCTAAACATTGCTGCTTTATGTATCACACTCACCGTGGTGCCCGCTCGATTAAGATTCTTTTTGAAACCATGGCTACGATAAATGTATACATTAGCTTTATGAAAGAATCCATCATGAAAACGCACGTACAGAAAACTCATTTTCCACCAGAGTGCTACGCGTTAGATTCTATTTGTGTTAGGCTGATGGATAAATCCAGCGTAGCAAAACGACGTCTGTACAACACTGTGCGGTGATAAAATGTAAAGAGAAGATCAGCGGAATACAAGCGGCCCGCTCATGTTTATTCTCGGCATGTGTAAAACCCAGGCAAGTGAAACAAGACGGCATCGAAAGATGCCGAATCAAAAGGACATTGCTGCGCCTACACACCACCAATAATGATCCCATCACGATAACAACCCACCCCTACCCTACATTTATACAACAACAATGGCTGCTAGTATAATAATTAAAGTGTATTTTGCAATAGGGATTTGGATAAAATTGATGCATGATTATGCAAACAAGCCAAGGGTCAATGTTACCATAGCTGCATATAAAGCAAATGTGCGAAGGTATGGCTCGGCACCGGAAGTTGTCGAGACCGTGGTGCTGCCTACCGATTGTTGCTGCCCACTTTGGGTGGAAGGACTACCCGATGAGCCGCCGGGCTTTTGTGGGCTATTCGGATCCTGTGCATTTAGCGGCGGAGATGGATTATCAACAGTAGGATAGGCCCAAGATTGCTCCCAATATGGATATGGATCGTTCAAGCATTTATGGATCGGCATGACATCGAATGCTTCTTGAACCTTAGGTAACCATCTCTCCGCCATGGATACGGTTGAATTACTATTCTCGTGTTGCTAGGTGACATAATTTGAGTGGATCAGCCTTGACCACGCTACGTTTTCACTTACCAGAGTAATGTGTCCATGGAGGTTGTCTTCTTTATTTACACGTTTCGAGATCCAGTCTTGAAAATGCTTATCAATGGTTTCAGGAGCAACCTTGCCACGAGCAGGTGTACCATACTAATAAAGACATGATAAATGAAATGCACAAAAGCAACATCACGTGACCTTACCAAATTCCAATCATTCGAATCTTGATCCCAAATGATGGTGCTCATACCCATTTGCCAAACGATGGAACGCACACGATCATCTACATCACCATAAGGAGGTCTCCAGCACTTTGGTGTAATACCCAAAACTTCCTTGATAGCCTTGTGAGTCCAATACATTTCTGCAACGATCTCTTCATTGGTAAGGGTCGTCATTTGCTTGTGTGACCATGTATGAGCACAAATTGTGTGGCCGTCACTGAGCGCACGTTGAGCAGCCTCGGGATAAGTGATCACATTGGAACCGATATCTATACATGGAATGGGGTTAGTGTAAAATGCATAATGGGCAAGCGAATGAAAGTGTCGTACAAAAAAGTGTCGCCTTTTGTTTGCCATGCTCCACCATGTAATTGTAAAACCGAGGTTCTTGCCACTTTTTCTTTTCTTCATCGTGACTCCATATACGTAATGGACCATCGTCGTAGTTCAAGCCCCATTGACCAGGTTGGGGACAAGCGTAAATGTCTTCTGGGATATATGATAACTTTGGTTTTTTGCATGTGCTTGCAGTCCACCAGCAATCGGGATCCGATTTACTATCGTAGCCGGACGTATCCACAATGTAATTCTTGATCTTGCGAGGCTCAATTTGAGGCACTTTTGACCAATCGATATGCTTGAGTGCCTCTTGCACCTCTGGGTGATCGGTTGGCGGTAATTTTAGTGGTTTGGGATACTTGTTGAGATCAATGGGATACGTTCCCTCTTTAAGTGACCCTATCTTGATATCGTCATCTTTGGGATACTGCGTCACGACGGCACCTTGTGTTGGAGTGGGAACGTTGGCGAGCCATGCAGGCGATGTTACTGCAAGTATATTACGATTCTCATTGTCAGCCAAGCCAACCGATGCATGGATAGCTATGGCTGCTAGCGAACACCACAGTACTTTCATGATCAATTAGAAAAAGATATCAAAAGTGGCAAAGAGCTCATCATGTATTTATATGCTCGGATGATTGATTGAGATGTGTTTGTTATATGCAATGAATACACCCGGGTTCACTCGTATTGCTCTCCTCTGTCAATCAAGATCCATTTTATTTGTTTGCATATCATCAACACTTTTTTGTTGCTCGTCGCTGAATAATCGAATCCCCTATCAAAGCTTATCATTCACTTTGTGTGGTTGTTCATGGAATAGTATTATGGTATGGCTCGTGTTGGGTTAGCTTTGTAAGTGAAAAATGGCACACCGCATTATAGAGGATGGGGGTAGGGTTGGGTTGAGAGGAAGCGAAAAGATGACTGTACACAACGAGGAATGGGGTATCCGAAACAACAAGGAGCAAGTACACTTGTTTATTTATTACAAAGGTGTCGCTAATTACAAGGGATGTCAATGCAAGAAGGATAAGGTAGCCAAGGAGACACGTGGTTGACAAGCTTGATTAGTGATGATGAGCTCTTTGTGATGGATCTGACGACTGTTTTTGCCATTCGTATTTGGGAGATAGGACCATATTCGGATTATCCTCATGTTGCATCTAGCTATTTTTACTAGGATGGGGTGGTACGCATTATAAAGAAATGTACATTTCTTATTGGAAGGATGATCGAGAGAGGTGAAAATGACTCCTGGATATATTGTGTGAGGGATTGATTGGATAAGGAAACTGCATCAGATAGTGCATCTTTGGGGCCGCTCGCTGTTGGCTTAATTCACGTCATCAGTGGTGCATCTCATTCTCTTTTACTCTCTCTCTCTCACACACAGACACATCTTTGGTGTGGTTCCTGACCAGCAACTTGCACCTCTTTTTTCTTTGTTCCACCACCTTGTCCCTTTCATTTCAACACTCGCTCACTCTTTCTCTGCTATTGCAGTAACAGCTTCCTCTACTTTATTCCTTCCTTTTACAAAATGTCTGATCACAGAAACTATTCACCTGTGGGTTCTGGCAACGGTGGCGGTTACGGTGGCGATTGGTCAGATGACGAGTATTCTTTACGCAACCATGGACGAGAGAAATTTCGACGAGAAAGAAGTATTGAACGTGATCCTTCGTTTGGTCGAGATGAATTCGATCGCTACGACCGTAAGAAACGACATCGACGCAGCCTTACACCTCCAGATGGTAACGACCCCATCCACAGCTTGCTTTATACACCACGCTGACGCTACTTTTACAGAACGTAGACACATAAAGCGACGTCCTTCACCCCATGGCGATTATGGACGTTCAAGGCATGACAGAGATATGCGTGATCCCTATGACCACCACGATGGCGATCACTACATTCCCAACTATGATCGCGATGGCTATGCACCTGCTCCACGATACAGCAGCTTACCTGAAGCACAAGGATTTGGTTATCCAATGATGGGTAATGGTGAGTCATGAGTGTGTGGATGTGTGTGTGTGTGTGTATGCAAGTGTATCTTACATTGTGTGTATAGAACCCATGGCAATGATAAGTGGTGGTGGTGGGGGCGGATGGCAATCGATGGGAAGGTTTGTATACAGCAAGAGGGATGTGGTGTGATGAATACTGGATTAAAACTTGTTTGTATAAAGGATGCCATCGGTGGATCTCGATCAGTTGGATTATATCGTTTCATTCAAGCAATTCTGTGAACACCTTCGAAGCGTACATTCACGAAGCCACTTTGATGACGACGAGTTACAAAAGCGCTATCAGCATTATAAGGAGAAGGTTCAGGCACGACAACTTGGCAATTTCTTCAACAGCAACAAAGACAAGCAATGGTTCTTGGAAAAGTATCATCCTACAGCATCACGAGATCGTATCGAGGATATGAAACGACGTCGACGAGACAACCAAACGCAATTCTTGGCGGATCTTGAGAAAGGACAATACGATGACATCAATTACGACGCACCAGCCAAGAGCGCTACCAATGATGCAGAGGGCAATGGAGAGGACAACAATGATGCCGCTGATAAGCAAGAGTCAACACCAGCAACCGATGATCAGGAATATGAGAATCAACTTGTCATCAAAACAGTACCACCCACTATTGCACGGCAACGGATTATTGAGGTATAAAAGGTGGAGGTGAATATCACGGATGATAGGTGTCTCATACAACATCTCTTGTAGATGTGCAATGGAGTGGATGGATTTGAATACGTTGTGTTATCAGAGCCAAGCCCCACCAAAAAGTTCCATCGTATCGGCTGGATCCACTTCAAGGAAGGAACTGACATGCAAAAGGCGTTCAATGAGCTCGACAACCAAAAAGTATGCCTTTATTTTATAATCCATTCATGGGACTCATCATGGTATATGATTTAGATTGATGACTTTGTCTTTCATCTTGCCATGAATCCCAAAAAGCAGCAACAAAAACGCACATCCAAGGTCACATTTGACATTGCATCTACACCACGACGCTTGCAAAAGGATCTTGATCAGGCCAAAGAGTTATGTGATGCTCTCGAATTAGAGCTTGGCAACGATTCAAATGGTGTCCAGACCGTGTGTGAGCGTGCCAAACATGTGATTGCCAACAACAAGCCTGAGGATATTGAGGATGAGGAATGGGCATTGAAGAAGGAATTGGATATGGTGCTTGCCTATTTGCGTCACGTGTTCATGTATTGCTACTATTGTTCGCTCGAATGCGATTCACTGGAAGAGATCAACCGTCGATGTGCAGAGCCCCATCAGCGCAAACCACTTGGAACTTCGTCCGATGAAACCACGGATCCTAAACAGGCCGCCAAAAATGAAAAGAGTGGTACGTTGTCGATAATTTTGGCTTGTGTGAGCAGCAGCCGCTGATGCATGAGTTACACAGCCAACCAATGGCTCAAGAACCTGGACCAAAGAATTGGAATGAGAATCCATACACCCGATGACCATGAATTGGAAAGATTAGGTGGCAAGGTTTTGGAAAAGTATGTTTGTGTGTGGATGATGATGCCGTGTATGATTTGAATTGATCAAAAATACATAGGGAGACGGGCGCATTCATCAAGGAACATGTACTCAAAGAACACGAGGCCAAGTTCAAGTGTCGAGTAGGCGATTGTGCCAAGGCTTTCAAGGGTTTGGAGTATGTTGAGAAGCACATTCATGCCAAACATCCTGAAGAGATCAATGCAATCAAGGAAGAGGTGACCTATTACAACAACTATGTATGCGATCCAAGCCATTTACTTCCTGCAAGTACCCATGGAGGCGGTAGTGGTGGAGCTAACAACATGACTGGAATGAACAATGGTGTGCCATTTGGTATGCAATCGTTTGTGATGCCCCCTGGTATGCGACCACCACCAGCTATGCAGGCCGCAGCTCTTGGCACACCTTGGGATCAGATACCCCGTATTGGATTTGACGCTGGATGGGGAGGTCGACGACGTTCCACAAAAGGCATCAATGACAGATTGGGTTCACGAGGGTGAGTGATTAAGATATTGCAATGCTGTTGAAGATAGCTACTAATGCGTCTCCATAGAATGGATTTGGATGAGCCAATGCCACGTGATCCGCGTCAAGTGAAATCGTATGTTGATTTGGATGCTCCTGCAGAAGGAGAGGCCGACATCTCATTCTATTAACTGCACGCATCTCTATTTTACACGAACCATCATTTCACTTTATCCGCAACACCTCTTTCTTTTTTCCCTCTTTGTACCCACTTATTGTAGTTGTTGTTTTCTATTTTGCATTCTTCCATAAAAATACCAAAAGTATTTGGTTCTTTGTTATGGTTTCAAGTTCGCTTATTTTGGTAATGTGAGTGGAAGAGGGGCTACGCAATGAAGACATCTTTGTACCTGTATCATGCAACAAACAACCCTACAATGTCGACTTCGAGGATAAAAGATATAGTCTATTTGCTATTAGTGCATGGGAGCCATATAGCGATACACATCAGCCATGCTTTGAGCAGTTATCAAATCAACGTTCCATGCGCGAGCATCAACAGTGGTATTACTTTGCTTTTTGGGGTTCAAGGGGCTCTTGATCCGTACTATGAGTTTTTCGGCTGGGATAAAAAGTGTTGCCAAACTGCGTCAGGATCGGTCATTCTTGGAATGTCAAGCTGCAATACACCGAGCACACCATAAACGTAATCAACCAGGTCGATCGAAAGAGGAGTGGATGGATGCCCTGAATTATTTCTAATGAAGGATACTAGGTTTTTGAGACCTCGATCAAGTTCCACTTCCCGTAAAGCAGTTGATGTACTTAATAGCAAATTGCTTTAATGACATCGTTTGGATTTGTTCTGCATCTTTCGTACCACAAGAAATTAGAAAAGAGGGTGAGAGTTGGAAAGGATGTTTGTCAACATTGTACCCAAAAAGCAGCACATGACCAAATAACTTTCCTCTTCATGCTTTGATCTACTGGCCGGGATACAACAAAGCATTGCCTACCTACCCAAAGCATACATCATCGTCCATAACGTAGCCCTTATTATACACACACGCCTCATGGTCTCGTTGAAAATCAGTGATTGTATTATTATGGAGATGATTAATGGGGGAGAGAGAGAAAGAGTCTATTAAAGGTGGTAATATTATACTAGCTGTCCATGTTGTTGGTACTATTAATGTTGGCACGGTTGGCGAGATTGATGGCAGAGGATGAGCTGCGTAGGGGTAAACGACCACTTCCATTGTCTGCTGTGGTTGGTGGTGCAAATAAATGAGATGTGTTACTATCACCGCTGTAACGTTTTTTGTTGAGTGCCTTAATGTTGGTAGCACTATGTGAACGTGATGCCGGGCTAAAGAATGCAGGACGCAATGTTGGACTATTGGTAGCACTATGCGAAGGGGAGGACATGTTGATGGCAACGCTATCGCTCAATGCAGATGATGATATGGTTGTAGGTGGTAATAAGAGCTGATCATTAGCCATGTCCATGTTGGGAGTTGTTGCCATGGCAGCGTTGATTGTTGCTGTGGTTGGCATGGCAGGTGTAGGAGGTGATGTTGTGTGGCGTAATAATCGAGATGCCCAAGTACGTAAAGCAAATGTTGAATAAAGTCCTGTAGCGAGTGAACTGGCAATGACGTAAGGGGATGATGATGATGATGATGATCCACTCCCATTGTTTCCACCCAATAAACCATCCCAACGTGACTCATCCATCGATCTTCGTTTTCGTCCTGTGCGTTTGTACAAGCACCAGAAAAAGGCGACAATGCACAGCATAGCCACCAATACTAAGGTGTTGTTGAATGAAGGAGACATGTCACCAAGCAGTTGTTGTGCATTGTCAGGTAATTGCGGTGGATGCTGATGATGATGAGGTAGTTCGCTTGGCAACTCGACACCATCTGCCACTCTTTCGCCATTCCCACCATGTGGCCCCTCGTCATCCGTATCATGATACTTGTTGTCAGTGCCATCCAAAGGAATCTGATTGGTCACGTGCAACACCATCGCACCCAATGTCCATGATACTTGAATGTCGTTGATGGTGTCAATGCTTTGGAAAGGTGGGTTCCAATTCTTCGATTCGATACTTTCCACTGATTGCTTGAAAATGTCTTCGTCATCGACCGCATTGTTGTGAGCAGGGTCATTGATGCGTGGGATACCAATACCATCATGCAAGACATTGACGATCCATGCTGATTTGAAACATTGCATTTGGTGATGAAGGATATCTGATGCATCCACTTGCTTGTGTGTGTCGATCCATTGAGCCCAATCAGTCGCACAATATTCAGTTGACTTTTTCTCGTATTCTGTAAAATCGTAAACGCCACCGAGACCGAGAATGTCATGGGATGAATACCAATACTCTGAAATGCCGACAAACTTGTTCACACTCCAATCAATATGGGGTGTATGGACTCCATTGAATAAACAGGGTTGTGTTGGGCATTCAGCATCCTTGTTGAGTAATGGGGCTGTTGCATCGATACATTCGTTGAATGATCCAGTACCATGGAGCGTGAGAGGAACACTGGTCGAGTGGGTATCAGCCAAAGTGAGATTGTAAGGTAAACAAGGGTCATCAAGATGCAATGTATGGTGTTCATCCATTCGACTCTTTCCATCATTGATTTGTTGTTCATGTGCTTGTCGTACACGTTCTTCCAAGTAACGTCGTCGAGCTTCATTGCTGCCATATCCCAAAAAGGTCGTTACAAAGACGTCATACTCAACTCGACGGCCATCCAATGTATGTAAATAAATGCGGCTGAGATCATCCAAATGTTCTTGTCGTTGATGATGTTCTGGTTCGAATGCAATCTGAGCACTTGCACCACCCATATCCAGGAATCCAAATGTATGATGATTCTCATTCTCCTTCTCTTCTTTTTCAGTGATGGCTTGAATGCTGGTATCAAATCCACCCATCAAGTAATTGACTGCCACCCAACCATAAATGCCTTCCAATTCGCCTGGAATCACTCGGATGTGCTCTCCACAATCAGGAAGATGAAATGGATACTCTTCTCGGATATAGCTGCAAGTGGCATTCAATACAGCATTCCGCTCTTGATCCGGTAAGAGTCGCATGCCAGCTGTTGCCATGAGAAACACGGGTGTCGATGATTGATGTTCAGGTGGTACAACTTCACTTGCAAAGTCCAAGAGCAACTTTAGATGTTCACCCACTTCTTGTGGTCGGCTTCCATACGTGGAAATACCTATACATTATGCTTGTTAATGCATTGCAATCAACCAACCAATCCACTTTATAACTTGCCTGGCTCTTCACGCCTAGTCCATTTAAGACCATGCTCATCACCTCGCTCCACGATAGGAATGCTACCCTTGAGATCATCGGCTGATAATATGGATTTTACATGGTCGTGGTCCTTCCAGGAATACACATAGACTCTCGATCCAGATGACCCAGCGTCAATCACAATGCCATAACGTCGATTGGTCTCCCATGGTTCATTGATTGCAGTGTTGGACACTTGTCGTGGAGCAAGAGCCATCGTTTGCCGTTGATGCCGCATACAATCACGATGGCGTCGTTGTCAATGAAGGTTGTTTGATGGTAGCCAAGGTAAACCAGCGCACACACGCACACACACACACCAAGAGGATAGTTGTTCCTATTTACTTTTATATATAAGATAAAGGATTATCTATGCAACAGCTTCTTTTACCTGTATAAAGGAAGAACAAGTGAGGGACGATTGAATTGCACCTGACCAACCAGAGAGAGAGATTTTTTTATAAAGTGTGCTTGAATGAATGTCGGCAAGACAGCGGAACAAGGACCGTTTCATTCATCCCAACCCAATAATTTAGATCTGGATATAGACGGCCTAGAATCAACAAAGAAATGAGATGGTTTCTTGGCACCTTGTTAAATAAGGATAGCAGCATCTTTATATAATACATAAATGACGATGAAACAGATGAGCAGTGTGTGTGTGAGTGATTCTCCACCTCCCCAGTTTCCCGGATTATTGGTTGCCATGAGCAACAACAACCCCTGTCGACACGTGGCGACCCACCACCCGCCATCCAATCCCAACTCTATTTTACTTTTAATCTTTTTTCTTTTTCGTTGTATTGGCAAGTGCATGTGTGCATGTGTGTGTGTGTGTATACATGGTGGTGGTGGTGATGAATGAAGGCTTGGTTGGTGGTCGGTAATAACGGGAATACAAGCCGATAGCAGCACATTATGGTTGGTGGTATTCTTGATCCCATGACCTATATCGTGGTGACACCTTTTTCGTAAACACCCAAGAGACAATGGTGACACCAACAAAGCTGATCGGGGTCCTTTAAAAAAGAAAGAAGAAGGGGGGATAAAGGGAAGGGGAAAAGAGAGAGAGGGATTTTGGTAAATAGTCATCACGGATGTTAATCGAGTGAAGAGGGTGGAGGACGTGGAGGAGGGGTGAGTGGATAAGGCGGAAAAGTGAACGATGGTGTATTGCCAAAAGTACGTTTTGAAAGTTGATCTATGAAAGCAGATGTGTGAGAGCGCGAAAGATGGATCGGAGACCATTGAAAGCTTAATTCCAAACAGCGTTCCTTACCCATCAAACTTGGAATAGTTGGTAGTGATGATGATGATGGCGATGATGATTCCCATTCTGCTGATGAAGGTGTTGACATGGATGAAGCCAATGGAGGAAGAGCAGATGCTGCTGAGGATGTGGATGACGAAGGTGATAAGGTGAGATTAAGCATGGAACTAGTGAGTGGCTGTGTGCTGCCAACTGAGCTTTGTCGAATCATGGGCGGTGATGATGATGATGATGATGATGATGCTGCTGCTGCGTTATCTCCAAGTGGGGATCCAGGTGGCGACATGCCTAAAATACCCACACACACGCACTATTCAGTCCATTACATCATGCAACATGCCTCCTCCCCACCCCCATTGTCATTTATACATACCTTCATGATGCTTCTTTCGTCCATAGATAGCATTCAATTCTGCTTGTTCCTTGACAGCCACAATACCTTGTACTGAATGACGATGACGTCTTGCAGCTGCACGATGGCTAGTTGTGTTGCTATTTGCAAGTGGGCTATTGGTCGTTGGTGTGAAGGCTGTCATGAGTTTCTCAATGCGGCGTAAGCGATCCTCGATGCGGTCAATGGCCTCATTGTCAGGTGGCAATTGTTGGTGGGAAGCACGTCGACGTCGTTCGGAATTGTTAATGCACTCAATGCCAGCACCAGCACAGAAACCACAAGGACTACCCCCATCGCACTTTGTCTTGCGTCGACGACATGTTTCACAGGCTGAGCCAGAGCTGAGACGACGAGCACTGCTTGTAGTAAACACTGAACGTGGCAGATCGGCTACAACGCTATAGACACAATCAATTTGAGACTCCTTGCAGTGCGCACAAGGGCGCAATCCATTGCATGGGCGCTTTCGACGTCGACATGGTTCACAGGCACGCACTGGCCGTTCCACTTGAAAGTGACGATTTGGATGTGTGCTGTTGGGAGGACTCGCTGGCATGGCACTCTAAATAAGAGCGATGATGTTGATGATGTCGATGAATCACAACAACTGTAAAAGGGAATTTAAAGAAAAAGAAAAAAGAGACGAGCGAGAGAGGAAGAGAGAGAAAGGGAAAAAAAGAGCAAAGAGAGTGAGGGAAAGAAGAAGAATACGGAAGGTAAAAAAAAAAAAAAAGTCAAGCGGCAGTGGATGTGTGCAACCATATCGGGTGTGCCTGGGAGGATTGTGTGGTGTATGTGTGTGTGTGTGTGTGTGGTGTATACAAAAGAACAAAGCATCATCATCATCATCATCGGAAGAAAGCCCCGTTCTTTATCCGCACGCCTTTATAGTAGACAACATTTATCTATTTGTGCTGATCCAAAGATGCTGCAAACAATAAACATCCTGTAACAGAACAGTGCATTTACCTCCCTCCTCGCTTTCGGCTTCTCCGATATATCCGAAGAACGAGTGTAATGGTGGTAACAACTTGCCCTGTCATCTGAACACGCCCTTTCTTTATATCCGCCGTCTTGGAGTTTCACAAGACCTACACCAACCGGATGCATCCGATCTTTCCCACTCTGTTGTTTTTCCCCTTTTCTCTCTTTTTCATATCAGCTCCCGCCTTCTTTACTATTATCTAGGTTTGTCATTTGAGCACTTGATAATAATTATCATTGTACTGCAACATGATACTTCTTCTTCTTCTTGTCTACTTTTACCACCACCACTACTAGCAGTAACCAAATGGTGTAAAGGGACAGTTTATTATGATGGATACGAGACATGTCGTCGTCATGGCATTGACAGTGATACCTGTCACATCATCTTGTATAGAATTAGCGATTGAACAGGGTCATAGAAATGCGCAATCCTTATTTGGCAGGTGTGCTACACGTTGTAAATTGCTTGAATGAGCACAGTGCCAAAGGCAATCGAGTTATATAATTGTTTGTTACTAGCCCTCTTTACGCGTTTCATTTCCTTCTTTTCTGTCCTGCCATTCTTTATACTTGCACAACCAACCCAACACAGCTCTTCCTCCCACGCTACGTTCCTTTATTCTCTCACACTCTCTCATTTTATTAACCATTGCACCTTGGCTCATCCTCTCAGGTAAAATGTGCCTTGAATACAATCTCATGGACGCTGACATGGACCGTTTAGAAGCTGCAATCCCACCACTCTACATTGTAAACAAGCATTTGCATGTCCTATTCGGCATTGTCAGGAAAGCCACTCGACGATAACGCTTGGACTCTACAGCAACGGCAGCAGCAGCAGCAGCACTACTCGACTCTTGGCAGCACCATACCACGCTCTACATCACTCAATGCATCGTCTGGTGCAATATCATCTTCATTGACAAAAAGGGAACTGATGCCGAGCATGAACAACCGAGATGGGATGGCAACAGCAATTGATCATTCATCCACCACATTGGCCGATAAAGCAACATTTCCTCCTACTCGCAAAGCATCCTTGGGGAGAAGTAGAAGCTTAAAGAATGCATTTGAAAAGCTGAGCAGATCACGATCCTCCTCATCCAAACGACAAGCGAGTCAACAAGGTGGTGAACAACAAAATGATTATGGAGGAGTGGGACAACATCATGCAGGGGCAACCATGACCACCAATACGATGACCACTTTGCACGCGACACACGGTTATAGCAACACTTATCAACATGCATCAGATGCTGAGCCTATTATTACTTCAAGTAGTATGGAACCATCCCCATCAGCTGATTCGACTCTCTCCAAAGTAAGCACTTTTGACCCACCAACAGCTATACTCAGCACTTCTCCTCCTCTTACTACTACAACAACAACAACTTCATGGTTGGATACCTATGATCAACCTATGCTTCACTCACTTCAACCAATGCCTCCTATAAGACGCCGCCAATCATCAGCTGATCATATTGATTCTACTATTCAACAACAACAACAACAACATAATCATCCTCATGCAATTCCTCAACAACAGCAACAACAACAACAACGACTACGGCCCAAAGCTAAATCCATGGGTAATCGTACTCGTCAATCATCTGAAAAGAATATCACCACCACCATGGAGAGAAAGTCATTTCAACAGCAGCAGCAGCAGCAGCAGCAGCAGCAGGGCAGCACAACGCCACGCACGCCACGATCAAGATCACGTGTATTGAGATCACCGCCACCGCCACCACCCACAGACACTGATCACAATGCATTGCCGAGTATGCCCAATGTGGATGTACAGCAAATTAGAAATGAGATTGAGCCAGTGAATCAAAGCATTACACCACCCGATCGATCATCATCTCTCAACAAAACAGCAGACCAGCACTTGACGAACAATATCATCAGCAATGTCAAACGCAAGCTTAGTATCGGCAAAGAACGTAAACAAGATCATCATCATCATCAACAACATCAACACGCTGAGCCTGGACGCAAAAGTCTTCCCGCCAACTTTGTATCCAATGATCAACAACAACAACCTCGTAAACGCACCTTGTCGAATGGATCACGCTTGAAAACGGGTACAGCAACAGAGAATGAGCGACAAAGGAAAACATCATCTTCTTCAGGCACAATGGGTTATATGCGTCCAACAATAGCTCATGGACAACGTTCTCGATCCAATGATGTGCTACCACCACCACCACCACCACCTGCTTCAGAAGCTGTGACAACAAATGAACTCGTACCACCAGTACCACCTGTACCAAAGCATCATTCAAGTACACTTTCAGTCGACAAGAACAAATTGACACGGCCATCGCTTGGTAGTCGCACAAGTAGTACTGGAAGTAGTAGAAGCTCATCCCATGGATTATCAGGTGATGAAAGCGCTGCTGCTGCTGCTGCTGCAAAGAGGACTTTGAGACGACAACCAAGTCATGGTTCATCCTTTGGTGATGCTGAGGATAGCGACAATGGCGGCAGTGTACGATCAGCTCGTAGTAGTGCACGTAGCGATGATGACGATAATGCGAGGAAACCTCAACGTACCAGCAAACGATCCACTCTTCAAGTGCCAGGATCAAGGCGTGGTAGTGCTGAAGGAAGCAGTAATCTCACTCGCAAATCAAGCTTGAATCGTGAACAACAATCCAATAGCGGCAAACCTACCAATACTACTATTACTACTCGACGACGTGGCAAGGTAAAATGAAAAAAAAGCAATCCATAAAAATGTATACTTAGCATTCTATAATAGACGTTACCAGGTAGCTTGGCAACACCACCTCCGTTACCATCAGCACCATTGCCACCCATGAAAGTTGAACCCATCAGTATGACTATACCCCAAAACACCACTATACGCAAACGGCCATCAAAGTCACCTCTCAACTCTACTGCTATTACACCCACACGTCTCCCTATGCCACGTTCAAAGTATTCGTATTCAGCAGCATCTACAGCAGCACCTCTTGCGAGTGGACATTTGAGTAGTGAGGAAGAGATTATCCCTGGAGATGGAACACAAAAGACACGTCGTCTCAAACCTGGTAGCCGTCGATCATTGCGCAAGTCTTCTGGATCAACTTCTATATCACCATGGGAACAACAACCAGCATCAGCCAATACGTCTCCAAGGATACGTGCCAAGCATACGAGCAGTAGTATTAGCAATAATACCACAAGTGGTGATGTTGCTGTATCTCCCAAAGTACGACCTCAAACAACACACAGTGGCGGATTAGCACCTCCACCACCTATGCCCAAGGCTCGTGACACATCTGTTGGAGGCCTTGCACGTTCATCTTCTTTGCATGCCGTTACCACCACTACTACGGCCACTACCACTGCACGTCGTAAGAATTCAAGAACGTCCACTGAAATGGATGGATCATCGGATAAAGGTAATGTATAAACATTGTGAATGCCATACAATAGGCTCATTATTGTGGTACAGAATCAGGTCAACGGCCACGCACATTAAGCTTGCATGAAAAGCTGCAGACCATGGTTGCACAACATCCGATCGATGAGGATTACTATTGTGGATACACAAATACGCCAAAGACATCAAGTCAGCAACCACCACCACCAGAGACATTGGATTCTTCAGCACCACAACCACCACCAGGAGGACGATCCGCTAAAAGCCCACACACCATTCTCAAATATCATATCCAGCACTTGTCACATTACGAGCAATCCGAGATTCGCAAGTACAATCACATTTACTTTGTTGGCCCTCATGCACGCAAGATCAAGGCCAATCCCGATACCCCTGCACTCAATTACGGTTATGATGATGATCGTGGCGACTATCATTTGATTATGCAAGATCATTTGGCATATCGATACGAGGTGTTGGAGACATTGGGTCAAGGATCATTTGGTCAAGTCGTGAAATGCCTCGATCACAAGTCTGGTCAAACCGTTGCTGTTAAATTGATTCGCAACAAGAGACGATTTCACGCACAAGCCATGACTGAAATTAGAATCTTGCGCAAGCTGGTGGAATGGGTAAGCTATGATCCCCTCCCCTACGGTAATGACGTTGCTAATACCTTCGTGATAGGATCCAGAAGATCGATACCATAATATCCGTATGACCAACTATTTTTATTTCCGCAATCATTTGTGTGTGGCCTTTGAGTGTCTCAACATGAATTTGTACGAGTTTATCAAGAGCAACAACTTTCATGGATTCAGCTCATCGCTGATTCGGAGGTAAAGGGAACAATGAAATAGTGATCATACTTTTTGCTAATATTCGTTACAGATTCACGATCCAGATCCTCCAATCTCTTTGTCTCCTTTATGAACATCGCATCATTCATTGTGATCTCAAGCCTGAGGTAAACTTTTTTTAAAGTGGGATGAATGGGTCTCCTTTTGCTGATACATTTACTACTAGAACATTTTGCTCAAGCACCCAACCAAAAGTACCATCAAGGTGATTGACTTTGGCAGTAGTTGTCTCGAGACCGAAAGGGGTAAGAGGATAGCACATTGATCAGGGGTGAGGCTATGTAAAAGCTGACATTTTATATATAGTGTATACCTATATCCAAAGCCGGTTCTACCGTGCCCCTGAAGTCATTTTAGGTAAGGCTCTCATTATGACTATGGTGATGCGCGTGTATGTTTATGGAGTACTATTTTAGGGATTGCCTATGGGACACCTATTGACATGTGGAGCTTGGGATGTATCATTGCCGAATTGTATACGGGTATACCCATCTTTCCTGGAGAAAGCGAACAAGATCAGCTAGCATGTATTATGGAGATTATTGGTGTGCCACCTCGATACTTGATTGAACAAAGCAGTCGACGAAAAGTATTCTTTGGTATGTTGCGCCTTGGTTCTCTTGTGGATGTTATTGACAATGGGTGGTGTTGTAGATTCCCAAGGACAGCCACGGCCGTTTATGAACTCACGAGGCAAGATTAGAAGACCAGGCACCAAATCGATACCACAAGCATTGCGATGCCATGATATCCTATTTATCGACTTTATCGAAAAATGTCTTCGATGGGATCCTCGACAGCGGATGCGACCCCATGAAGCACTACGTCACGAATGGATTGCTCAAGTAGCCAGCGGCAGCAGTAATAGCAGTAGCACCAAGAACAAGCATACACGATCCGCTTCTACCAGTAATAGCACTACTACTACTACAGCATCATCCACACTCCACCACCACCCACGTACAAAGCATCACTCTGCCACCACTCACAAAATGAACACGACGACGATTGGATACCAAGATGGTGTTGTCGGCGGGTCAAGGTATTTATTTAAGCAACCAAAAGGGGAGGTAACTTTTTTGCTGATGATTTGCTATAGTCAACCACGGTCTGATATAATCGATCCTTCTCACCGACTCGCAAAAAAAGCATCTGCAGGTGCTCTCGTAGATGATTATTACTATACTACAGCTGGATATTGATCTCAATACACCTCCAAAAATGAACACTGTATATAAAGCAGCATATATCCACCATGTTTGAGAATATAAAAATGTCTCTTTTTTTATTTAAACTCTGGTATGATGAGTAGTACCGAGGGAATAGCTTTAGATTGCTCCTTTTTCAGGCACAGTAGATTTCACCATCCTCATCTTGTTGCTTGTAACCATTGCAGCATGGAGCCAGGACGAGCTTGTGGCCGCTATCAACGCAGCAAAACTTGCCTTCGCCACAAATTTGGCCTTCTGAAGCATCGCATTCATTGTCGGTTTCGCATTGATTAGTCACTGCACCCGTATCGGTATCATCAGTCTCGGTGTCAGCAGCAATGACAACAGTGGTAAAGAGCATAGCACCGAGGAAAAGGCTTGAGATGGAAAGGAACTTCATGATTACTGGAAAGATATGGGGCTGAATGATTTGAATGGGGCTGCCTTTATATATTTTGGATTGACAGGTGGTGGTGGCATTGACAAGCAGCGGATGAAAGGAAATCTCCTAAGGGGTGATTCACGCAAGTTGGCGCAATAGGATCCAACATCCCCTTTTTTTCTTTAGACCCCCACGCCGTGTGGATATGGATTTGAATCTTGTTTCTTTGGTCGAATGATGACTCTAAAGTGTTCATGGCTCATCGTATTGCCAGTTGGCGTATTCTATTCTTTAGACATGCACCCTGCTGTTGTTTTGGCAAACTCACGACCATGAAGGTTGAAGATTTGTAAAAAGGGATGTTTAATAAAGCACATGGTGTTTAGGAGAGTGGCTGACCAATTGCAACTACGCTTATCAAAAGGGCTGATATTCATCACCAAAATGCATGTGGTGGGCCATTGGTGTTAATGGATCAAGTCATTGGTGGGATGAACGTAGGTGTACGATGATACGTAACAAAAGATGAATGCGTAAAGCGCATCATGTATTCGAGGGATGAAGCTTCTCAAATTGCATGTTGGATCTTAAACAAAAGCTGTGATCATGTCATCCATATTAATGCACTCGTACGGTAGTTCCAGAATGGGGCTTCGATAAATGACCGCTGTTCAATGACGCCTAGTCATTGATCGCTGCAACTGAGGCCTACAATCGATGCAGCTTGTTGGTGTGTTATTCCATTAGCAAGGCCATATTGTATTACTGTCACACAGGATTCATGCAATATGCAATTACCATCCCTCTTTGATTCTCTTACCAATATCAAGTGCTACAAGCTGTTTTATTTGTACCTATTTACAGCATGATGCATAATAAAATTCATTGCGCCAACAAATCTATATGGCTTTCAGAAATCACCCCTCCTAAGGCGTTCCTGGTGTGCCTTGTGATGTCGTATAGCAAATTCAAGGTAGCTACTTTATAGAACAAGGTATTGCAGCTAGTTAAAAGCTAAAGATATGATCATCTATAAGGTACCAAGAGTACCAGTGATAAAATTGCTATTAGTCTATTGATAGCGCGCGAGTCAATAAGGCTTTGAAACAATCCTGTATACTTTGATCCATCATTCAATGCTATTTTTGCATACAAACTTACCACAGCAACCACTATACCATGGCAACCACCTTACCGCAGCAACCTGTCAATCTGTTTTCGGAACAATGGAAATCTCAGCGTCCTTTCCACACTTCTTCCATCCTCAAGTGATCATTCATGCACAACCACGTGCTGCTGTCATCTTTGACACCTTTCCATCACATCATCTTCTTACGCTATCCTCATACACCCTTGAACCAGTTGTATCTCTCCACTTTGTATCATTGCTATATTAGAGACTCCTCCACATTGTTTTATCCCCCATCTTTGTATCCATTTTTACCCATGCACCAATGATGTGCATCGTTTCATCTTCATTTCCTTTTTACTTTTTCATGAAACAACTACGCCATCATCCATTGTGCATTACTGCGGCAATCACATGAGGGATCAGGCACACGTTGTTTCCATGCCAACGTTCTACTAAGGATTAGACGTCAAAAGATATATAAACCCCCAGAACAAAATGAATAAACCTTCAGCTTAGCTCACAATTTATCTTAACTGAGTCTCTGTTACGAGTCCTCGCAAGCCAAAAGCGCTGCCAGAGGCACATTTATCTTTGAGTCTTCAACCTGATCCTTATTTTTGCCTACATCAGCCTTCTTATCACCCAACAAACTTGGTGATCCAATCTTCTCAATTCATAGCCCATCTCGGCAACAACCTACACACTCCACCTTTCTTCCTCCCACTTTTTCTTCATCTTGATACTTTTAGACAAAGTATCTGGTGCTCACTATCCAATGTCCTTGTAACCACGTTGTTCACACATTGAGATTATCCAATAAAGACATCCAAACCAAACTCTTATCATACATGTGGTCATGATTTTTAAAGGCCACTCACAAAACCCAACTTTCAAATCCCTATACAAAGCCTTGCCCTTACAGTTGTATAGTAAATTTAAGGTAGCTACTTTATACAACAATGTATTGCAGCTGGTTAAAAGCGGCTAAAGGTATCATCCAAGGGCTGAGTCGAGATGAAGGATGCACATCATGCATGCATGAATATCACTAACCAAGGTCAATTAATCTCTATCCCATTACCAAAGTAGACCATGTTACCTCCAAAAAACGATAGCTTCGTCATCGTCGTCTTGAATAATAAAAAAAAAGCCTTAAAGTCGAAAAAAATTCGGCAAATGACCAAAAATCATAAAAATTTGATCCTTTTTTCGAAGGATCCTTCAAATATCATCGCCCAATAGGGGGCTCGAACCCCTGACATTTCGGTTAAAAGCCGAACGCTCTACCGACTGAGCTAATCGGGCTGCCTGCTTCTTTTTGGTCAATAAACATCATCAACCTAATAATTTCCTAATAGGGAAGGTCATTGAATGAAGAAGAAAAAAGAAAGAGAATGTAGCGGAGCCAATGGGGATTGCGATATTGAAAACGCCATCGTGTTTGGGAGGATCATTCGGGAGCAATTTGAGGAAAAAATAGTTTGGCGGAATGATTAAGTCGGAGTAAGTGGCAGATTGCAGGCCACCAGTGGCATGAATAGGGAACCTTGTTGTGGTTGATTGCTCATATATAGAAAACCTTGGTGTATTATATGTGACAAATGTGTCTCTCCTTTGGAAAGGTTTACTAACAGACAGCAAAGCTTAACAAAGTATCCGATTTATTTGAACAGCGTTCCTAGTTGTAGGCATTCTTTCATTTAAGTATATCCTCTAAACCTTGCTTGTGTATGGTAATGGTGTTTGATACCAATAGGATGTCGACTTCACAAAACCCACTACGTTTACGTGTTAAGCTTCTATTATCTCCATCCCAGGGGAAAAACCATATTCACAGACTTTTATCATAAGTACGACCATATCCAACTTGTTCTTCCAACTTCCATCAGATCCCATTCATCCAAGACACTCGGCATGACAAGCTCGTTCACGAAGATCAAGTTTTATTATCCCCGATATTGCCTAATCGCTGCTTGATCCTTGTTGTGCTCTAGGTCCACCAATATCATGACTTGTCTCGCCATCAAGATACCTCTGTGTAAGAAACACATTGACATGTCCAGCACGCGATACTCGAATCTCTCTCCATGGTGCATTCCACGTGATCGAATATGTAACTGTAGGATCATCTTCTGTCAGAACCTTTTCGAGCCAATCCAGAAATTTATTTGCACGCTGAAGTATCCTAAAATGGTTCTTAGCACATGGACTTGCAATCCCTTATATGAAATCCTTACCCATGCACCGGTACCGTGTCTCACTTTGCGTGGGATTTCCAAAGTCTTGAAAGTCTCCAAATGACTCAATACATCATCGTCGTCTCGAAACCCGCAAATCACCTTGGGAACACCAATCGAAAAGGACTGCGCCCAAAACTCGAGAAGCTTAAAACTGAACAAGGATTAATACGATACCTTGATGATAGCTGCTTTTTGACCTACCGTTCAAAGTTTTCCTTTTGTCTCTGGGTATCCATCCTCCTTGACGTCTTGAGCTCGACGTATTGCCGTAAAAGATTGCCATCCTTTGGTTTCTCGCCTATTAGACATATACCTCAAGTAAGTAACATTGTTATCCACCCATTTAAAATACACGTCTTGCCTTCAATGCAATCCACTTCAGCTCCCATTGCAATTGTGTTTCTGCCAAGCCTCGTTTTCACCGCCACACGGTATTGGACATTGGTATTAGGCACATCATCTGGATCCGGTACCCCCTTTGGTTCGGTTGCCGTGCACATGGATTCAAAGCTGTATCCCCAATAGGACATCAACCTTTGACGTTCTGACATGGTCTGTTCTTGTCGTAACTTTTGCTCGGTTGCTTGCTCTTCCATAAAGATGGTATTCTAATCATGATGTTAAGTGGTTTCGCATATACAATGATAGACAATGGGTGTACCTTGTATCGCGTTGCACGTAGCTCCCAGGGCTCATTGCGAGTGAAAGGAGTACAAAAGATCTTGGTCATGATCCCACGCCATGTGACCTATAAAACCAGCCATTGTCAATAGTAGACCTTCCCCAAGAGATGATGATCCATACGTACAATATCAACATGATCCACATCAGGTGATCCATTCAAACGTGCCGTCGTCAATGTATCCAGCAAAGTATCCAAATGTTCAGCCACGGACTCATCACGCTTGATGAAACGATCGTATCCACAGCTAAGAAAAGGTCTTGATGAAGAGCTTTGGATTGATATAGTATCCCTGGTAAGGGTCGACCTCGTTAACAAGGAGTATAGCGCTGCTCATTTATATACACACTAGTTCTCGTTGATCGAACCACACCCGACGATTGGCATCGATGCTGTATGATTGTATCTCGACAGGCTGCTTGTATTCTGGACATTTGCCGCTATAGCGATGCGATGGGAATACTGGGAATGAATGGGCTGTCGATTGACGCTTTGCAGCTGGTGACAAGTCTGTGCTCGTGGAACAAGGTCGTTTGACATTTAAGTTAAAGAAGGCCACTTCAAGAGGACCATCAAATTCCCCGCTGCATTATCCTCCCTGCCTAAACGCTCTGGATTCCTTGTACGTGATTCACGCGACTGATGTCAGCTTATGATACGCATACAATCAACACACGGCTTGTTTTATGACCAACTTTGTTAATATTATCGCAGCTAGTAGAGTTCATAGGCAGCACATTGTAGACCATTTTAAGCAGCAACACTAGTACTATTGAGCAGGATAGAAAATGATGGTTGAAAGAATGCCATGGTAAAAGTAGCCTTTATTCCGGTGTACCATATGAATTCTTATTGTCTATATACCATGTACTTTTGTTATTGTCCAAATGCGATAAGATGTAGGTGCCCCAGTGGAACCAACATAGGTGCTCTTGATAACTCTGATTTCGGCCCAGGTCTTGAGTAGTTTTAAGAGTCGACTAGGCAACACCAGGTCAGCTTTTTGCACATGGTATGTAGTCCCTTTTTTACTTACTTGGTGTTGTTGAATAGATGTTGCCATACAAGTGGCTCTATTCCTCTTTGCAAATGACCAACATGGCTTTGAAATGTTGTGGATACTCGTGAGACCATCACTCTTGGTGCATCCACTGGAGCGGTACAAACGTCGAAGGGCGAATTGGCATGGGCAAACCACATTTGTTCAAGGTACATTCGGCCAAGCCGTTCATAAGTGAACCATTCATCTTGTGAGAGCCCCAATTCTTCAACAATTGGCGCGCGTAGCACACACCCTGCATATGCGACTGTACGAGCAAAAACAGGAAAGACAACATCTCGAGACTGCTGCAAGATCTCCCAATCATAGATTTCACACAAAGGTTGAAAAAGGCTTCCATCAATGTTTTTAAGCACCTATACAATGATTTCATTTAAGAATACGTGCACAAGAAATGACTTGATGAAATAAATGTTACTTACAACAGCATGAGCGTTGACACTTGTATCATAGTCAAGGTAGTAGCGCCCAGCAGGAGCATTGATATAGAATTGTCCTCCTCTACGTTGGCCTGTTCCATCAGGGTTCAGGTACACAGACATGTTGATCTTTTTACTCTTGTTGACATAAACCAAAGACCTTTCGAACTTTGTAATCGGTCCAATATCAGAGTTCTCTTGCAACAGATTGGCCCTCCTATATGCTTCACGTGATGTATCATTTGGTGTAAATCCTTGGTCCAAACGCTTTTTACGAATACGAGACATCCTTTCCGATATTGATCGTAATACAAGATTCGAATTTTCCTTCCATTCATCCCCGCCAACCCAACCTTCAGGTGCGATACATTGGGTGAGTCCAGAGCGGGTTTGTGTCCTTGTCAATCCCGGTAAAGGTTCTGCATCCTGACTAAAGTGCCCAAGGATTGAATGGTAGATGCTTGCGCCTTCACGTAAACTAGCAAAGAAGGTTCTCCACTCGCTGTTTGGATTTGGGTGGTGTAGATGGGATTGGTAGCCACGCAACCTTCTCACCAAAGGATAGTTGAGTCGTTCCAAAGATCGGCATTGAGCCATACGCTCGTCTGAATTTGGTGCACCTTGAGCATAGCCATAATGACCAACATTTACTTGTACCGACGCACGTCCAGCAATAGTACCAGAGATTGCTGGAAATTCAAAACCAGGCGCAGGATCACCACATAGCATTGCACGTAAAGCAGCCTTCTCTGATCTATCTTTTAGTATGAAAGAAGAAGATTAGTTCAACATGATATGGATAAAAAGATCACACTTACTTTTTACTGTTTCATGGATGATATTCTGCACTTGAATGCTAGCTTGATTAAACACTTGCGTGAACCCGTTTTTATCCTCACGTTTTGACGCCATGTTGATGGCCTTAACGCAAAAAGCCCGTGTACCTTGTTGGACTTGAGCATTAGGATCATTTGCCAACTGCAAACAACAACTTGCAAGCAACAATGTTCTGCACCATGTCAGCAGCATGAAGCGGAGTATCCTTACATCACCACATCCATAGGAGACATAGCCAGGATCCAGGTGAGGAACGACAATGTGCATTTGTGCAGGGTCTTCACCGTCTGGAGCATCCAAAGCAAAGTCCAAATCACCACTGCTTAAAAATGGCTTTCCGGTATTTTCCAAGTACTCATCCAAGCCCAAAGAATAGCTAATTTTATAATAGTGGTTAATGCTATACATGAGAAGGTATACACTATATTAATTGCACTCACCTTCCCCGGTAATTTGAAAATGCTGTTGCATGAGGATCAAAACCAAGGGTGGATACAACAAATGGATTCGCTCGTCGAACGACAGCAGCAGCAGCTTCTTCAAAAGGATCCCTGTTGGCCTGCTCGTTCCGCTCAAAAGGCTGACAGTTGAAAAGATTAAATGATGGAGGAGGTGCAAAGTTATCTCTCACTTGATACGATCCAAGACACGAAGCGATGAGGTCTCGTGTAAGCTGGCCTGCTCTTGATCCATCAAAAAAACCTCGTACCAACGCACCATCTTCCCTTGTAATGTCCCTGGCAAAGATAAGAAGCGGAGTGGAGTTGGTTGCTTGAGACTGACCAGGAGCAGCTTGAGTGCCAAAGAGACGTATGTGCTCGTCACCAATCATACCAGCTCGCTGCACGTCAATTGTTGGTAGCCTTTTTTTGTATAGTTCATAGAACAAAAACTCCATTTCGGTCTTACGTACGGTATCTTGCGCCTGCACGGGGCCAAAGAATACATGTTGAAGTTGCTCCAACCCTTTAGCCAAAACTCGCATCAACAGCTCGTTATCTTCATTTGATGGTTGATAAGAACGGTAGAAGCCACCAGGCTGTGAATTGAGACAAACTGAACGATCAAAGATATGTAACAACACTTGTTCATGCGTATCGAGAAGTGTGTGTTCGCAAGGAAGACGAAGGCTTGGGACCTCATAAACGCTGAACTTCAAAGGGTGATTGGCTGCTTGAGCTGCTTGCATGAAGTTGCCAAGTCGGGTTTGTAGCACAGCATTGGAATCAGTATGCTCTCGCTCAGTTGGAAGAGAAGCGGTTGTACAGCCGATGTACCGCAAGAAAACCATTTGCTCATCCGGCACACCAGCAAGGATATTGTTGTTGATGGCTTGAACAAGGTAAGGATCAGCGTATCTTGCTTCATAGACAATGGCGACTTGTCTCAAAGCAGCAGCCATGAGTTGTGCAGAGCGAACATAGTAACGTGTACCAACAAAAGCTTTATCTTCGTCTGCTGGAATACACCCAAGTGATGTGGCCATGTCTTCATCATTCATATGTGCAGAGTCTTGTGCAAATGTAAGCAACTGGGCAATACGCTGTGCTCCAACTAGATCCCCTTGGGCAATCACTTTCATCAACACCGGCTCTGTGTTGTCGGCGGTGGTTAACATGCTTCTTGTCATTCTTCCGTACACCAGAGCCACCAACTCTTGCCAATTATCTTGTCCTTCACGAATATTGGGCTCTATTTCTTCCATGACGGTATCCCCATTTTCTTCGTACATGCCCTCCATAGAGGCATCGGATTGATAGAATTCTTGAGACATGATGAAATGAAGAGGAATAAGAGTAATATCAGAGAAAGTAGCAAAGATGAGCATGTTCGACGTTCAGCCCTTTATCACCATCGTTCTATTTTGGAGTAACAATGAACTTTGATGGACCTCATTGTTTCTTTGTCTACAGGTTGATAAACAATATAGCAATCCCGAATAGTATACATGTTTACATTTGGATCTGCTATCATGTATTGAGATGATAAATCATGATGACTTGCCAAAGAAGATTGATGCTAGGAAATGATAGTGAATGACAGTGGGGATTTAAACTTGGGGGACAGCAGCTTCACGACTTGAGACAACACTTCTCTTCTTTTTCTCCCACCTTTCCTTTTATCCCAATCACGGCATCTCGATCAAGGTAATGTATTATAAAAAAAGTGCTCTTGTTGGCTGTGAGGTGTTAATGTAGTTCTGAACATGCATTGTCAGGGAGAGTGAGTGTGTCCAAGTGCTGAGGAATGAGCGTGGTTGGTGGTTGGTGGTTGCCATGGCGATATCGTTGCTTCCTCTTGTTCGTTGCTATTCCCGCTCTACGCTTGGTGTCAACAGGTACATTCAGAGTCCAATGTTGCAGCCGAATTGGTTCCATTGACGCGTCAGCTTGTATAGAGGGCAAGTTCGGTTTCAAGACGTTGGCTGGTTTGGCGTTTCGTTTCGGCTCAACTATACTACACCATGGTTTTCGGTTTCCAGTAACCAACAACAACGAGTCTTTGTGTATATGGAAAAGGCAAGTACAATGAAACAAACAATGAAAAGGGTGTTTTATTGTGTGTGTGCTAATAATGAATTGAATAGGTTTCTTTGGTTAGGCAATGCAATTTGAGGCATCATCATCATCTCTTTGGGTTCGAGTCCCAGCCTGTATCAAGTGGCCGCTGCGTCGCTCTGCACTAGCCAAGTGTGCTGGAAAAAGCTCATTGGAACGCGTCCAGGGCTCTATAGGCCTGCGTTTGAGCTGATGGGTCGATGACGATGGGTTGTTGGAAGAGCATGGTCACCGTGTTGAGGTAAAAGGGGATTTGCAACAGCTTGTGAATGTGTTTAACCAACACGCTCTTCTCGTGATAGGCTCGTTCTTTCTCTTGAGGATTTCTTTTCATGAGGTGGGAAAATGATTGGAAGGATTGGGGATCATTCTTTCTTTGGGGAGGATGAATGAGGACAACTATGAGCCTGGACTCTACGTAAGTGATGTCCTTCCTTGCCATGGATCGAACTGGCCTTGCGTGATTCGTGCAGTGCCTTCTCAAGAACAAGGGATCGCCCAACGTTGCTCGTATGGTGGTGATTTGGTTTGTGAATTCCTTCTGATTTGCTTTCTTCCTTCCTTAGAGAGGATCGCCTAACACCAAATCGTCATCATTCCCGGTACCAGATGGTCTAACTTGCCTGCTTTCTTATTTGTAGAGACGACGATTACGATGATTACCGCATTCACAACAATGACGATTACGATGATTACCGCATTCACAACAATGACGATAACGATGATCACCCCATCTACAACAATGACAATGATGACGACAACGAGATTCAAAGGAAGCCTGCAAGATCCCATTTTTTTCAACTCGTATATTTTTGGATGTTGGTGTGACGGATGAGATTGACGACTGATGACGAGTACGAGTAGGAATGATGATGGAGGACGACTACGACGATGGTGGTGGCAATGTACAGCACATAGCAAGATAGCTAGATGAAATAAAGCATTGTTTATTTATTACACGCTTGTTGGAGGTTGCTAGCTTGTGGATTACATACTATTGCTTCGAAGATGGAATAATAAAGGTGGTCCGGTTATCGGTCATGCAAGAAGTACACGGCTTTTGTGATACAATAAGGAGCTTGAGAAGAGAAAAAGCGAAGAGATCCCTCCATTGAGTTTCAGGATGATTGACCCATTCAATATGTATACGTATCTTTTTACATATACAAATTGGTTTATGCAGCTCGACTTTCTCCTACATGCAAATGTGATACATACCTTGACACACCTTCATGGTTGGATGCTGTTTTACTTACGTAACTTCACAAAAGGCAATCATCATCATCATCCATTTGTGTAGCAACCTGTCAAGGACGCGTTTGTGTAACCACTACGTGCGGTTTCACTCAGCTCTTCATCTTCCCCGTTAATGCAGCCGACACCATCCACTAGGAAAAAGCAACTCCATCACGCTTACAGCATAGGTAAAACATAAAGACGCCTGTATCTCAAACTTTACAATGAAACGTGGGGTTTTGAATAGAGCAATGGGCTTGACTTGGCCAACTGCACCTTGTATGAAAGTTTTGCGTTCATCGTGGCCAATCCCAGATTTCGCAATGTCGCCACCAGCCAAACTGGATCCGGGGGTCGACCTCTGCGACGACGACGACCAAAAAACTATTTTTTGGGCTGTTTGCGACATTGAACGCGAAACTTTCACACAAGGTGCTGTTGGCCAAGCCGAGCACATTGCTACAATAAAAACCCCACGTTTGATTGTAAAGTTTGGAGATACAGGCACCTTTATGTTTGTAAGCGTGATGCTATATGAAGAGTGGTCTTTGTTCATTGTCAAGTAGGTGGACCCTGGCAGAGCAAAAGATGCAGAAGGACCTCTTTGGGTAACTCAGTTCATTATGCATGATTGGAAGGGTGAACGTATACTTTTCAGTAATAGCTCAACATTGCCCGCTAACAGCCATTTCTTCACAATCAGCGTTGTTGCAAAATCCACTTCATGTGAACAATTCTCCTGCTCCAGCCGAGCGTTTCCATCATTCAAGTTTCTTGATCCGAGCCGATTTGACTGAGCTACGCTGGAACAGCTAACATGTAAATTAATGAATCGCAGACCCTGCGAATGTCTCCGTCTTTCAAACTTTTGGACGCTCTCATTCCAAATTTTCAAATGAAGCGTGAAGTTTTTATTAGACAAAATTGATCAGCATGCTCGAGAGCACCCTTCTGACCAATTTTCAAGTTGGAGGTAGGCAACTTCGGGGCGGTGGGCCCGTCCTCTCTTTTGTTCACGTCATCCACCATTTGGACCATCCCAATGAAGTGTATGGTTTTTAAATGAATGAAGTTGATCAGCATGTTGCAGCGAACCTTCTGACAAAGTTTCAAGTATGAGATGGGGAATCCCAAGATAATACGTACTATTTCGATAAATCATGAATCTGGGGCTGACCTGCTTTCCGACCTCCATAGTAAATCCCACATTGTACCCTCCCATTCGATTTTCTCAAATGAAACATGAGGTCTTTTTTAGAACATCGTGATCAGCATGCCCAAGAGCATCTTGTGTGAAAGTTTGAGGTGCGAGAGAGGAGCAATCTCAATGTCAAGGATTGATGTACAGTGTTCATGCATTTATACAAGAGGTGTTCGCCCTATTTAATTTCCACTTTTTCCACTCTCAGCTTCTTCCCTTTTCCTCCCACCATTCTCAAGTGTCAGCCCATTCAAGTATACAACTACCACCTGCGAACGATTGTCCTGCTTCAACCCCATCATGTCAACCCTACAAATGTCTTGATCCGATTGTCTTTGACTAAATGGCAAGTACATGGCGTGTACACAGCCTTCTTATTACTCTTCTACAGCACACGAGTCTCTTGATACAACACACGCTCTTGCACACTCTTCTACCACGACCAATCGTAACAGCATTCATTTCAGCAAGTGCTACCAGCAAGGTCTTCACGCCATTGTCTCAAACAGTGTTCACAACTTAGTCGCTCTACTACTACAACACACGCTCTTTTACACGCCTCTGCCACGACCAAACGTAACAGCAATCGCTATTAGCAAGGTTTCGACTGCATTGTGTCAAGTTACTTGCAGCAACTTGTCTCACAGCCTTTTCACGTGCAACAGCAGCTAGCCATTGTATAGAAGCAACTTGATTTATGTACAGCAACTTGCTTTGATACTTACGGATACGAACGGATGATGCCATATCAGCTATCAACTACATCACGATACAACTTCACTTTGTTGAGCAGCGATGGAGAATGACCAAGAGAGGGATTGACCCAAGAGCCGGATTGAAAAGAAAGCATACCAGCAGCAATATTGGACTTGCAATGTTTATGATGGATTGGATGGAATTGAACAAAGGGCTTGTATCTTTGACGAAAGGCGTTTACAGCTATGGATGGTATTGGAATACTCAAGTCAATGCATGCAGCAACTATTTTGCAATCATGGATGAAGGATGATTATGACGGCAGCAATTAAGAATACAAGTGCCCTGGTCCATTTATCATGTTTCCTTGATAGACATCCACATTACCATATGCTTTTATTCAACTTTTTTTTAATCGAATGAAAATTGGATTGACTACTAGCGGATGGATGGTTTATTGATATTGGTTGTGTTAATGATGGAACCCTATGATGGTATAAGTGCGGTATTGTTGCTGCTGCCCGTTGGCATCTTGATAGCTATTTCTGGTGGATACGATATTGGCCCAACGGTTAACAATCTTGATTAAAGAGCTATACAGGTGTATGTCAGTAGGTTGCATGCTATACGTGGTATGCTTTTTTTGCTTACTTGATATTGTTGAGCAAATGACCCTAAACAAGTGGTTCGATGGCTTGTGGATTATGTCCCGCGATGTATGCTTCAAATGTTATCGTTATGCGTGGAATTAGGGCTGGTGCATCTGCTGGCGCAGTACATACGTCGAAAGCATGATGGTCTTGTTGCACCCAACGTTCCCAAAGAATCCACGACCAAAGCGTTCGTAGTTGAACCTCTGATATTCTGGTAACTCCAATTCCTCAATGATGGGTGCGCGTAAAACACGACCGGCGTATGTGACAGTGCGAGCAAAAACAGGGAACACAATCTCTCTTGAATCCTGCAGCAACTTCCAGTCGTAGATCAGCTGCAAAGGTCGAAAAAGGGCTCCATCGACATTCTTCAGCACCTGTATGATAATTACATTAAGACTCAATGTAGTGCAACAACTAGATGATAATGTACCTACCATGGCATGAATGCAGACTCCTGTATCGTAATCAAGGCACGGTGCACCTTGAGCTTGACCAAATCGACAACGTTGGCTGCTACAGATACACTTCCAGCAATGCTACCAGTAATGGCGTCAAATCCATAACCTGGTGCAGGGTCTACTCTAAGCATGGCTCGCAACAAAGACTTCTCTCTTCGATCTATTATGAATAATGAAAGCTTAGTCCAATGTCATAAGAATTAAATGGTTAAATCTTACTTCTTGCTGTTTCATGAATGAGCGCTAGGACTTGAGCGCGTACAAAATTGAAAATCCCAGTAAAACCAGTGTTATCCTCAATTGTTGTAGCCCTTGTCATGGCTGCAACACAAAAAGCTGGTGTGCCTCGTTGGAGTTGAGATTCAGGATCATTCACCAGTTCTAAGCAACAGCTTACGAGCAACAATGTTCGGCACCAAGTTAGCAGCAACAGGCGGAGAATCCTCATATCACCACTGCCGTAAGAAACGTATCCAGGATGCAAGTGGGGGACAACAATGTGCATTTGTGCAGGGTGTTGGTCGTGGTAGAGGAGTGTACAAGAGGATGTGCAGTGTCATGAAACGCGGGTGGTGCTGTAGTGGGGGTGCACACGCCATGGACTTGCCATTCAGTCAAAGACAATCGGATCAAGAGAGTTGTAGGATCGGCATGGAGGATTGAAGTAGAACAATCGTTCGCATGAGGTGATTGTAGTTGAATGGAGCAACGGTTGAGAATGGGAGGAAGAGATGATAAGCTAGGGGTGGAAGACCTGGAAATTAAGTACTTCTTTGTTTGAGCGTTGTTCAATCAAATCCTCTCGGATCATGAAAGTTGAAGGATGGGCATGCTAGGCTGGAGCAAGACAATCGTTCGTATGCATTGGATTGGACAACAAAGGTGAATGGGAGGAATTGGCTATTAGCTGGCAGTTTACAAATAACTTTGCAAAATGATTTTTCTCATATTGGGCGATACTTCTGTGTTTGAGCGTTTTTCAGTCAAATCCCCTCGAATCATGAAAGTTGAAGGATGGGGATGATGGGCTGGAGCGGGACAATCGTTCGTGTGCATTGGATTGGACAACAAAGGTGAATGGAAGGAATGGGCTATTAGCCGGCAGTTTACAAATAACTTACCAATTTGATTCTTCTGATATTGGATGATGTTTCTGTGTTTGAGCATTTTTCAGTCAAATCTCATCGGATCAAGATAAGTTGAAGGATGGGCACGTTGGGCTGGAGCAGGAGGATCGTTCGTATGCATTGGATTGGACAACAATGGAGAATGGGAAGACTAAGGTTATTAGCTGGCATTTTGAACTATTCCTAAATAGTGTACAAGAATCATGCATCGCCTGTGCTGAATGACTCAAGTTACACAAACACGCTCTCTGCATCTTTTGCTCTATTATAGTCATACTACTTTACATTAAACAAAGACCACTTCTCATATAGCATCACGCTTACAAACATAAAGGTGCCTGTATCTCCAAACTTTACAATGAAACGTGGGGTTTTTATTAGAGCAATGGGCTCGGCTTGGCCAACAGCACCTTGTGTGAAAGTTTCACGTTCATCGTGGCCAATCCCGGATTTCGCAATGTCGCTACCAGCCAAACTGGATCCTGGGTTCGACCTCTCTTGGGCTGGTTGCGACATTTGCGAAATCTGGGGTTGCCCATCTTGATCGTGAAACGTGCACACATGATTCCTTTGACCCCGCCGAGCAATTTCGTCCTATTAAAGACCCTACGTTTGATTGTAAAGTTAAGAGCTGCAGGAACCTTTATATCTAACATATGCTGTAAGCGTGATGCTATATGAGAAGTGGTCTTTGTTCATTGTCAAATCGTCTCCACTTTAGCAGTAGCATGATGCAAAGAGGCGTGTTTGTGTAACTCAACCGAGATTCAGGGCCAATAGAATCAACGTTATTGGTCTGCTGTGCATGATGGATGCTTCCCCTATTAGCTGAAAATTGTCATAGGTATGCATGGTAGTTCATTGTACTCGTGCCACATTGTATCACAGCTCACTCTTTCTTGAACATAATGGATCAAGCTTACAAAGAACCAAGCTAAGCTTTTATGCAACGACCAGTATTGTTGGGCATCATCACTCTCAAATTGATTACTTTGCAACAACACCATTCGAGGATTTCCAATGCTTTTCATCTATTAGCATGTGGACAATGGAGCTTTAGCGAATGATACATGCTATGATGCAAATGATCTAATCCCTCTCTCCAACCTTTAAGTTTCTATTCTCCCCCTCCCAAATCCAGAAATCAACAAGTGATCCACATCTTACACATATGAGCTGGAATTATACGCTACTTATGCTGATCCAATATCCATCCAGTGTAGGCATTTATCAAGTAAATAAGGCAGGGTAACAGCATATACAAAAATATGGGTAAAACACATAAAGTCTATGGGTATCATTGTGTCATTGTGTCCTTGATTGCTGCCGTCATAGAGATCTTCATCCAAGGTTCCAAATCAGCTGTTGCTTGATTTCACTCTAGTATCCCATAATCATCCATGATAGTAAACCGCCTTTCGTGAAAGAGCCTTCTTCTGAACAACATCATCCACAGCCGTACCCGCGTAGCATGATCCATTCTTTCTGATGATGACGTGCCAAGTAATCAAAACGGCCATCCAGGACTTCCATCCACTGCGCTTGATTGCATCCATCCATAGTCATTCCAAGGCCAACATGTTGATCAAGGGGCAATGTGATCGCTGCTGATATGCATCCTTTTCCGCCTAGCTAATGGTCAATACCTTGCTTGGTCATTCTTTGTGACAGCCCAATCACGTTGTGATGTATACCATGCATTGCGGGAGTTGCTTGTATTGATGCATACTTGATAATGGATATCAATGGCCGTCAAATATGGTATACTCCACACCAAGCATCACGTCCTATGGTTCACGAACGATCCGCAATATTAGTTATCATTCCTTGATCAACAACCCATCCATACTCTTCTGTACCTTGCTCTGGGTGACTCAAGATACAAATCTCCTGTAGTAGTGTGCTGTTGGATAATGACGCGTGTGTTGGGTGGATGAAGAGGTGATAGCAATGATTATATGACATGGCTGTTGTGTGATGGATAAAGCTGATCAACATGCTGGTGCAATATTACGCAAGAAAGACATCCCCTGGAAGTAGTTGCTCGTTGTCACCAAGCTTGGAAAAGAACCCGAACGCTAGTTTCTTTGCATGTTCGCTGCACGACGCGTAAAGAATGAGGTGCCGCAAGGTGCCATGTACGTGCTGCCATCGTTTGAGAATAAATCGTAGCGAAGAAGTTGCTGTGGATGTCATTGTCCAGTGGAGTGAAATACGAATGAAGAGAAAGAAGAGTAGACGTGAAAGGGATACCCAAATTTTGCTCTGCCCAATAAAAGATGCACGGTAAACAGTTTCCCAAATCCATAGAACGATACTTATTAGCAATGATAACTGCATCCATGAAGATTACAAACGACCCGATCACAAGTAGCTTGCTGAATAGCCCCCATACTATAATAAAAGAGGAGGTCGGTAGGCGTTGTAGAGAACGGATCATCATTTACCAATGATAGCCATGTGCACGAAAACATGTTGGCACCCAATGATAGCTGCATCCATCAAGGATCCAAAAGGTACAAGACAAGTAGCTTGCTGAATAGCCCGCATATTACTATAATAAAAGAGGGGGTTGGTTGGGATTGGAGCCCAAAAACGGATCATCCACTATTTACCAATGAAAGCCATATGAAAAAAAACCTGTCGACATCCAATGATAGCTGCATCAATCAAGAATCCAAAGGGAACAAGACAAGTAGTTCGCTGAATAACCCACATGAAAGAGGGTGTTAGCAGGCGTTGAAAGAAAGAATGGATCACTATTTACCAATAACAGCTTCATCCATGATAATCCCGATGCACCAGAAACATGCAGCTTGCTGAATATCCCACATACTATAATAATAGAAGAAGAGGTTGATTGGGATTGGAGCCAAAACACGGATCATCCACTATTTACCAATGACAGCCATAAGCACGAAAACATGTTGACATTCAATGATAGCTTCATCCATGAAACCCCAAACCAGAAGACAAGTAGCTTGCTGAATAGACCACATACTATAATAAAAGTGGAGGTTAGCAGGGGTTGAAGAAGAGAACGGATCATCATTTACCAATGATAGCCATACGCACGAAAACATGTCGACATCCAATGACAGCTGCATCCATGAAAATCCCAAAGAACCAGAAGACAAGTAGAATGCTGAATAGTCCGCACACTATAATAAAAGAGGATGTTGGTTGGGATTGGAGCCAAAAAACGGATCATCCTCTATTTACCAATGATAGCCATATGCACCAAATCCTGCTGATATCCAAATCAAGCCGATTCTTTGCAATCGTCCGCTTGTTGATAAGGCCCGCTACGGTGGTACTCGGCTTGAAAGCGATGGAACGATACTTTATGGGCATATGCAGTGAGAAGGTTGAGTAATATTGACACCACCAAAGAGAGCATACTTACATGATGCCGAAGAGCCCTTACAAAGGGAGACAACGAAGACAATCCTTGCTGCCCAAGACCACATGCAAATCGAGAAAGCATTGTGCATCGAAAAGCCCAAACCAGATCCTAGCTGCGGAGTGACGTACATATGGCTAAAGAGCAATGTGAATGGCAATCGTTTTTCATTGGAAATCGAATGCAGCTTGACGATGAATGCTTTGAGGAGATGCATAAATGACCTTGGTAACACCAAAGATGTCAACGCGGGCCTCTCATTGCTTGTTGATGACATGATCCAACCATGAGACACGTATAGTTGTAGAGATCCATCAAAGGAGTTGCTGATACAACCCGAACCATCAGAACATGCACCAAAGATAGAAAAGCTGCTCCCTGTTGCTGACACGATCGATCGATAAGAGACCTTTGTTTCAGGAGGACCACCAAATTGCAGGTAATGGGAAGCACCAGGTGATGGGATGAGGGTTGATATGGTACCAAAGATATGCGTGCTGTTGCTAGTTGCTTATACAATCCACTCATAAGAGACGTGCGTTGGATGCCCCTTCAGGCAAATCGCCGGTTGCTTGGTAACGAGCCATTAGAGACGTGATAGAGATTGATGACAACAAACACCAATTGCGGATATGATTCACCTATAAAAGATGCACTATAAACAATTGTCCAAACTCATCCAACAATACTTAGCAATCATCGCTGTGATCTTGTAAACTCCAAAGCACCAAAAGACAAGCAGCTCTCTGCAATGGTCCCTCTAAATAATGGTAGGCGTTTCAGCAAAGTTCTCCAAAAGCACGAGAGTCCTACATACCTGAATCACGCAATCGTCACCCGCAGACTTGGGAACCACATAGGCAATCAGGATGTAAAGTAATGATAAAAGCGCACAGCCAAAGAAACGTCATTGTACCGGCACTCTCCAGTGGATCAACGCGATGAAGTACATCAATAGAGATACCATCTTCTCTCTAAAGGCAAGGAGATCAATAGCCGTAAAACGATGGAGCCGTGCGAACAGAGGATGCATTTTTAAATCCCTGAGGCCGCAACATGAGTCGCACTGTCCCCGGGCACAACATGTAGAGCTCCACAGGAAAGTGTAGTACAATGACGTCCTTGACGTGCAGCCGTGATAATGATAATATCGCCGAAAGAGGATCTGCCACCGTGTGTTGTTTGGTAAGCACACTTGAAGGGACAAACTCAATAATGAACACTCTTACCTTGTGGTATTTCTCAATAGCACCATTGCCTCAAATAAAGCCGTATCTCCATGTCATTCATATTAATGTTCTTGTTGCTGTTTCGTCTCCGCAAGTCTCGTTAATTCACAGGTTTCGCTTTTGTAGATCCAATACCACGCATACTAGTTGAGCCAACCATACAGCATCTCGCTTCTAGATCCGTATCCTGTTGCTGCCAGAGGTAACATCATCCAACATGTTCAACCTACCATAAACGCAAATGTGAGATAATGCTAAAACCAATCCACACGCTTTGTTGCCTACACCTAAAAGAGGCAATGTGAAGACCTTGTGGTATTCCTCAATAGCATCAATGCCTCAAATAAAGCCGTATCTCCATGTCATCCATATTGTCTTGCTGCTGTTTCACTGTAAGTCTCGTTAATTAACAGGTTTCGCTTTGTAGATCCAATACCACGCATACCATTGAGCCAACGTACAGCGTTCTTGCTTTGAGATCCGTATCTTGTTGCTGCCAGAGGCATCATCATCCAACATGTTCAACCTACCATAAAAGCAATGTAAGATAACAAGGATAGCATTCGCTTTTCATGTCGACATACCCAAAGTAACACTGTGTTGGGACCTCTCCTTGATGGCAACCATGAAAAGAATACACAGGACACACGATGCCCCCTTTGGATCTTGTATAAACGAGAGAACAGCAAACTACACGTGAACTTTAGTACCTCAATGTCCAACTTGAATAATAAAGTAATGCAGCGATTGAACGTACATGTTGTATTGCAATGGAAGCTTGAGTCATGGGCAGATCGCGCGTGTACTTGTTGTTGAATGTCTGCAACTGGAATGTGTCGCCATTGACCACATGTTCACCCAATGAATGCTGTACATTGGAAGGAATGCCAGCAATTAACGCGTTGTAGTTTGTAAATGGAGACAAGCTTACCTTTTTTGTGAAGTGGAAGTGAAGAAGAGTGGTCTCTTTGTTCCTCCTGTTCGCTCCAATTCGTGCACTCCATGCCACCCCGCTTGCTACAGCTATTACTGTTTATACGTAACCCCCCACAATACCCTATATTCTTAGCTCAATAAGAATGATCACTACTCAAGACTTCAATTGAGAACAGCCCTCGTAATTAAGCTATTAGGTCTGTGCGCATTACATCAATCCATGAGTTATTATGCAACTTCACCCCTGAACAAACTTGTGTAACCTACTGTGTAACCCCTACCAAACATGATATCTCGCTTTCCACCCTTCAATTTGTTGTCCCCTTTTCAATGCAGAAAACAACCAAGTGATCCATCCCTTGCACATCTGAGCTAATAGTAGGATACCCAAAGTATTATGTTGGATCCAATTTTCATTTAATAAAAAGTCGAAGAACAGGTAGACACGGTATTGTGGATGTTTATCAAGTAGATACAAGATATATAAGGGAAAAATATATCCAAATTGAATAGGCTATGGGCGAAGCACAGTATATAGTCACCAGGGATAATTGCGTCATCCTTTTCTTGATTGCTGTCGCCATGATCACCTTTCATCCATGGTTGCAAAGTAGGTGCTGTATGCTTTGGCTCCAGTATCCCAATATCATCCATTGCTGTGAAACACCTCCTTTCGTCAAAGATATAAGCCCTTTTCTCAATTCCATCCAATCCATCACCATCCTCAGCCGTATTCATGTGACACGATCGATCGTTCCTGCTGATGACGCGCCAAGTAACCAAAGCAACATTCCAGGACTTCTCATCATTGCACTTGATCGCATCCTTCCATCCATAACCATTGCAAACTAATATCGCTGCTGATGCGCTCCATTTCCCATCGATCCTTGGTCCCTCTCTTCTTGAGTCACTTTCCATCGCAGCTCAACCAGTTGAAGACTCCTTGTATTGTGGCGTAGTTGATGGCTGATAGTGCGTCATTCAAACTAGACATCACGTTCTAAATGGGCCAAGCGAACCAAACCTGTCAATGGATCCACCTCCTTCCATCACATGTACCAAAGCATTGCATCATTCTGATCCATATCCATTGTAATTCGTATGTATTGAAGCAAGTTGCTACAGTAAATAAAGCTGTTTCTATACAATGGCTATCTGCTGTTCACGTGAAAAGACTGTAAGACGCGTTGCTGCAAGTAAAGAACGCTGTGGGATACGATAGAGTAAAGAGCTTGTTAATAGCAACTGGTGCATTGAATACTGTTACATTGGATTGCGGCAGGGAAGCGCGTCAGAGCGTGTGTTGTAGAAGAGTGACAACAAGGCTGTGTACACGCCATGGGGTTGCTATTCATTCAATGTTTTTCGGATCAAGGCAGTTGTTGGAGCGACATGGTAGGTTGAAGCAGGACAATAGTTCGCATGGTGGTAGTTGTACTTGAATGGGGCAGCAGTTGAGAATGGGAGGAAGAGACATGAGGCTGGGAGTGGAAGACCTGGAAATTAAGTAGATTTTTTTCAAGTTAGATGATACTTCTTTGTTTGAGCGTTGTTCAATCAAATCCTCTCGGATCATGAAGTTGCAGGATGGGCATGTTGGGCTGGAGCAAGACAATCTTTCGTATGCATTGGATTGGACAACAAAGGTGATTGGGAGGAATGGGCTATTAGCCGGCAGTTTACAAATAACTTTGCAAAATGATGTTTGTGAAATTGGATGATGTTCTGTGTTTGAGCGTTTTTCAGTCAAATCTCATCGGATCAAGAAAGTTGAATGATGGGCATGCTGGGCTGGAGCAGGACAATCGTTCGTATGCATTGGATTGGACAACAATGGAGAATGGGAGGACTAGGTTATTAGCTGGCATTTTGAACTATTTCTAAATAGTGTACAAGAATCATGCATCGCCTGTGCTGAATGACTCAAGTTACACAAACACGCCCTCTGCATCTTTTGCTCTATTATAGTCATACTACTTTACATTAAACAAAGACCACTTCTCATATAGCATCACGCTTACAAACATAAAGGTGCCTGTATCTCCCAACTTTACAATGAAACGTGTGGTTTTGAATAGAGCAATGTGCTCGGCTTGACCAACTGTACCTTGGGTGCCAGTTTCACGATCGAGCTTGCCAATCCCAGATTTCGCAAAGTCGCCACCAGCCAAACTAGATCTGGGGGTCGACCTCTTCGACGACGACCAAAAAATATTTTTTGGGCTGTTTGCGACATTGAACGCGAAACTTTCACACAAGGTGCTGTCGGCCAAGCCGAGCCCATTGCTCTATTCAAAACCCCACGTTTCATTGCGAAATTTTGAGATATGACTGTCTTTATGTTTTCACTATGCTGTAAGCGTGATGGAGTTGCTTTTTCCTAGTGGATGGTGTCGGCTGCATTAACGGAAAGATGAAGAGCTGAGTGGAACGGTGAAATAAAGGAAACGGAACGTGCCCAGCAGCAAGGCCTGAATGTGTATACCCTGCCATATGAGTCGAGGTGTCCATGTACAAAGTCATCTATCTACTATCAAGCACCCTTTGGTGCACAACTGCTATTAGGGATGACTCGAAAGGTCTCAACAAATACACACGTAAAGAGATACAATGACGGGAAAGATATGATATGGAACAGGGGAGGAAACAGAGATGATGTATGATAGGATTGCACAATGATGGGAAATAGAATGGGAATATGGGTATATACTCCTTCGAATAGAAACACACACACTAGCCGGCAAGGCACACACAAAGGCACACACAAAACTTGGGAAGATCACTCTTGGTTCTTTATTTGATGTGGGGTTATTTATATACTTTGGATAAAATTGCACTACATGGAAAGATTGTTTTACTGATATTATGCATGGTTTGTGGGATGTTGGGGTGAGGTCTCGGATGCCGGTCTTTTCATTTTGGGCTGCTTCATCACATGCTGGGCTGTCATCCTTCACTACAACGGCACGTGGTGGTTACACAAACGCGTCCTTGACAGGTTGCTACACAAATGGATGGTGATGATGATTGCCTTTTGTGAAGATACGTAAGTAAAACAGCATCCAGTAATGAAGGTGTGTCAAGGTATGTATCACGTTTGCATGCAGGAGAAGGTGGAGCTGCATAAACCAATTTGTATATGTAAAAAGATACGTATACATATTGAATGAGTCACTCATCCTGAAACCCAATGGAGGGATCTCTTCACTTTTTCTCTTCTCGAGCTCATCCCACTTCCCACTCCTCCTTATTATATTACAAAAGCCATGTACTTCTTGCATGACCGATAACCGGACCACCTTTATTATTCCATCTTCGAAGCAATAGTATGTAATCCACAAGCTAGCAACCTCCAACAAGCGTGTAATAAATAAACAATGCTTTATTTCATCTAGCTATCTTGCTATGTGCTGTACATTGCCACCACCATCGTCGTAGTCGTCCTCCGTCATCATTACTACTCGTACTCGTCATCAGTCGTCAATCTCATCCGTCACACCAACATCCAAAAATACACGAGTTAAAAAGAATGGGATCTTGTAGGCTTCCTTTGAATCTCGTTGTCGTCATCATTGTCATTGTTGTAGATGGGGTGATCATCGTAATCGTCATTGTTGTGGATGGGGTGATCATCGTAATCGTCATTGTTGTGAATGCGGTAATCATCGTAATCGTCGTCTCTACAAATAAGAAAGCAGGCAAGTTAGACCATCTGGTACCGGGAATGATGACGATTTGGTATACCGTTAGGCGATCCTCTCTAAGGAAGAAAGCAAATCAGAAGGAATTCACAAACCAAATCACCACCATACGAGCAACGTTGGGCGATCCCTTGTTCTTGAGAAGGCACTGCACGAATCACGCAAGGCCAGTTCGATCCATGGCAAGGAAGGACTCACTTACGTAGAGTCCAGGCTCATAGTTGTCCTCATTCATCCTCCCCAAAGAAAGAATGATCTCCAATCCTTCCAATCATTTTCCCACCTCATGAAAAGAAATCCTCAAGAGAAAGAACGAGCCTATCACGAGAAGAGCGTGTTGGTTAAACACATTCACAAGCTGTTGCAAATCCCCTTTTACCTCAACACGGCGACCATGCTCTTCCAACAACCCATCGTCATCGACCCATCAGCTCATACGCAGGCCTATAGAGCCCTGGACACGTTCCAATAAGCTTTTTCCAGCACACTTGGCTAGTGCAGAGCGACGCAGCGGCCACTTGATACAGGCTGGGACTCGAACCCCAAGAGATGATGATGATGCCTCAAATTGCATTGCCTGACCAAAGAAACCTATTCAATTCATTATTAGCACACACACAATAAAACACCCTTTTCATTGTTTGTTTCATTGTACTTGCCTTTTCCATATACACAAAGACTCGTTGTTGTTGGTTACTGGAAACCGAAAACCATAGTGTAGTATAGTTCAGCCGAAACAAAACGCCAAACCAGCCAACGTCTTGAAACCAAACTTGCCCTCTATACAAGCTGACGCGTCAATGGTAACCAAGTCGGCTGCAACATTGGACTCTGAATGTACCTGTTGACACCAAGCGTAGAGCGGGAATAGCAACGAACAAGAGGAAGCAACGATATCGCCATGGCAACCACCAACCACCAACCACGCTCATTCCTCAGCACTTGGACACACTCACTCTCCCTGACAATGCATGTTCAGAACTACATTAACACCTCACAGCCAACAAGATCACTCTTTGATAACACATTACCTTGATCGAGATGTCGTGAAAGGAATAAGGAAAGGTGGGAGAAAAAGAAGAGAAGCGTTGTCTCAAGTTGTGGAGCTGCTGTCCCCCAAGTTTAAATTCCCCTACTGCTATTACACTGAGGCCACTCAATTATCCTATACACACACTATCCACCCATCATCATCCTCGTAATAGACAATAGATACACGTGAATGAAGCGAATGATCCCCACGTATAGCAAAAGGGTGTGTGCCATTTTACACTTTACATGATAATGATGATCCAACAACAGCCATTACCTTACTACCAAGGTTAGCTCGAATCAAGGAAGTTGAAGGATGAACATGCTGGGCTGGCGCAAGACAATCGTTCACATGCATTGTTTTGGACAACAAAGGTGAATGGGAGGAATGGGCTATTAGCTGGCAGTTTACAAATAACTTTGCAAAATGATTTTTCTCATATTGGGCGATACTTCTGTGTTTGAGCGTTTTTCAGTCAAATCCTCTCGGATCATGAAAGTTGAAGGATGGGGATGATGGGCTGGAGCAGGATAATGAGGATGGTTGTGGTGTTTCGGGGTTGCAGTGAATACCACATTAACGGTTATAGCAAGCTGTTCGGGGGTGTGTATAAAGAATCAAAGAAAAAGACACGTAGTTATCGTGGATGACACAGAAGATCGAAGCACTTTTGGCAGAGTTATTGCATATTGGCCAATGTGGAAACTTGCTTCTTTGATGAAGAAGGAATCAAATTTATTTATGCTGCACATGCATTCAATGCGCTTGCGTTGATGACAACGTTGGTCATGAAGTAAGACGTGTGTTGGCTGTGTGCTTACCATTAGTACGTAGCTGGCGTTAGTCACGTGAATGAGGTACAAAGGGTCCATAATGCGGCGGGGAATTTGGCTGTCCTCTACAAGTGCCCTTTCTTTAACTTAAAATGTCAAAACGACCTTGTTCCACGAGCACAGACTTGTCACCAGCTGCAAAGCGTCAATCGACAGCCCATTCGTTCCCAGTATTCCCATCGCATCGTTATAGCGGCAAATGTCCAGAATACAAGCAGCCTGTCGAGATACAATCATACAGCATCGATGCCAATCGTCGGGTGTGGTTCGATCAACGAGAACTAGTGTGTATATAAATGAGCAACACTATACCCCTTGTTAACGAGGTCGACCCTTACCAGAAATACTATATCGAGCCAAAGCTATCTTCACCAGGACCTTGTCTTAGCCGTGGATATGATCGTTTCATCAAGCGTGATGAGTCCGTGCCTGAACATTTGGATACTTTGCTGGATACATTGACGACGGCACGTTTGAATGGATCACCCGATGTGGATCATGTTGATATTGTACGTATGGATCATCTTCTCTTGGGGGAGATCTACTATTGACAATGACTGGTTTTATAGGTCACATGGCGTGGGATCATGACCAAGATCTTTTGTACTCCTTTCACTCGCAACGAACCCTGGGAGCTACGTGCAACGCGATACAAGGTACACAAATTGTCTATCATTGTATATGCATAAGCACTTAACAACATGATTAGAATACCATCTTTATGGAAGAGCAAGCAACCGAGCAAAAGCTACGACAAGAACAGACCATGTCAGAACGTCAAAGGTTGATGTCCTATTGGGGATACAGCTTTGAATCCATGTGCACGGCAACCGAACCAAAGGGGGTACCGGATCCAGATGATGTGCCTAATACCAATGTCCAATATTGTGTGGCGGTGAAAACGAGGCTTGGCAGAAACACAATTGCAATGGGAGCTGAAGTGGATTGCATTGAAGGCAAGACGCGTATTTTAAATGGGTGGATAACAATGTTACTTACTTGAGGTATATGTCTAATAGGCGAGAAACCAAAGGATGGCAATCTTTTACGGCAATACGTCGAGCTCAAGACGTCAAGGAGGATGGATACCCAGAGACAAAAGGAAAACTTTGAACGGTAGGTCAAAAAGCAGCTATCATCAAGGTATCGTATTAATCCTTGTTCAGTTTTAAGCTTCTCAAGTTTTGGGCGCAGTCATTTTTGATTGGTGTTCCCAAGGTGATTTGCGGGTTTCGAGACGACGATGGTGTATTGAGTCATTTGGAGACTTTCAAAACATTGGAAATCCCACGCAAAGTGAGACATGGCACAGGTGCATGGGTAAGGATTTCATATAAGGGATTGCAGGTCCATGTGCTAAGAACCATTATAGGATGCTTCAGCGTGCATGAATTTTGCAAATGAATTTCTGGATTGGCTCAAAAAGGTTGTGACAGAAGATGATCCTACAGTTACATATTCGATCACGTGGAATGCACCATGGAGAGAGATTCGAGTATCGCGTGCTGGACATGTCAATGTGTTTCTTACACAGAGGTATCTTGATGGCGAGACAAGTCATGATATTGGTGGCCCTAGAGCACAACAAGGATCAAGCAGCAATTAGACAATGTTGGTGATAATAAAACTTGATCTTCATGAAGAGCTGGTCATGTTGGATGTTTTGGATGAATGGGATTTGAGGAAAGAAGAGAGCGATGTTGACGTACACGAGTTGGATAGTTATTGGTTACGGTTGCGAATGTGTTAACCCCTAAGCGTAGTTGGCTTTGCAAAGTCGGTACCCGTTTGGCATCGAAAATCGTTATCATTTACAAGCAAGGTTTAGATGATAAATGGTTGTGGGTAGGGAAAAGGAGTGCTTAAATGAAAGAATGATACATCTAGAAACGTTGCTCAAATAAATCAGATACTTTGATAAGCTTTGTTGGTGTCTGTTGGTAAATCCATTGCAAAGGAGGAGAGACATCTAATACACCAAGGTTTCCTCCTTGTCTTCCAAGTACGAGGTCTTTTTGTACAAGAGATGACCACCACCCATTCAAATACCACGTATCCATATACACATCAACAAAGGAAACAAAGGTACAAGTGGTGGACTGCATTATCCAAATAGCGGGATGAATTGAATGAGCGCAATTTATTGAGCATGGTTGCCATTGCCTGATATGGATTGCTTCTTTTTTTCCCTTTCTCCTCCAAGGTTTCTCGACACTTTACACCATGTCTGCCATATCCCAAGCTGAAAGAGCAAAATATGCCGAGATTTTTCAAGCACGCGGTCAGGTCAATGGTTATATGCCTGGTACGTTATTCTTTGTTTCAACGACTTTACGAGATGACGCCTTACCTTTGTATTCCTGCAACCATCAGGGTCCACTGCTCGCGATGTGCTTCTTAGTTCCAATCTCCCTCCTCATCGACTTGAACGCATCTGGTAAGCTATGGAATGCTTTGAATGGCTAGCAAAAGTAGGCTTACGTTGAGACGACAAACAAAGGGATCTTGCCGACATTGACAAGGATGGCAGCCTTGATTTCGAAGAGTTCTGTATCGCCATGCACCTTACCTTTGATTGCATTAATGGTGTCGAACCACCCATGAGCTTGCCTCCCAACATGGTGCCAGCCAACAAGGGTCATCTCGTTGCCAGTGTACAGCAACCACAGCCTACAGGTGTCTATCCCCAGGCGACGGGTATCCAGCAACCACAGCCCACTGGTATTCAACCCCAAGCTACAGGCTATCAAGGTTCGCCAGCACCTGTTGCACCCCAAGCAACTGGATACTATCAACAACAACAACAATACACGCCATCACCACAAATGCCTCAATACACTGGATACACACAAGCATCATCGCCTGCTGTCGAGTTTAGTTGGGACATGTCATCCGACGACATGATTGCATACCAAAACATTTACGCCAAATACGCAAACGATAGTGGAAGAGTTCGATGTGAGTATTACAAACACTGTTGAAAAGGAGAAGGGACAGTAGCCAATTGATGTGAATCACCCTAGTTGGCCAGATGGAGGATTTTTATTCAACCTTGGGATTGTCGCGTACTGATCTATCAGCTGCATGGTGAGTGTCTCTTTTGCATATGTGTACGTTGGATCAACAGATGACTTGAACGATTATATATATGTCTATGATAGGACACTTGTCAATGTCAATCATTCTCAATCGCTTACTCAGGATCAATGCCTTACATTTTTCCATCTTCTCAACCAACGAACAAAAGGTGCACCCATGCCCAAAGAATTGCCACCCGATTTGCATGATGCCTTTGCTGGTGAATATGCTGCTGATCTTGGTGAGCGTCCCGGTGCTGGCACAGGTGCACGCAAGGGCAACAATACCCCAATGTCCAAGAGTGCTCAATTGGCAGATAGCTATGTCAACCGATTAGGTGCGGCAAGTACATCTCTCACATCCAAAGGTACATGTCTCTCTTTTGGTAAAGTGGATTATTGTAATAACATGTATGGGAATTAGGTTCATCTGTCAAGGGCAACAAATATGATGAGGAGGACATGTTGAAGCGTGAATTGGCTGATCTCAAAGAACAAGTCAAGCAAGCTGAACGTCGTGCTGCTACAGCTGCACCCAAAGATGATGACTCTTATGAATCATTTTCTTCTCGTCCATTGCGTGATCAATTCCAAGCTCTATACGATTACAAGCTACGACAGTTGACAGAACAAGCCGATGTGGATGATAAAATACGTAAACAGGAACGTGACATTGAAGCTGCCAGGGATGCCGTGCGTCGACTGAACAGGATCGTGGATGATGTACGAAGCAAGAAACGAGAATTAGAAACCCTTTTGGATGAACGACGTGCTGAAGTACAAAAGACACTGCGCCTCTTGAATGAGGAAAAGGCATGAGATCATCATATAAAATCCATTTTTTTACAAAGTTTATATATATAATACGTGTGTGTATACAAATGCAGAAAGGGGTGAATGATGGGATATACATAAATGAAAAGTCTATTTACAAAAGGGATGATGCGTTCAAGCGTCATGATGATGGCATTGAGAGGATTCTTCAAGCAACTTTAGGCGTCGAATGTATTCAGCTTCCTTGGCGGCCCAACCTCGTTTTTCAGATTCAAGCAATGCATTATTAAGAACCAGCTTTGCATTTTCCGTTTGAAGTTGATTCACCCTGTTTTCAAGGTATTCAATCTTGAGGAACTTTTTCATGCGAGATCGACGAGCAGCATAGGTGTTCTATTTCAAAATGAATCAGTCAAGCTGCCACATCCATAAGATATATATATACATACCCTTCGACGTCGCAAAGTGTCTTCATCTAAAGTGCCATCCTCTGCTGGTTCAGGTTCAGGGAGCCTTCTTACACCACGTGGTTTCGGCAGCGGTTTCCGAGATACAAGTTCAGTCTCTTGATCAAGATGTAATTCGGCAGGTGGGCGGTCGTTGCCACCACCCCATGAGATGTTGAATACACCTCCAGAAGATGATTCAGCCGTTGCATTATTATTATTGTTGTTGCTATTGCTAGAGCTGGCGACTGAAGATTGGATGGGTGGTGTTGACGAGCTCGTCGTGTTGTTGTTGTTGTTGCGATACTCATTCCAGAGGACATCATCCGAGGCGTTGTCAGAATGCTTGTCTTGGTGAGTGGATATGGTCATGGAATCAAACTGGAGAGCTTCTCCCAACGGCGGAAACAAATCAGGAATAGCATTGCTGTCATTTGCAGAATCGTAACGGTTATTGTTGTTATGAAAGGTGTCGGTCATAAGGCTCACTGGGAAAAAGGAGGGAGTGTCTTGTGTGGCGGTGCCAAGTTGCCTGTGATAAATGACTCGGAAATCCCAGCATTTGGTGTGACAAACAACACATATCTTTGGATCCAAGTGTACAGGGTTGGCTCTTCTTTTTGTGTCCCTTAATGCCATTTTAGGTGGGAATGTGTAAAAGACTTGATACCAGTAGATCATAACCCTTCCTCTAATGAAGGAAAGAAAGGGCCATCTCTCATCCTAGTTAGCTGTCAGAGTCACAAAGGAGAACTTGAAGATCAATAAAAGACATCCATGACAAGCATTTTAGTTATGATACATGAAGAAACTTGGGATTCAAAACCTATTCATTGTCCAATCTAATAATAAACAACGCCTCTCAAGTGGCAAGGGGGGGGGATGATAAAACTACTCGACGCAAGTAGTGCATACTTGGTTGTCTTGCTTGCTTTCTTCCTTTGGTTGCTGCTTAGTCTCCTTATCATCGTTCGTACTTGCTGGCTTTTTCCGATCCGAATGACCAAGTGGCATATCGGGGGCAATGATATCTCGAACAAGTTGTTTCTATAGCGACGCGATGTCAAGTTCGTTGCCATCCAACCATGTTCTCATAGCAACCTACCACTTCTTTGACTTCGGGGAATCGTCCTTTCTCTTTACGGTCCCAAATCAATACTAATAAGCAATGAGTGAGAACGCTATTGAAAAAAAGACACCGTATCATGTTTACTCACCATCATTTACTTTGACGCGGAACACTGCTGAATCACCAGGGATAAGAGCCAGCTCACCAATCTTTGTGTCAAATGTCGTAAGCAGTTCCTGACCAAACCATGCTATTCAACAACAATGATATCGATAAGCCCAACAAAGAAGAAGGCGACTCGTGTTGTAAGATAGACTCACCTGCCCGTAACATCCAACGACATTTTGTGCAGTACTATTATACAATGAGAACCCATGTCGTTATGGGATGACACACAATGTTGCTTTACCTCGATCGAGACACGAGGGTTTCTGATATCCAAAGCGGTCGACATGGTTCTTCTTGTGAGGATGAAAGAGACCACCGAAGAAAGCGCGCTCATGCTTACTCAGATGATGGGCTGATGTGACTGTGTATGATTGGAATCGGAATACCAGTGCAACCATGTTGCATGAATCTCATTATCAAGCTTCACATTAATCTTTACGTATATATATACAATCATGAATTCTCATTTTTATTTGATCCAATTACTGCTTGTTGTTAACAGCGAGACGAGCATTACGAGCCAATTGACGAGCATTCAAACGAACAACCTTTTTGCCAGCAGCTTGGGGAACCGACTCAGCCTTCTCAGTAAGGATGACTTCAATGTGACAAGGAGAAGACATGAAAGGGTTGCTAAAATGATGATGATGATGCCATGTTAATACTCACAGTGATCCCTTTTATATATACACGCAAACTTACATTCTACCGTGAGCACGGTAAGTACGACGACGGTGCTTAGGAGCTTGGTTGACAATGATGCTGGAAATGTAAAGTTCCTCAACGTTCAAACCCTTAGCTTCGGCGTTGGATTCAGCATTCTTGAGCAAGTCAGTAACGAACTTGATAGACTTGACGGGCCAGCGACCTTGAGTCGTCTTGAATTGCTTGACTTGGGAAGTACGGCCAACACCACCGTTAAAGTGGCGGAAAGGGATAGCTTCCTTGTGCTCGTTGACGTTCTTCAAGTAAGAGTAAGCCTTAGTAAGCTTCAAACCTTGGATAGCAGCAGCAACTTCGTGGGTGTTCTTGAACTGAAATACGTGTTAGTTGGGTTGCCTAGATACATGTAGAATGGAATACTCGATATCGTTACGTGAACACGGAGATAAGAACCACGCGACTTGGCAGCTAAACAAGACCCCCATTTCAATACATGGCATGAACGACTCATCGTTTATCTCTTTTTCTCTTACCCTTCGAGTCATCGGCCGGAGTAGCAGCGTATCTGACCATTTCGAATTGTCGTCAACTATCGCCATGGCAACGGCATTAGAATCCATATAGAGAGCATCCTCTTTTCCCAATCTCATCATTCTCGTCGATATCCATCCACGCATCCTTTCAATCCATCCATCCACTCATCCATCCATTCATGATGATCGTTCATCGATAGTAGCTTACCTATAGAAATGAGAAGAGGGGAGTGGATTGTCGTGAAACCATCCGACCTAGAAATGGCTACCCGATACTATATTGCCCCGCATTGCGCTCGTTTCCTCCCCCAAATCTCGATGTCCACAAGACCTCTGTATAATTCATAAGCCGTTCTTGCATATAAATAAACACAATGATGATTGTAAAGTATAAAAAAAAGAACAGAGCAGTTAAATGTATTTGTATTGATTTAAGTGTATGAGAGAGAGAGAGAGAGAGAGAGAGAAAAGGAAATTTGCAGTATGAATATAAGTGAGGAACAATATAACGCAAAAAGAAAGAGGGGGTTGCTACAATATGGAATGTTGAGGGGGGGAAAAGTAAATACAAGGAGAAATTAGATCACGAAGACACCAAAGGGAGGACCTCTATTGCTCATAGTGCGGGTAGAGGTGAGAGATGATGGGCCGTGGTATTGGTATCGTTGGCCGACGGCGCCGACAGGTTGCGGATGGTTATTGTAAGGAGATTGATCGAGTTGTTGTTGTTGATGATGATGCTGTTGTTGATGTTGATGATGGTAAAAAGATGGAGATAATTGATGAGTAGGATAAGAAGAATGATGCTGTTGGTGAGAATATGAATCAAAAAAAGCGTTGGTGTGATGGTGGTGGTGGTGGTGATTGTTGAAATGGGATTGTTTGGTGCTGATGCACTCCCAAGGAGCACTTTCAGTCCATAGTGATGTTGGTTCGGTGGTGATGATGGGTTCAATAGTAGTAGTCGTAGAAGTAGTAGTAGTTGTTGTTGTAGTAGTAGGTGAGGTAGGATGGTTGTTGTTGCTGCTCCAAGCTTGCCATCCACATCCTCCGGTCCATTTACGCATGAATGCCAAGAAACGGGCTTTTTCTTCTTCAGTGATGCTTTCAGTGGGTTTTCCATGATCTTCAGGCTCCAAAGTGCCTTCATCATCAGAAGCAATGCTCGAAGTTTGAGAAAGGGTTGGCTCGGATGAAGGACCGACAGAGGGAGAGCGGGGCTTTGATCGGGTGGATACCGGCAACGAATCGTACCACATATTGCGTTGCTGGTGTTGTTGTTGCTGCGGCGGCAATGATGACATGCCCTTGTTGTTGCTCTTTGCTGCTGTTACTGATGCTGCTGCTGATGATCCAGAAACGCGCTTCTTGTCAACCTTGGGCACCAGCGTCTTGAGACGTTCAATCTCTTGTTGATAATCGACCAAAGAATTCATGCCAGCAAATGGATCATTTCCATCACCCACTGAGACGTCTTTACGTTTGGCGGATACCACGTCATTCCATGTAGCTCGCTTGGATTTCATTCCCGTATCCACACCATTCGTCAAGGTGCAAAAATTATCGTCACTGGAAAAGCGTGCTTCCGTAGTAGACTTGTTCACCCAGCGAGTAGTAGTGGCAACTTGTTGCTTGTTGACCATACGACCACGTACTTCCATTGTTGTTGTAAAGGGATGGTGAATGGCAGACGTCAATGCTTGCAATGAAGAAATGGAAAAGAAAGATAGAGAGAGTGTGTGTGTATAAATGTGTGCAAGAGTGTGTATACGTGGAGGATCTTGTTACGAGATTCTAGTGTACAAGTATGGCGACTGCTGAGAAAGACGCAACTGGGAGTATGGAGAGAGAGAGAGAGAGAGAGAGAGAGAGAGAGAGAATGAAAGGTATATACAAAAAAGAATGAAAAGGATGCAAAAAGAGAAAAAAGAGGTGCTTTGTGTGAGAGTGTGAGTGTTGTGTGTGTGAGAGTGGAGGAGGAGAAAAAAAGTGTGCGTTTTGGGCGAAAAAGAAGACAAACCGCAGCACAGCTCGGCAAACAACCCGGAAAAAGGTGAGTCACTTCGGAGACAGAGACTTTTGCACCAAACAGCGTGCGTGCGTGGAAAAATCTTCTAGGCTCTAGCTTGGTAACCACATCCCCCATGCTGAAATCTATTATCCCTCTTCCATCCCCATCCATTCCCTTCTTTTTACTTTTTTACAATCCCCCATCCACCCTTTCTCTCTCCCCCAACAACAACAACAACCCATGTTATTCATTCATTCCCCCTCATTTCAAATGAAAAAATTCGGATGATATGTATTTACAAGTAATAGTAATAAATGCAAAGGAGGTGATATTTGTTACAAAGCAATGATGATGAAGGGTGATTATGCACAATGGTATGAAGATGAAGATGATGATGATGGGAACTCTTGGTGGTATCAAGGGGGAGGACATACATAGTGTACATCCAAGGGATGCCCAAGTTAGTGCGCCGCTGTTGCTGCTGCTGCTGCGGTAGTTGTAGTAGGCATTTGAAATCGCTTGCTGCATTGTCTTGAGCATCCACTGCACTTGTTGGGTGATCGATCCATCATCGTTGTCATCATGGATGCTTGATGTTGTTGTGGCGCTTGTAGCAAAAAATAGCCACGGCTTTTACCGAGCATGTCCAATTCTCGCTCCTGCATTGATTGAAACAGCAATTCGGCATCCACCCACACGCTGGGATATTGTCCACGGGCAACATCCATGATCAACACCATATTTTCTTCCTTGTTGTATCCACCAATAGGACTAAAATGACCTCCTTGCTGTCCCATTTGCCCAATACGAGATCGAGAATAGCTAATCACCATCACTTGACGGCTATTGTTGGCAGTGATGGCTTCCAAATCATTGAGGAATTGTTGATATCGGGTAAATCGAGCTCGTCGTGCTTCTACATGGCAATGCGACTTTGCCAAGCAGCTGAATTCATCAAACGACATGCCTCTCAAGAGCACTTCTTCTTTGCTTGAACATGTTTCAAGGAGTTCATCTAACACAATGTATAAGCATCTGTAACATGTTCATACTCAGGTGACACAAATGTGTTGCTTACCTGAATACCATCGCCAATTTCCTTTCCAACGCCGCTTGGGATCGATTTCAAGTGCATTGAGTGCCATTGCCACTATAATAGGTTGCACGACCATGTTAGAAATCAGATTTCCCATTTACTTTTTAATGACTACTATGTACTTACATGAACTAACACCTCCCAACATGGGTGATGATTGTGTAGAAAAGTTGCCCATGAGCTTGAAAAAGCTTTCAGTATGACCCTGATCCATAGCACCACGAAACAATCGCTTTCCTTCATGAGACGTAAAATTGACAAGCTTGCTTGGAGACTTTGGATGCATATGAATGGGGAACATGTCATCGGCAACGGTGTTTGGTGTAGAAACGGTTCGTGCAGTAGCCATGGTAGCAGTACGTCGGCAACGTGATGGCATAGATTGTGCAGCAGCGATGCTGGCGGTAATGGCTTTTCGGTAAAGTGGCAAAGTGAAGCTCATCGTTATTGTTGTTGTTGTTGTTGTTTAATGGGAATCAAGAGAGTAATGCAAAAAAGGGCCATTTGATCACCTCGATATATATAAAGGGGAGAATGTCAATATCAGATACACGCTGCACCGCCCGCCCAATCTGATTAAAGCACAGCCATCAGATCCCCCCATCAGATATCTGATGCGGGGGGAAGCGGCTTGCCTAGTTTATCAGATACCTCTCCCCCCAAATCCCAATAGCAGGTTTTCTTACGCTCTTGCCCTTTTGCTATGTATGCCAGATCATTGATCTCATGTTGTTCTCGGATATATTATCCTGCAAACTATGAATGTTGGCCCTAGTCATCATTCAAAGAGAGTCATCGAAAAAAAGAAGGCGCTCATTACAGGGCTTGCGATTATCATCATTGCGTTGAGTTGTTGTACAAAGCATTTGCAAACTCCATTCACCACATCAAGATCTGCAACCGTGCGTTCAAACATTCATATCAGCGTCGGTGCTTATTGGTTGATAGTGTCCCCCTTGTTTTCTGCATAGCCGATAAATCATGTTTTATGCGATATGATCTTAGTTTCCCATGGCAATCAGATCCTCGATCATCATCTGATGAAGGAAGGCAACAAGGTTATGGATGGTGGCTATGTATCATTGATGATCTCATGAAGGCGACCCTCCCATTAGCATTACATCCAAAGCAAGTTGTTGTAGTGAATGCATGGCATTGTTTACTAGTTGATAATGATTCCCCCATTCATGGATTTCCATTCCTAGCGATTAGAGCGACCACAGAGAGTTACACTACTCGCTACGGCTGGTGGATACCCTTTGCCATGTAATAGAATTTCCTGAGAGAGCAAGATTTCTTCATCAAGATATGGATGGTATTCGATGATCCCTTTTGGGTGGTGCAAGAAACATCATCCCATCATCTAGTGCTATGTATTTGGAAGCAGGCAATGTAGCTTGCATTTTAAAAATGAGAGACATGAACCTATAGGCATGACCAAATTGGCAACCATTGATACGGTAAATATCGTTGCTATACGTAGCTGCTTATAAGAGACGAGTCATGTTATCCTCATCCATCTTCATTGGATAGGATAAAAGGCATTCGATTTTGAATACATCAAAGCTGTTCGATCGAGTGTTTAAAGCATTATCTTTATTAGCCTGGCTATGCATGGTGGATAGCTATCAATGACAGGCTGCAACTACGGATTCATTGTCATAGCATTTCATTTTTGATCCAATACAAGCGACGACTAGTGTTTAAATAGGATGATGTGATGGGCTCTTTCACATACAAAGATGCCATCAAATATCTCCATCATATGGGCCTATGGTGTTGTCATCATACAATTGCCCTTGACTTGGTAGAGTAGAATCAAGTATGATCCATCATCATTGTAACATGACATAATGAAAGTTAACAACCATTTATTCGTTGTGGCAGATAGGCATGATCAATGTATGCTAATACAAAGAAGGGTCGATATGGATATGGGTTGTAAATACCATCTACAGGAAATCATCATTACTGTAGCAGCAGCAGCAGTAGGTTGTTCACCTTTAAGAGGGACCAAGTCTCCGCTGAAGCTAAGCCACGGTTGAATGAAGAATTTTTGCAGCAGTGGCAGGTAGTGAAGTTCTCTCTCTTCTCGTTTCCCATCGTAGCGCAATGTCCACTTTCGAAAAGGTTCCTATCACAACCATCGTCTATTACGAGTAATGTGTATACTGACATTGTCGTGTCAGGTTGTTGTCATTGATGGCAAGGGTCATCTTCTCGGCCGTCTTTCTTCCATCATCGCCAAGCAGGCTCTTAGCGGCCAAAAGGTCGTTGTTGTCCGCTGCGAGGAGTTGAACGTTTCTGGCGAGTTCTTCCGCAACAAGCGTATGTGTTTTTCTTTATCATCAACATCATCATCATCATCACCATCATCATCATCATCACCTATACACGAGAACGATAAAATGAGAGAGAATACAAAAAAAAAGCTGATCAACGTATCTATATTATATTTATATAGTCAAGTACCACTCTTACTTGCACAAGCAGAACCGTGTCAACCCTCGTCGTGGTGGTCCTTTCCACTTCCGTGCTCCTTCTCGCATCTTGTACAAGGCTGTTCGTGGTATGATTCCTCACAAGACTGCCCGTGGTGCTGCTGCTTTGGATCGTATCAAGCTTTTCGAAGGTGTTCCCGCTCCTTATGACAAGGTCAAGCGCATGGTGATCCCTGATGCCCTTCGTGTCCAACGCTTGAAGCCTGGTCGCAAGTACACCACTCTTGCCCGTATCTCCAAGGAATATGGCTGGAAGTACCAAGATGTCGTTGCCAAGCTCGAAGACAAGCGTAAGGCTAAGGCTGCTGCTTACCACGAGCGTAAGGTTGCCCTTGCTGCCATTGAGAAGAAGGCTATTGCTTCCAAGGCCGATGCTGTCAAGGATATCAACGCCTCGCTTGCCGCTCTTGGTTACTAAGTGTGTCATTGCTGTGTGCGCGCATGGTTCCATAATAAAAAAACACGTTTGTTTTAAAAGATACTACTACGATTGGGAAAATGGTATTGGGATCATGAATGGGTGATGAGCAACCCTATTTCATGCAAAGGTAGCCTATGTATAAACCAGAACAAACCTTATTTGGATATGGATTTTAAACGGATTACGACGGGTGTTTTGCACACACACACACACACGTGGATTAGAGTGACACTTGGTACAATTATTGTGGCGTGGTATGGATCAATGGTTGCGGTGGTGGTGAGACACCTCCGCTCTCTCACATTCAAAACCAGCCAAAATTTTCCCACAATCCCGTTGTTGGTTTTGCTTCCCTTTCTTCCTTCACTCTTTCTACCATGGCCGCTCAAAACATCGACATCTCTTCCGATCAGTACAATCACATCAAGAGGTGCGTTACAAGGACACAACCAATACGTATGGCCGATCACTGATAAGTCTTCTATAGTGTCCCTCGCCCAAAAATCCTCAACACTATCTTGGATAACATTGGTCAAACACCTTTGGTCCGGATAAACAAGATTGGCAAGGAAGAGGGTCTCAAGTGTGAACTTTGTAAGTGAAGTGTGCATAGGATAGTTGGGTATCCATATTCACATGATTATCATAGTGGCCAAGTGCGAGTTTTTCAATGCTGGTGGTTCAGTCAAGGATCGTATTGCCAAGCGCATGATTGAAGAAGCCGAAGCCTCTGGTTTGATCAAGCCTGGAGTCAGCACCATCATTGAACCTACTTCTGGCAACACTGGTTCGTTTTACTTCACCCTATGTGTGTACAATGGCACACTCATTTTATCTATCTATGTCTCCAGGTATTGGTTTGGCACTTGCTGCTGCTGTCAAGGGTTATCGTGTGATTATCACTTTGCCCGAAAAGATGTCTCAAGAAAAGGTTGATGTTCTCAAGGCTCTTGGTGCTGAGATTATTCGTACTCCCACTGAAGGTAATCATCACACACACACACATGTCATTGGATAGGAGGGATCTGATCCATTTCTTTGGATAGCTGCTTGGGACGCTCCCGAATCCCATATCGGTGTTGCTCGCAAGCTTCGTGACGAAATCCCTCACGCTGTCATCCTTGACCAATATGGCAATCCTTACAATCCCGTTGCTCACTATGATACCACCGCTGAGGAAATCTTGGAGGCATGTGATGGCAAGCTTGATATGTTGGTTGCTGGTGCAGGTACTGGTGGTACCATCTCTGGTATCGCTAAAAAGATCAAGGAAAAGTGCCCCAATGTCAAGGTAGGCTATAGCATGCGTATACGTCAAGAGAGAGAGAGAGAGCCATGCATATTAAAACATTTATTTTAGATTGTTGGTGTTGATCCCCATGGTTCTATCCTTGCTCAACCCGAATCTCTCAACACAGCTACTGGTGGTTACCAGGTCGAAGGTATCGGCTACGATTTCATTCCTGAGGTTTTGAATCGTGGTTTGGTGGATGAGTGGTTCAAGTCAGAAGACAAGGCTTCGTTTTTGATGGCTCGTCGTCTCATTCGTGAGGAAGGTATTCTTTGTGGTGGTTCTTCTGGTACTGCCATGTCTGCTGCTGTTCAAGTTGCAAAGGGCTTGTCTGAAGGCCAACGTTGTGTTGTCATTCTTCCCGATTCGGTCCGCAATTATATGACCAAGTTCCTTAACGACGACTGGATGCGTGAGCGTGGCTTTACGGATGAAAAGTTTGAGGAGCAAAGCTTTGAAAAGAAGGCTGAAAAGGACTATGCTGGTGCCACTGTTGCTGATCTCAAGTTGAAGGCTGCTGTAACCACTGATAGCGAGGTAAATATATATATCTTCATGGAGTGTGTGTATACTTGGATATTCATATTGTACCCTTAGACCTCTTGCAAGGAAGCTATTGGCATTATGGAAAAGAATGGCTTCGATCAGCTCCCTGTTACTGCAGGCCCCAACCGCCGCATGAAGGGTCTTGTTACCATGGGCAACATCCTTTCTCGTATTGCATCCGGTCGTGCTGATATGTCTACCCCCGTTTCCAAGCTCATGTTCCACTTTGATTTGCATTCCAAAAAGTTTGAGGAAATCACTGTCAACACCCATTTGGATCAATTGACTCGTTTCTTTGAGACCAACTCTAGCGCTCTTGTTACCGAGCGTACCGAAGACGGCGTTCAAGTCAAGCATGTTGTCACCAAGGTGGACCTTCTTGCTTACCTCGTCAAGAAAGCATAGATAGCATCATCATCCAAATGCATAAAATTTATCATTACTACCCATTTTATACAGTACAATGAATATCACAATGGACCCAGGTCGTACATTGTTCACTTTCTCATGCAATCAAATCAGCTCATGGTCGTCGGGAAAACTTGCTTCCATTCAATGATGAGTGAATCTCTTTGATACATGCCCACTTTTGATAAAATTGAAAAAAGTCAACCATTTTCGTTGGTATGTAGCATGAACAATCCTATATAGCTAGGTCATCATGCGACGAAGACTACATAGGACTTGATGAATTTACTTGAAAGCCATTGGCACGGTGTTGTTGCGTGCGGCGTTCACACGCATCACTGAAAGCGAGTGCTGATTACGAATGGGGCAAAATCTTATGCCTGTTTGGTATAAAAGCAGCAACAGTGTGTGCCTGTTCCTTGTTCATTTTTCTTGTCTTGCATAGCTTTTTTCATTCACATTCCCTATATCAGCGTTTGGACTTTTACACCAATACACACACATATACTACGCATCATCCAATGGTTGGTTCCTCGAGCAAGTCAGCAGCAGCAGCAGTAATGCGAGCAACGAGTGCAGCAGCAAGTATGTCCTCTCTATAAAAAAAAACACACTACACAATGAAAACGGTTATTGATATGTATCTCCTCCTTGCAGCTGCATGCCGAAATCGATTCACCATCAACCCCGGATATGAATCCACTATCCAAAACCTTAGAATTGGTGCACACACAAAAGTGATTTGCCAGGGCACTGGTAAACAGGTATGTACAGCCTTTTTATCTTCCATGTCGTAGGATAGCTGATTCCATGTGAAGGGTACAGCACAAATGCAAGAAGCTATCAAATTCGGAACTCGATTTGTTGGTAGCGTTTCTGCACGTAAAGCAGGCCAAGTACATCTTGAGCAACCGGTGTTTGGATCTGTTCGGGAGGTAATGATAATAATATGGCATTCAAAATGGAAGCTGATGAAGATATCTAGGCGGCTGAAAAGATCCAACCTGATGCAACGGTCGTTTATGTGCCATTGGCTGGTGCAGCAGACGCCTTTCTGGAAGCAATCGAAGCCGAGATCCCCCTTATTGTTTCAGTCACTGAAGGCATCCCTTTTCTCGATATGGCACGCGTTAGAGCTGCTTTAGAAAGTCAAGACAAATCACGCTTGGTAGGTCCCAATTCACCTGGTATTGTATCTCCCGTTGGCCAATGCAAAATTGGCATCATGCCGAATCGTATCTATACACCCGGTCGCATTGGCGTTGTCTCTCGTTCAGGTACATTATCCTATGAAGCTGTCCAACAACTCACAAAACTTGGCATGGGTCAATCCCTTTGTGTGGGCGTTGGTGGTGATCCCATTAATGGTACAAGCTTTGTTGATGCACTCAAGATCTTTTTGGATGATGAGACAACGGATGGTATGTAATGTCGTTATATGGGATGCTGCTGCTGATGATGATGGTGATAATAATGATACGTGATATGGTATAGGCATTGTGATGATTGGAGAAATTGGAGGCTCTGGTGAAGAAGATGCAGCTGAATTCCTCAAGCAGTATAACTTTTCACAAGAGAACCCGAAACCTGTTGTCTCGTTCATTGCTGGTGTAACTGCACCTCCTGATCGACGCATGGGTAAGTTGTTAGGTGGTCCTGTATGCATATAATATTGACGTGTGGATGAAAATCATAGGTCATGCTGGTGCCATTGTATCATCTTTGGGCAAAGGGAATGCTCCTGATAAGATCAAGGCATTAAGAGATGCTGGTGTAGTTGTTGTCAATGCCCTACCCCAAGTAGGACTCGCTTTGCAGCAGGCAAGTAGTACATAGCCATTATTACACGTATTCCATTAACATGTGATCCATTAGGAAATGACAACAGCCGGATTGTTATAGTTCAATAAACGTTTATTCCTTCTTTGGTTTTTCAGATTTATCCTCGAGTGATGCTGCCATGATGTATGCAAGTGCCACTACATTAACCATGGCTGCCGCTGCTCCTGCTGCATAGGTTCCATTTCCTATACGTAGTCAAATAGGCCCATTGTCAGTAATCCCTCAAATAAAAGATACAGTATCGATACAACCGTTGAAGATACGTTCGAGTGTTGCATAATAGGTGCCGATCGGTAGAGCAAACATGGCAATAGTAAATGCAAGCAACTTGAAGACAACCCATGTGCTCACGGCAGCAGCAGCCTTTTCGGATCCAAGTGGGAGTCTGCCTTGGGTGGACGATGAAGACGATGAACTTGGCATGAGTAGTAAAAAGAAGGAAGACGAAGAAAGAGAGAGTGGGTGGAGTTATGTACGTACTAGCTGGGTCTACAACTGCTGCTACGCGTATCCATGGAAACCCGTGATACCCGTGTTTATGATGATGAGCAAAGTTCAAGTCAAAAGATAAAAGTTTATTCTTCAAGCACTAATACTAGCTAGATCCATCTACTGTTTCCATTGCCATGGCTACCCTGCTTGATCTACCTACCCATGGTGAAGAAATACGCTGTCATCCTTACTATCATGCAACCCAACACTTTTTTCAACCGATAACAAGATACATGGTAATGCTGCATGCCGCGTTCTTTGACGGGATATCCGAGTTTATTAATATTATACACCACCCTTCTTGACATTGAAGAAACTCCTGACAACAAATACTTGAAGGCCAGCCATGACGACGATAGCTGTGCTGGAGAGCAAAGCGAACCAAAAGATGCGGCTTTCGGTAGATGCAACGGTGCTGGAATTGCGATTCTCTCTTGTGCGGAAATACTTTTGAGTGCGAGCAATGTTGGTGAGTGAACCAGAGATACGGAAGAGCGATTCATCCATCTTGCTAAGCGATTCGGGTTGCTGGGAGGATTCTTTTTGATAGTTGGGACGCACTTCATACTCCAATGTAATCTCAAAGTCCACCAACTTTTCAGCAAACGTAGACATGTCATTCGAGAAACAGAACGCGTATTCGCCTACATAGTTGGCCGTAAACACATAGTCGCCTTGACGCTCCTTTTGTCCCTCCAAGATCATCTTTTCTCGTGGATCCTGCACGGTGAAATCGATATCAAATGAACCACCCGATTGTACCTATCGTTTCAAGGTCAATATCAACGCTTCTCGTATCGCTTTTACATATGGGTCACTTACAGCAAAGTAGAATCCGACCTTCTTGCCAGGGACATCAGACCACAAGTAAAAGCAGGCTTTCTCGTTAGCGTGAACATTGTACGTCAATGCAGTGGCGTTGGCAGTGGATGGGAATAGAAATAGCAGCAGCAAGCTACTAATGAGCAAGGAGAGTGATGCCAGGCGTCCTGGATGTGCCATTGCAAAAGATGAAGGGAAGCAAACGCGCTCTGTAAATGCCAACAACGTCGCAATGATAATTCGTCCAATGAATCTCAGCATGGTCGAGGTGGAGCAGCCATCCATCGCCCCACACGTAAAATCACGTGCCAGCTGTAACCTACTACCTACTATAGAGTAATCAATCCCACACACACATTTGCATGAATACTATACTCCTCAATAAAGTTTGCTTCTGGTTCATTCACAAGACCCATGGTTGACACCTTGTTTTTTTTAAAGACATAAAATAGTACAGTGGATAACACAAAGCTTTATATACAACGCAAAAAGAAACAAAATACATGCTCTTCTATAGGGTATCGTTGGAGTTTTTGGTAATGGGAATGGTTTTCAAAGTAGGTGGGATCTCTTGACTTCCAATAACACGTCCAACTTTTTGGCACTCGTCCTCCCAATCAACGTAATAAAGGAGCATTGCACCTTCACCGATACATTTGATAATACCAGCCACGGCTACACCAGACCAGATCCCTTCCAAACCCCAATCGTAGGTATAAGTGATCCATAGACCAAACGGCATACCAATCGCATAATAGGATCCAAGGTTGAAAGAAGCGACTACGGGTTGCTTGCCGAGGGCAGTGAGCATGGCGGAAAAGATGGCACTCACACCAGCGAAAAAGTGACAGCATGCAGCTACTGGGAACAAATCCACAGCTGCTTGTACCACCTCTGGATCAATGGCAAAGTGACTGGAAATCCATTCGCGAAAGGTATACATGCCAATGGCATTGATCAAGGATAACAATATACCAAACGTGGTAGATAGCACAAAGCACATACGGATTTGCTTTGATCTTCCTGCTCCAAGATGATGACCAGCACGCACTAGCACTGCATTGGATAAAGCACTAATAATAACATCATCATCATCATCATCAATGATACATACGTTCCTCATTTGAGTCATATTTATATATGTACCTTGGTATCATTAAAAGAAGGGAGTTAATCGTGAGGACGATGGATTGGCCTGCTAGACTTGTTTTCCCCAAGGTACCTGGAGTCGGTGTTGTATATGAGTGAGATCCTGTATCATACTCAATGGCAGTCCGTATTATGTTACCTGACAATAGAGCACACACTTCAAATGCCCAATCGGTTGCCACGCTTAACATTCCTGGGATACCTAGATGTTTTGATATTGCAATTGATGAGACATGGTGGTGGTGGTCGTACATTTAACAAATAATTCATACGAACCAAGTTTCAGAAAAGGTTTCCAGTGGTGCAACGCTTGTTGTGACCAGCCAGGCCAATAGGAACGGACAAACTTGGTACCCCCAAGAAGAAAGGTCATATAGACAACAAACACCATCGTATGGAAGGTGGCAAAATGCATAGCGGCACCGACATAGCCAAGATGCATATACTTGAGCCAAACCAGATTGGATAGGTAATTGAGTGGAAACAACGACACACACATAAACATGGTCACGCGCATTTTGCCTGTGTGTCATGTCAATGAAACAGTTAGGAAATGAAAAAGGGACCCTTGTAAAGTTACACGAGGGTGGTAGCTTACCGAGGCTCTGTAAAAATTTGCGTACAGCGGTGGACACGAACACCATGTAGACAAAGGGGATGCAGAAATAAATGTACTTTTGTGCAAGATGGGCAAGATCAGGTTCCTGGCCAATGCTTACAAGGATGGGTTCAGCAAACATCCTATCGTCATTTAAACATGTGAGAATCAAGATTTGGGTAGGCGCGTTGTTGTTAGGGTGCTGTATGTACTTGCCATAGGATACTGATGGGTGCAGCAACACATGCCATGATGAGTAAACCACGCTGCAAAATGATGCCCAATGTCGTCGAGTTGGTGGCTGCTGTGAACGCTTGAGCAACCAGGGTATCGATGGCTGTCATCAATGCATGAGTTAGTCCCGACGCGTGATACACACAATACCCCATTTTCCGCCTCTCAGTGTGTTACTATCGCGCGTGTGTGCTTACCAGTCAAAAGCCCATTACCCATTGCGAACCCGCCCACAGTACACCAAAGATTACTAAGGCTGACGACTGCCATGACTAGTGTATTTGGAGGGGATCAATATCTTTACGCATAGCAAATAATGGATGTTTACCTTCCGTGTCAAGTCTTCCTAAAAACCAGACATCAACGAGTTTCATTCCATATCCAACAACAAATGTAATGAGTAAAGGCCATGCAAGTGCGAGAATAGATATGGTCTCTTGGATGGAATCATGCAAGGTGGCGGAATGAGGTAGGCGACGAGTGGTAGGAGTAGTAGTAGTAGTAAAAGAAGGTGAATGATCCCGTTTGAATCTCAAAAGATGCGTGTTCTCGTCGATATCCTTGTTGTTGTACATGGCTGCAGAAGGAGGGAAAGAGGATGAAAAAAAAGGCGCCGCCGCCGGAACAAGAGCTTTAATAGGCCTAAAACGCATTAGCACAACGTACATAAACAGTAAAAAAGGGAACCCCATTGTTTGACTGCTCACTTACCTTGATCAAAAGTAACCATGCACACACAACCCCTGTTTATGATATCTATCGTACAAAACAGTCATGTTACATGGTGATCACGATCATCTTTGAATGCATGACAAATACCTTGTGTGCGATATTCTCAAGTGCAACCTTCTTGGTTATATAAGTTGTCAGATGATGGATCCTGGAGGAAGATTTATGCACATGCAGGTTCCCTTTTCTCTCCCTTTTAGATCATGAATATCTCAGATTGGTGCAAGTCAAAAGCTGTAAGACCTACCTCACATCCTGCCTGTTACACGTTCCGTTGACAAACACAACGACTATTTTCAGGGACCTTCAACTTCAAGACGAGCCCATGACGAGAATGAGGATACTGCATTGAGACGAGACGAGAGCATGGAGGATAACGATGGGTCCGAAATGAGACTGGATCCAGAAGAACAAGAGCACCATGTGGACTTTGATGCATCGTTTTCGTCAAGAGATGGCAGCAGAATGGAGAGCGATTCGATAAAGTCTTTTTCAGAGAGCGAGGTGTATACTATGAGCAAGGCTTTTGTGGAGGATGATGTGGAAGACTCGCAGCAAACGCAGTTGACATCCACCGAGAACATTCTAAGTGGACTTGACAGGTGGCACCCCTCCAAAGGAACCGCCCGATCACCATCACCCATTCTATCAGCTCCAAATCGACATGATGATATACTGAGCATCGATGATGACGTGATTGAGGATGATGATGATTCATGGCCTTCACCAGCACCGCATGCTATGAACAATGAGCAACAACAACAACAGCCATCCTTCCACATGCAAGATGAACCTATCGACATGCCTGAACCACCCACCTTTAAAACCGTTACCCCAACACCATCACAAGAAATGAATACCCATACGACATTGAGGCCTTTCATCAAGCTGAAAAAGTAAGTCGAATCTTTGTTATATAACATAGTGAGTGCTAATCCCTCCTTGTTAGACAAAGTACGGGCTTCAAGGCAATGGAGGACATTATACAAGCATACAAGGAACATGAAATATGGTTACGGCAAGCGAGAGAAGAAGGTAAATCCTCCTGCTTGGGTCGAGTTTGGGCAATGATTAAAATGGGCATACGCTACTTGTTGTTGTAGTTGTAAACAAGGGCTCGATTGCACGTTTATGCGTCTCCTCAGAGGAAGCTCACCTTTTTCGCATTGTACGAACATGGAAGGATCATGGTCTCATTTTCGGTCGTTGTGTGCGTTTGAATCAAGATGAAATCAACTATATTTTACGTCGACAAAGGGACAACATCAACACCCTGGGCAATACTACACAAGACGACATTATCGAAGATAGCTATTCACAGCCCATGCAATTGCCACCTTACAACCCAGGCAATGATAAGGAGGATGAGCAGTTTGTCTGCGTATTTTCATTCGCATATATGCATGCTCCAGACAGCACACGGAATAAGCTGCTGAAAGAAGAATGGGTCGCTATATGGCCTCCTTGGACACTCAAAAAACTTCCAGAAGGAGATATTTATATAGTTTCACGATTCATGTCTCAATCAATATACTGAATTTTCAATGCACTTTTCTTGAATGAATGGGGGGATCAATGGTTGTGTGTTCGACAACATTCATAAGGCTGTTACTGAACGTGGAGATTGCTGGCATGGCAACCAAGCCGTTGACTTGGTTACAGCATCTTTAATGGTGTGTACGTGTTTGAGCATTCATTGAAACAAATCATCTAGATGAAAAAAGGGGGCTGTCACTTGGTATTGCTTTAAAGAGGGTGCATTTGTATTTGTTGTTGTTTATTACACAAGAGTGACCAGTTCCAGAAGCAAGTTTAAAAAAGGTTGATGTCATGTATAATGCATCCCACACGTATACTAATTAAAGGGAGATGCAAATAGGTGGTATCTTTTATTTTACATGATGCAAATGATGATGATGATGATGATGTCTAACGTAAACCAAATTGATTACCTGAACGTATCATTTGGTCATACTTTAAAGCGCAACTCCAAGCGGTGCGTCCATTATCGAGCTCCTTGGCCACTGTTTTCCAATCCACGGTTGCACTGCCATCCTCTTTATGTTCCTTGACGTGTTCAACAATGTCCATAAGCTGCATCTGCTCTTCCGTTGTCCAACGTCCTTTTTTGATCCCTGGCTGAAGTACCTTGAACCATCGATCGCGACATTGAGTGATAGAGCGACCAGGCACCAAACGAGCGATGTGTTCCCATTGGGTATCATTATCATCCTCTTGAACAAGGTGTTGATCAATAGCAAACTTCAAAGCAGCATCTTCTTCAAAAGACCATGGCCCTGATTGCGTATCCGTACTACTACTACTACTACTCCCATGCCAGTGTCGAGCACATTGTGTTGGCGTGCGTTCAGGAAGATACGTCTTGGCAATGGCTACCCAATTGGTCCCAAACATCGAAACGCCTTCTTCAAGTAATGCCGATTCTTCTTTGGAAAACCGACCTTGCTTCCAACGAGGCCCCTTTTGTTGTTGACGATACCAATGCAACCAGCAGCTATTTGCAGAACGACCTGGTAATTCCTCTGCTATCCGTTCCCAACATTCTCCATACTTGTCAACAAGTTCCTTGAGCTTGTCATCTTCTTGTTGCGTCCAAAGCACACGACGTCGCTTTTTCCTCTTTTGAAGCTTATCGAATCTCTCCTTGCATTCGTTAATTGGTTTCCCAACAGCATCCGCTACACGTTGCCACTCTTCTTCTGTCGCTGGTGGTGTTGTTGTTGTCATGGTAGCACCCTTGAGAAGGTTGATCTCTTTGGTAGTCCATTTTTCACGACGTAGAACAAGTGAACCTGATGCATCCAGAGCCAGCTGTTGATCCTTATCAATCCATTCACACATGAGACCAGCTATGCGCGCTCGCCATTCAAGCCTGTTTTCATCCTTGCGTATATCCACTTGATCGCCAAACACATGCCGTAAACGTCTCAAGTCCTTTCGCATCTTGTACAAGCACATGTCCACATTGCGTCCAGGTAATGCCTCTACCACCTTATTCCAATGTCCGCCATGTGCATAAAGCCGTCGCCATAAGATACATGTTTCTTCCTCACTCCATTGACGATTCCCTTTGCTCTTGATGGATGGATCAAGGAGTTGGATCCATTTTCTTCTGCAAGTGACAGCTGATCGACCTGGGATCCCTTCAGCTACTTTACTCCAATTGTGTCCATACAAGATCGTGCGTCGTAATAACAAATCATGCTCTTCTTCAGTCCATCGAAGTCTTTTCTTATCACTTGATCCAACATCATCCGAAAGTTTGTCATTGTAGCGCGTTGCTAAGCTGGGAGGTGAACGATGGGGTAAATAGCGTTGCTGAATCTTTCTCCATTTTGGACCAAATTGAGCGTATCCTTCTAACAACAATCGATCTTCTTCCTCTGTAAAGCGTTTCTTTTGTAATGTTGATGATGGTACTGTCGTTGTCGTTGTCGTTGGTTGTGGTGATGCAAGTGCGTTCCATGTATTTGATAATCGAGCTGCTGTACGTTCTGGAAGCATGTGATCTCGTATCATCCGCCAGTTGCCTTCGCCATAGGTCTGCACTCCTTTGTATAGTAGTTCAATTTCATGCTTGGATAAGGGACCTTTGCGTATGGAAGGATCAAGGTGCTCTGTCCACCGTAAATAACAAGCATTCACCGATCGATGAGGTAAGCAATGACGCGAGAATTCAGTCCACTTGGGTCCGTTATGCTTGATAAAGTTGACCAATGCTTCGTCTTCCCAAGGTTCCCATGACGACTGGCGGTAACAAGGTGCACTTGGTCGACTGAATGAACGAAATGGGGGCGATGGTTGTAGTAGAATACGTCCCAGTCGAGAGCGAAGGCAAGAAAACATGCGTAGTGGGGACGTATGTCAAAAAGGTGAATACATAAAATGATTGGATTGGGATGCCGGCCCACCGGGGATTTCGGTTATCTGAAGGTCAGCAGTGGGTACCATTTACAGCCTCCTTTCCCAGTTACAGCGTGTAGCAGAGATGGTAAGTTGCAGGAATATGGGGATGGATGGATGGATGATTAAAGAGAAGAGTGGATGGATGCATACATGTATCAAATGGATGGATGGATGAATTGGATGAGGATGATGATTATTGATATACATGTATTACCTAATTCGATAGCCCCAGCAAATCAAGGATATCAAGCAGTTCCTCGAGGTTGCCCGCAGAAGAGACGCTGTGTGTACGTATCATTCTTATTCACCAACAACGACACTATAACAACAAAGTGATATTGACAACACCACCACCACCCCACCACCTTTTCCTTTTTGCTCATTCTTCTAGCCGCTCGCATCAAGAAGAACTCTGACTCTGTCAAGTTCAAGGTCAGATGCTCTCGCTACTTGTACACCTTGGTTGTCAAGGATAAGTCCAAGGCCAACAAGCTTAGACAATCTCTCCCTCCTTGTATGTGTATACAATCATGCATATGAAATACCTCACTCACTCATGGATATCTTTTTTATAGCCCTTGCCATTGAAGAGCTTAAATAAGCGAATTGTGGATTGGATGCATCATGAACAAAATAAAACAAGCCTTGGCCTGATGCCAACGAAAACAAAGGTGGTCGCTTGCGTCTATTTACAAAAGCGTCATTGTATAGGAAGGACGAGAAGAAGAAGAAGAAATGCGTATTTTCTATCACAAAGAGAGAGAGAGAGAAAAAGGAGAATAGATAATGGTGGTGGTGGGCAATGACTCTACTAATAAGGTGAGGATGGTTCAGTGATTGTAGATGCGGAATGAGGTTTATCAAGATCTTCCGGGATATCCAAATGATAAGCAGCGCGTTCACTTGCGATCACTTCAGCATGTCTCTTGATCCTCTCCAACGCCGTTTCATATCGTAGATTGGAAAGAGCTATCGACATCATCATCATCAACCCATATCAGCCAACCCTATCAGCGTATGTTGTTGTATAGTATATCCTTACCTAGAACGACCTTGTTTACTTCATCTGCAAGTTGACGCCGCCGTTCCTGACTCAGTAGATGACTGCATGAAGCATTGTGTGGATCGGGATAAGCGATAAGAGAGGCGACTTCGTTGGTGAGATCACGATAATCCTTATGCATTGGTTTGAGATGGGTCTGTGCAAATTGAATAGCCTCGATCTCACTGGATGTGCGCACAATTTCAATAAACTGCTGACATCGTAACTTGAATATGATATACTGCAAATCAGTGTCGATGTGTTGGTTGTTTTGTTGTTCAATCTCCAGTTTCATGGGATCCTGAGTATCATACGCTGCAAGTGCTGGGAAATGTCGGTGGATCAATGTGAATGCTTGGGGGATGTTGCCGTTTAAAATAGCATCGTACAAATCTGCATGAACAATGTAAGCACGCCCTCCTCCTCCTTCTTCATATCTATCTATCTATATACACCTTACCTTTCCTTGCATCCAACAATGACCATGTGTATTTGCCAATGCTGCTGTCACCTTCTAAACAATGAACCAATGTCAATCCATCATGATATCATATGATCTCAAGTGGGTGTGCATGTGCATGTGTACCTGTTGTGGAGGCTGTGTTTCCATTGGTGTCATGATCGATATCCATGACGTCTGCTATCAACCAGAATGATGTTTTAGATACAACGACAACACGCATACAAAGAGAGAGACGCAATTTACCTATGTGTTGTACACCGTTGCCATTGGATGCTGTTGTTCCATTGTCCACGCATGAGTTTAGTTTCTTGACTTCACCGAGGAAAGCCTTTGCAGTGTTCTTGTAGCAATTGTGAACCAAGTACTCTGTCAATAATGAACGACAAATGGTTTGGATGTCTGAATCCATGTGTATATCGCGAAGGGGGAGTTGTTGTTGTATGGGTGCTAATGGGACAAAAAAAGAGAGAGAGAAAGAAAAAGAAAGAAAGAGTGGTGGTGGTGCTGTGATAAAGTTGTATACGTGTGCAAGTGGGAAAGTTCAAGCGTAAGTCTCCGAAAGAAGCTGTGTGCATCGCTAAGTACTCGATCACTACACACACGCACACACACACATTGACGGATCCATCGGGTTATTTGTGCGTCCGCTTCTGTCATTCTCGGCCATTCTTCAACAACAACATTCTCGGGAATCGATCACTCTGGGCATTTTAGTAACACTCACATACACTCTGCTAACAGCATGATGATGATGATGATACCTTTCTCCTCCACCTCTCCCATTACTTGTCGTCGTTGATCTGTAGATCCCACCAGTGTGTGTATGTACCACATGGCTAAGGCTTACAAATTGCATCCAATATCATGGCCGAAATGCTCGCACAGCATCATCATCTTTCATTTATTACTAAAGTGTAGACATAGGATTATAAAAAATGTAAAAGTCATTATGTACAGTAATGCAAAAAAAAGATAAAACGATAACGACCGCCAATGGTCAACACTTGCTGGTGTTATCGTCGTCGTGTAGTAGGGTGATGAACATGCTGTTGGTGTTTGTTGTTTTGCTTTGTCTCCCACTGCCGTATGGTATCAAGCATCAATAGGATCCTCTCTTGATCTCCGCTGAATATATCTGGTAGATTGATTGATAGGTTGGTGATGGGGGGAAAACATCGTCGTCGTCGTCGTCATGTAACGTTACCTTTGATAGTAAATTTTCCCTTGATCCGGATTCCTTCTCGTCCCATATAGGCAAAGGAAGCCACAATAATATCCAACATTTGCATACTTGCTGATTTGGGTTTACTTGTATCAGGTCGATGTAATGGCTTCTTGCAAATGCTTTCCAGTAATTGAGCGAAGGGTTCCCCAGTACGGATATCTTGTATTGATTGAATAGGATGACTCAAGTGTTGATTGACCCATTGGAGATAGTCACTGTAGTCGTTCTCTTGTTCCAATACAACTGCTACTGGTTGTTGTTGTTGTTGTTGATCCGCTGTATTATCAGAGACGGCGTTGTTGAGACGTAAACGAGGTTGTTGGTGTGATGATGATGATGATGAAAGATCTTTGTTGACGCCACTCATATTTTGTACTTGTTCCATACCTTGTGGATGAACGCGTGACGAGGAAGGATCAATGATGGCTGAAGATAAATTGTTGTTGTGTTGTGGTGATGGGCGAGAAACCGTATAAAGATGTGGCCGCGTGCGTTTCATATTGTTAGGTCGCATAATGATGGAAGGAGGCCGAGGATTCATGCGTTGTGCTACATCGAGTGGAACCGTTGCCATTCTACTTGACGAAGCCACTGCTTCTAAAAACATGTCATCATCATCATCAGTATATTCACACACGCACACACACCTGATCCCAAACTTGGATACATTACGATTGTAGTCACGAACAATAGTCGCCTTGATTAATGCATGAAGCCATTCCCGCATCGATGATTCCGATTCAGTGTAAAAATAGAACGACCTTTCCCCATCGCGTTGTGCCTTGAAACAATACTTGCCAGGATAAAGCGTCTCATCCACTGATATCCGATACCCCACCAAGTTTAACAATCCTTTCATTGCCAGATCCTAAATATACATTAAATGAATGAATGAACATGATAATATGCATGCATGCACATGTACATGTACATACCTTGGGTGATTTGAGATAAAACAAGGTAGATCCTTTTAGAATGAACCATCGCTTATTCCAAGTCCTGTACTTGTCACTGCGCTTGTAGAGCCATCCTTCAATCTCGGGCTTGCTATGCTCATCACCTGCAAGAGCGTTTCGCTTGGCAATGGTAACATTGGCTGAATTCCACAAGGCCAAGGATCTTAGTCGACTTGATTTCACTGGCAAAGTGGGTGCTGGTGGTGGTGGTAAGGTGGGTGTGGATGAGAGTTGGGGTTGAATCGATGATGCTGATGGTGGCTGGTGGTGGTGGTGATCTTGCTGAGCGGCAGCAGCAGCAGCAGGAGCGAGGAGTCTAATACGATACTGTAATGTCAACCATGGGCTTTGTTTATCCATCATGCAAGCTCCTTTTTTTACCCATTATGAACAACGAATTCGTCTCCTGCAGGCAATTTCCTTTTATCATCTTTGCTCCTTTCGCGGTCGCCGATCTGTACAACATGCAAATAATTAATATAGCTCTATCCTCTTTTTGTGACGCATTGGTATACACCTCTTACAGACATAGAATTCGCCATCATCATCGCTTCCGATATGGGTGGTGTCATCGTCGTCGTCGTCATGTGGTAATCGTTGTTGGGATGAGCAGCCATGGAGGGTTGTTCAGGTGTTACTTGATGCACCATGCTGCGTAACGGGGCTACAATTCCCAAAAGTTAGTCATGTATATTTCCATGGTGACGCTTATCCATACATAAAGGGGTTCCACTGCCAGCATCCAAAGGATCGACATGACTGTGCGTGCGTTGACATGTGTCTGGTATTGTTGATCCTTCCTTCAAAGTATGGTTTACCATGTTCTTGTTTCCTATTTCTCCTCCTCGTGTGTTGTTGTGCTCCGTTTCCAAAACCTACATTCGATATCAACATGAGTTGAATTACCAATGTCGATATCCCACTTACCGTTTCCTCGATAGGTGGCATACGATCTCTGAGCATTTTGATGGCACTGTGGAGTCTGAATCGTTTTCCAAATGTACTAATGCCTAGTTCCTTGAGCAAGTCTGGTGTCATCTCGAGTAACACATCGCCTGTAATCTCCTCCTCTACATATTATTATGCACATCATAAATCACTCTGCATGATCTCATACTGCATTGTCTCCTCACCTTTAAATCCAAGTGCAATGTCTCCAAATCCCATTGCTTCCAGCCATAATGTCACTTGATCCACGGTCCATTTAGATGCATGTTGATGATGTAATGAAGGATGCAAGAGACATGCATCGAGCTTTTGTCGTATACTGCTTCCTGCCATCGGTTGTTGTTGTTGTTGTATAGCAGCCGTTGCCATGGAGGGTGAAATAACAGTAGAACAACGACATCGCCCGAGTTCCAATGATGATAATGCGTTTTGTAATGATCCAATTTGTGCTTCCAAGCTCATATCAGCAGGCGATAAGGCGGATGATGGTGATGATTGCTGTGGCACTGTATAATTGACAGGAAAGAGCCCTACTTGGCCACGTGCATTGCGTCCCTAGTGTGATAGTAGTAGTAGTAGTGTTAGCAATGTAGTCTAATAAACACGATCGTGGGTTCTGATCCACTTACACGCCACCAGCCGTCGAGGAATGCATCGTCCTTTTCAATGACCTGAATTGTCTCACCGGCACGAATGGAGATCTCGTCGTTTTGTTTGGCGTCAAAGTTGTGAGTGACCAGGACAATTTCCATGACATTTCAAGAAGGGGAAAAGAAGAAAGGAAAAAGAAATAGGGAAGGGGTAGTAAGGAAAAATAATGATGGCCAAGGCACAAGTCTTGTTCACTCTTTACATGTAACACAATGCTGCTGAAATGGGGATGCTGCATGGTGAGCTGATCTTTTAGGCTTACATAGTTACACCTGTCACTCAAAAGTACGTGGCCTTGTGCACCGCATTGTTGTTATTGGACCCTCTCAACATGGCAACATGTTTGTCACCTTTTGATGTGGCGAAGTATTTGTATCCATAATCGCTACAACGACCGGCGTCGTGGTGGTGTTGCTTTGACAGCAGGTACCTGAAGAATCGAACAAGGGTTTTACTGTACGTCCAATCCTCCTCCTGGATTTCTTTGTTTAATGAGACAATCATCATCATCATCATCATCCTTCTTCTCCTTATCAACGTTTATTAAAGCTGATGCAAGAAAACAACGAACCCATCATTCAGTGACGCACGCACATGATGATGCATGTCTGGTGGCGAATTAAGAAAAAAGCCAAGAACATTGCTGAGCAACAGCAGCTAGTAGTAGTAGTAGTAGTGGGAATAGCCTATACCCTATTGCATCGACACCCGACAGCCAGCAGCAGCAGCAGCAGCCACAGATGAAACAGCTTTGGGATGCATGTGGCTCACACACTCTCTCTCATTCACATATAGATCCTTTCTCATCATCTCATCCAACCCATCATTAGCACTCGCCACATTTTAATGCCGTCATGTTGACGAGTCAATCAACAAACAAGTGCATCATTCATTAAGATTGTTTTGCTGACGTGTTATGCATTATCCAAAAGTACAATGACAAAGAGAGAGAGAGAGACAAAGAAATCAGCTGCGGGATTAAAAAACAAACAAAAATGTGGGAGGGGTACACAAAGGAATGGATCGACAGTATCACTTGTCTCTATAGGTAATTGACGATGTTGCTTACACCATACTTCAAAACGCCCATTATTCAGGCACCAACCATTTGGCTGATGATGCTTGTTTTGGTAGCACATACATAGATACCTACTATGACCATCCATGAGCACACACTCACACACACACATACGCCATGTGTATAATAATAGATGGGTCCTCGCCAGGCACCACCACCTACATCCTATATGGCGATAGGATTGAGTTTTTGACTAATAAGCATAATTGCTGTGGCGTGATGCCACGTTAGGATATCACATTTGGAATGCTGCATCTAATCTCACACACATTAATGAAACTACAACAGAATTATCATGCGCGTATAAACATAATGTTGTTGATGTTATTCGTATTTACAAAAGCAATATATATATATAAGAAGAAGACGAAAGAAAAACAATGCCATGATCCTATGGAGAAAAGGGGGGAGGGCAAAGAAGGGTGTGTGTGTGTGGTGTGGAGGGAGGGGGTTTGGATAGAGAGAGATAAAAGGCAAGGGCGTTTGTACGCGAAGGGAGATATGAGTTTGGCGATATCTCTACGATTCGATAGGTGGATCGCTTAGACGAGCAGGAATAGGTGGCCGATGGTGAGTGCGTAGAATAGTGATTAGGTCATCCAAAACACGACCTTTTTCCATACCCACTGCAGGTGGTGGTGGTTGATGGTGATGATGATAATGATCAGAATGACCAACAACCCGATCGACACGTCGAATAGGTGATTGTTCTTCTCTGCTGGTAAAGCTAGATGGTGGGGGCAATGTACGAGCTGGTATAGGTGAATGTCGCATCACAGGTGGAGGTGGTGGAGAAGGTGTTTGTGAAGATGTTGTTGATTGTGGAGGAGGTGCAGATGACAATGGTGGGGAGGGCAAAGAAGGGTGTGTGTGTGTGGTGTGGAGGGAGGGGGGGTTTGGATAGAGAGAGATAAAAAAAAGGCAAGGGCGTTTGTACGCGAAGGGAGATATGAGTTTGGCGATATCTCTACGATTCGATAGGTGGATCGCTTAGACGAGCAGGAATAGGTGGCCGATGGTGAGTGCGTAGAATAGTGATTAGGTCATCCAAAACACGACCTTTTTCCATACCCACTGCAGGTGGTGGTGGTTGATGGTGATGATGATGATAATGATCAGAATGACCAACAACCCGATCGACACGTCGAATAGGTGATTGTTCTTCTCTGCTGGTAAAGCTAGATGGTGGGGGCAATGTACGAGCTGGTATAGGTGAATGTCGCATCACAGGTGGAGGTGGTGGAGAAGGTGTTTGTGAAGATGTTGTTGATTGTGGAGGAGGTGCAGATGACAATGGTGGAGATGGATGTGTTGTTTGCATTGGATGTGGATGTGTAGTCTTTGTTGGCGTTGTGGTAGGTGGTGGTGGTGCAAGTGATGGTTGTGGTGGTGAAGGATGAGGATGATGAGGATGATGCATCAATCCCTGCTGTTGTTGATGTTGATGATGATGGTGTTGTTGCTTTTCCAATTCCCAAACACGTTGCCTTAGACGTTCATTTTCTTCTTCAAGCTTGTTGGCTCTTTCTTGAACAAGTTGTAAATCACGGACCTTGTTCTCCAATTCCTTTACATAACGCTCCTTGCGTTGACGAAAGGCTCGTTGTGCTGCACGGTTTTGTTCGGCTCTTCTGGTATCTAGGACACCGCCTTTCCGACGTCGAGTGGAACCGATAGTCGGATTCAATGTTGTTGATTCGTTATCGCTGCCAGCACTGCTCATAATGACACACACACGCTATTTTTATACAAGCTGATGATGGAAAAGAGAGCAAGGATAATGACCAAGTAAAAAGAAGAAAGAAAGTGAGAATAGACGGAGCAAGAGGAAGAGGAGGAGGAGGGAACTGAAAAGGGTCAGGGAACAGGGTTAGTCAGCTCGCAGATATCACTCGTCCTTGTTTGGTAAGCATCCCTCGGCATCACACCCAAGTTTCACAAGCTGACAGATCACGGACTACCTATCTGCAAATTAAAGTTTACGCATTCACACACAAGTTTACTCATCAACCCGAGTGTCTCATTACACATTTACAGATATAGACGCTCAATACACACGCATTCTTTATCATTGCTTCATTTTCATTTTTAATCAACGTATTTGTATAACATGCCCATCTCGTCCCATTCACATCATCAACAACTCTTTACTTTACTACTACACCTTGGGATGATGATGTCCCTAATCAACAAGACTCCTCGCATCTTGGTAATATGAATGCATACATACATCGAATACGGGATGAAGCAATAATGAAATGATGAGGGAGAAAAAGGGGGCGCCATTTGTTGGACAAGGAATAGAAGAGCATTCATTTTTATAAAAGACGTGTTACGCCAACGTGCATTTATCTAAGAGTCATTGAACAAGTAAATGCTATTATCAATGGTAGTAGTAGTAGTAGTAGTAGTGAGTAAGAAGGTGTGGGTAGTGGGTGATATACAAGGGCAGCATAATGAATGAATGAATGAATTGAATGGGATAAGCCACCAAGGAAGAGTGAGCGGGCTTGGGATGGCTGGGAGGAGGCAACATTTGGCAAAAGAAGAGTGAGCGGACGAGGTTTTGTTTTTTGACGTCTCCCGCATACTTACTTTGGATCCAGCCCATTCTCGACACGCTGCACCATGGCAACAACAACTATGCAGCTTTATTGGGATCTCGCTTCCATCGATCCAACCGTGCGTCAGAATGCGAGCCAAACTTTGATTCGTGTTTTGGCAGACTTTCAAAAGGATCACGAGTCCTCGCTTGAATCTCGATCGGACGACGACGACGACAACCACCACCTTGCTGACACCGAGGAAGAACTCGATGCTCTTTGTGCTGCCGATGTATCCTATGCCATTCGCCGTCTGATTCGTGGCTTGCCTTCTTCTCGACAAGGTGCTCGTCAGGGTTTTTCTTTGGCTTTAACAGAGGTGAGTAGTATCTTTTGCCAGGAGGTGAACACATCCATTTATTCATCCATGATTCCTTAGTTGCTTGCTGTTACCAATGTCATCAAGGTGAAATTGGTGCTCGATTTGCTTTTCAAGTACACTGAACGCACGGGAAGCATGTCTGGTGAAGAAACGCGCGACATGTTGTTTGGACGTCTCTTTGGATTAATGTCAATCATCACTGCCGGCATGCTCACCAAACCCAGTACGACTTTTGACGATGCCGAACGCATTTTGGAAAGCTTGAAGGATATTTGTCAAGCAAAGTCTTATCTTATCGAGGTGTCCTATCACATTGTGGTTCAAATGTTGGCTGCTGTAAGTAAAAGTAAAGGAGTTGGATTGTATATACATAGGGATGGATACTTATTACGTCTGTATATAGATCAAAGATGTCGAATACAAGGATAAGGTCATTGCAAAGATCATTGAATTGTTCTTGGACGAGGTTGAAACGGTGGATCAATTGAATCTCGCTCTTGCTTTCCAAAAGCAACTTCCCGAAGTGGATCTTTCCAACAGCTTTAAGAATTGGAAGAGCAACAACGTTCTTGCCACAGTCAATCTATCCCACTTGGCTACGATTCTCAAGGTATATATACATACGAAAATGATACCTTTCCATATTGACATTTATGATCTTGCAGGAAACATCTGAAGAGGAGCAAGAAAATCAAGTGGAATGGAAGCCTCAATTGCACTCGGTTTGGGATCAGCTATTGAACATTTACTTGGAGCCTGTTGATCAAATGAATGGCCATGCTGAACGTGAAGAATCCAACCGTCCCAAAAAGAAGCAACGTCTTTCAAAGAAGGGTGACAGTAAATCCACCAAGACCAATGATGAAAAGGCAAGCTTCGAAGCTTTTTGGAGCGCAACAGTGGATGGTACGTAATGTATAATGTTACTTAAGGGGAGAAAACATGGATTGACATGTAGCCTTCTTGTAGGATCTTTATTCGAGAACAATGCATCACGTGGTCGAAAGTATTGGGGTTTCTTGTTGGTTCAAAAAGTGCTTCCACGACTCTCTGCCGAGCAAGTGCCACTCATTTTTACCGAGAACTTTATGCGTGCATTCATCAACAACTTGTCATCCGATGTACGCTATCTCAACAAGAGCGCAAAGTATACTGCCAACGTCATTCAAAAGGTGGCAAATGAGAATAAGCAAGTGAGCTTTGCTCTCGTTACTCAGCTTCTCGGCAAGCATGGCCATCAACACTTTGATCGTATCACCAAGACCAAGACGGTGGAGAACTTGCTTGCTACCATGGATGCTGAAGGTGTTCGATCTTATCTCGAATACTTGGCTCGTGTCTTTGTTCAACATGAAGAGAATGACAAGGTCGATTCTGTAAGAAGCTGGGCACTTCGACAAATGACTTTGCTCGTCAAGAATACGCGTGTTCCCAAGGAAGAAGAATGGCTTGCAGACTTTGTTCGCTTCTTGATGGTTTATGCCTTTTTTGATGTCAAGAAGGGTGCTACCAAAGGCTCTTGGTTTGAGGTAGATATTTTTTAATGTGCGTACTTTCATTGCAAGGTATTGATTCTCTCTCTTTTTCAGTCTTATCGCAAGCCTACACCCGTGCTCTCTGATGCCATTCGTGAGGAATGCAAGAATACTTTCCAATCAGTGCTTGTCACCCTTTCCAACATGCCATCCTTGGCCAAGACTCAGGAACAGCAAAATGGTGCCGTGCTCAAATCACGCAAATTCCATGGTGTACGCAACGATGGTGAACTTTGGGTGTACTATGTCTTGCAGATTTATCAAAAGTTGGCCAGTGACAAGAGCTTGGTGATCCATGATGAGCTTTCGAGTGAGAGCAAGGCCCTCTTTAAAAAGTCAAACACCCTTGTTGAACAACTTCGCAAAAAGGTAAGCTATACATGCATGCAATTGTCAAGTGATACTCATTGAAATGCCATATAGGCCACTGATCCCGAGAGCTTGGAACGAGGCTTTGAAATTCTCTTTGTGCATATGATGCTTCATTTATTGATCAATGAGGAGGAAGCTCAGTCCCTACTTGACGAATTGTTTGATTGTTACAAAAAGATCAATGTCAGCAAGGCACCCAAGACTAGAAAGAGAAAGAATGCCGAAGAAGAGGAGGCCGAGCCTGAGCCAATTGATGTGCTTGTGGATATCCTTGTCAGTTTCTTGACCAACCCATCGCCTGTCCTTAAGGATCTAGCAGAAAAGGTGTTTGAGATTTTCTCACACAAGGTTACCAAGCAAACTTTACAAAATCTTTTGGATGTGAGTATCTTCGTGAATACCTCCATCACATGTCGTATACTAATGTATGTATGATCTTTAGATCCTTGCTTCCAATGACAAAAAGCATGGCAGTGAAGATTTGTTTGGTGCCGAGGAATCGGATGAAGAAATGGATGACGACGTTGTTGAAATTGAAATGGATAGCGAGGTTGATATGGATGAAGACGAAGATGACGATGATGCATCCGTGGATGAAGAATTACGACAAAAGGTGGAAGAGACGATGCGACAACAAGGTGTCTTGGCTGGTGACGACGATGACGACGATAATGAAGAGATGTTGGATGATGATGCCATGGCCGATTTTGATGACAAGCTTGCAGAGGTGTTCAAGCAAAAGCATCTTGAAAAGAAGGAGAAGAAAGGCAAGTACATGAAACATCTTGATGATGATGATGATGATGAACTACGATGCTAATACAAGGAAACAAAATAGATATTCAATTGAGCATCACGCAATTCAAGATTAATGTTATGGACCTCGTGATTATTTTTGTGCGAAAGAACCCTTCAAGTCCAATGGTCCTTGATCTCATTGTGCCCCTGATCAACATTATCCGTGCCACACCTGCCAAATCCGTCACTGGACAATTCGTTCAAAAGATTGTCGCCTTCCTCAAGAACCGCCTTCCCAAAATGTCCGAGTATCCAAAGGAACATGATCAACAAGTCATTATCGATGTCTATCAAGCCGTTTACGACTTTGCTCGATCCACCAGCAACAGTGAAATGTTTGACATGTGTGTGCAATTATCGCTCTATCTTCGGAAATGTGTTCTTGGTGCTGCAGATGCTGAGATTACCGATGACATGGCTTCAAAGACGAGGGAGGAAATTGAAAAGTTGGATGCAATCACCATCACTGCACTCGAAGAATACATGACCAAGAAGAACACACGATATCGAAAGGATATCTTTGTCCATCCTCTGCAACGATCACCCTTCAGCTCATGGCCATTGTTAGAAGCGCTCATTCAATACATCAACCCTGCCGAATGCATCAATCTCTTTAAACATACCCAGGCGACTCAATGGATTACTGCGGTCGTGCAGCGCACAGTGGCCAAGGTAATTAGCAGCAACAACAAAACATGTTTGAAGAAGATGGATTGATTTACTAACATCATGTGTATATTAGAAATCACAAGCATACAATGATAAGTTCATCTCCATCGCACCCAAGATTGCAAGCAAAGTTCAAGAGACCCTAGAAGCATCCAAAGACACGGCATCCAAGAACAGATTAACATATGACAATATGCGGTCATTTGTGCGGTTTGTGTCGACTCTCGTTCGATTGCATAAGAAACTTGTCAACAATGATGTCAAGGTAAGAGGACCCCACTTGTGTGTTTCAGGGAGTGCATTAGCTGATACATTTTCGTTCCACAGAAATTGCAAAAGGTATGGAAATCAGAGTGGATCTCATCCATTACGACGGTGGAAGCATACAACAAGCCTGGATTACAGACATCATGCAAGCAACTAGTATCAATTTTGGAGCAGTAGGACTTTTTTCAAGTGCATTTATAATTCAATTGTAATATACACACACACACACACAGCAATATTAGATATACAAATACGATATACGTTTATATACATGTTGTCATGTGTGGAGAAAGATAGGTGGTGGAGGTGATCGCCCTTGATAGAAACGCCGACATTGAGCGATTGCTGGGAATGGTCCCACAGTGAGACTTTTTTGTTATCTTCTTGGCAAAGCCTTGTTTTGAATGATGTCAATTGGTTACTATGCCACGAAAAGAAAGAAGCGGGGATTGGTGTAAAACCGATTGTTCTTATCCCCCTACCCCTTATTAGGACATGGCGGAGTGTAATGCAGCTTTTTAGCAAAGATCTAGTGGCACAAAAAAGCATGTGTAACTAATAACTCAAAGGCACAGACACTTTTAGGTTACTTTGAGCAAGTAAATGGATGATGCTGATGATGAGTAAAAAGATGATGGAGTCCATGCTGGTTGATAAGGAGACAAAATCATTATCCTACCAAGGAGTGCATCTGAGCGCGTAACTTTTTTGCAATCCAGTCAGCTGAAACCTTTCCATCATCAGCTATTAAAAGCTATCCCTTCAAATCATATCCCATCGGAGGACAACCCCTATTTAGGCTAAGCTTTTGCTCCCTTTCTTCTTCCATCTCTCTCTCTCTCTCTCCACACACACACACATACATCTATACCTACACGCTCTCTCACTCTCTCTTTCCCTTTTCACCCCTCTCCTGTACCTTTTTCACTTTCTCGGCTCCATGGGCCAAAACACAAGCAAACAACACGATCCTTTGCCTTTCGGTTATATCAACCGAGTTGACAACCAAGATCCATTGGAAGAGCAAGCACTTGATCGCGAGAATCCATCAACCGACTTTATTCTTGCCAATCCTCATCTCTACAAGCTCGAGATTACATGCCAGAATGGGTGCAATGGGTTCCTAAGCAACGATGGCAGCAGTGGCTCGGCAGCAGCAGCAGCAAAGAGTCGACGAGATAGTATCGTGGTGGTTGCGACCAAAGTGGACCAAGAGTGTGAAGTATGTCGACAAAGCAAGCGTCTTTCGTTGGTACGGAGAGACTTGGCCAAGGATCTTGCATACATTGATGAGACGTACTATCCTGACGTGATTCATTATGGATCGAGTGATGATATGCTACACGATGAATTGGCTGCTCAACAATTGGGCGACGATGTGGATAACTACATTGCGGATGGATCAGAGGATGATGACAACAATCATTGGGCCAAATTGACGATTGGTGATGTGGCACCTACCAGGAATAGACCATTGGCCAATGCATCCCTGGCAGTTGATCTATCAGGGAGGTCGCTCGTAAAGTTAAGCCCAAGCATCGGGTACCTGCACAATCTCACCAAGCTGGACTTGTAAGTAGTATCCATTTATTTATCATCATCATCATCCACTCTCCCACTCACGCACGCTTGGTATACAAAGGTCCCACAATCAGATGACGAGCCTTCCCCGTACAATCGGGCACTTGCGCAATTTGCGCATTTTGGATACCTCGCACAACCAACTTGAGACTATTCCAGACACTATTGCATATATGACCAAGCTCACAGCACTCAACATTAGCCACAACCAACTTGTGACCTTACCCACATCCATTGGTCTATTACCAAAATTGATCGTTATCATTGCCAACGACAATCGTCTCACCAGCCTACCACGTGAGATTGCTCAATTACGGGGTCTTATTTCTTTGAATGTTTCCAACAACCCGTTGCCATGGATACCTGCAGAAATCGGCACTTTACAATCACTACGCAAATTGATTGCTGAAGGATGTGAGTTTGTGGAAGAGTTTGAGCACGAGTTACAACATGATCCACCATCCCTGTTTGAATTGTGCGCTCGTGCAGCAGTCCGTACCGAATTGCCCATTCCAAATCATATGGCCGATCACATCAAGGAGTATTTGGCACAGGCACAGACTTGTTCTTTTTGCGATGGTCCCTTTTTCGAATCCTACATCACGCGTGGTCGTTTTATTGAAAGATCAGGACGTCAAGTGGTTGCTCTTGAGTATCGTCTTTGTTCAGCTCATTGGAATGATGAATCGGATCGACTCAAGGCACTCTTTGCCCCTATTCCAAACACTGCTCCCAGTCGTCGTATCGCTGCTATTAGCAACATCAACAAAGATCTTGTCAACACGGATGGCCTGGAGCCAACCTTATCATCATCATCCACTTCTGCGTCATTGTCAACTTCACCTTCATCCTCTTATTTGTTACAATCACCTCGTCCAAGACGCGCATTACTTGGCAACCGACATCGTGCTTATAGTGATCTCAGCACACGTTCACGACAAAGATCCACATCACCCGCTCTCTCGTTATCATCATCCACATCATCTCAATTATCACGTCGCAGCAACTCAAGCACATCATTAGCTGCTGCACTTGGATCATTGCCATTGTCATCATCACCTTCGGAGATGGACGTTGTTTCCATTCGATCTCTTAAACGTCAACCAAGCTTACCAGCTTTGCCAGTGCCTGTACCCACCAAGAGCACAACCACTTGTTCTTCATCATCTCGACCACAACAACGCCAACGTCCAAGAGCTGCTTCAAGTGCATCCGTCACACGGCGTATCACTGGATTGTTATCATCTTCACCTTCACGTTCCTATAGCAACTCAGCTTTACGACAACAACCATGGAATGCTAGTGAACATTTGGAAGAGTTACATGAAACCACAGCAGAAGCCGAATCACCTGATTACACTCTTTCTTCTTCATCCTCCTCCTCCTCCCCCAATACTCCTCCTCCTCCTTCTCTTCATCCTCGCACAACCAGCCATGGTTCATCACTCCAAGTTGAAGAAGCATCTTCAAGCAGCAACAACAACAATATTCATGCATCGTCAACTCCGGTCCATATGCGCACAGGTGTTGCAAAGATACCCGTAACCAATGGCATTCGTGCCAGTCTTGCTCATCTTGGTGCCCGTTTTACCACCAGAGATAGAAGTGGCACTGTCTAAGTGTGTGTGAGAGTGTGCTTCCAAATAAAGTCGATTGTACATAGTATCCTGGTACATGTCTTATTTATGTCGTCAGCATTATTTAAGAGCTAACGTAATGCGAAGGTGTTGGGATGATTATACCCTTAATAAAGAACGGCATTGACATGAACATCCATTCGCCATGCTTGTCAACAAAGGCAAAGAAATGATAGATGAGCTAATGACTGACACAAGTTTTATGTAATGCGTTAAGTAATTGTATACAAGCTATGAATTTACAAAGGTGGTATCTACATGAGCAAGAGGTGTTATTATTCGATGGCATCGTGCTTGCGTTTGCGAGTAGTCGAAGGTAAGAAGCAAGGTGTCAGCGTTTGTGAGCTCTCGTCGGTATGTGATGATACTGGATGACGGCAATGATCATCGATAGCTGGGGATTGTTCTCGCTCGTTCATGCTTGATACAAATAAATACATGGTTTCTGCTATGCTCATGCCATCGATTATGTCGTCGTCGAAATCATTTTCCTCATCATTGTCATTGTCATCGTCATCCATCAACGCACCAATACCAAAATCATTTTCAATAAGGGCGTCAATTTTAGCATCCAAGTCATCCAAATCCATAATAGAGAGTATTGAATCTTTGTCCTCCTCCTCCTCATCATCGCTGTCGTCGTCAAAAATGAGATTGACAATATGCTCTGCGAGCACAAAGGTTTCGAGCTCTTCAAAAGTTTCCTGTATTTCCGATTTGGTTGGCATAACAAAGTGATAGAACAATGATTGGTATCTTTATTTTGGGAGAAGCCTCTTTATTCAAGATAATCACTTGCATAACAAACAAGTACCTCAAAAAGGTCTGTGAGTTGACATAAATGACTAGAGCCCTTACATTGGCCGATGATTTCATATGCCGAAGAACAGTGGATGTGCAGGAGTATAGTGATGAGCGACAACATCTTTAAAGTGTATGGTAGGCATGAGTATTTTTGCGATCACAAAGAACGATCAATGTTTGTTGCGAATGATGGCGGGCTAACAAGAAGAGCCTTGGTGTGATTGAACGTCCATCATCCACACACATGATAGCTGCCTGAGGAGGTGGTGGCGGTGAACATTTACGCCTTTGTACTACGTACATGTTTATCAATTTACTCACACAACTTCCTAGAACAAGGTCTTCTTTCATGAAATTTGAGCACAATAAGTGATCTGTGGTAGCAGAGGGATGGCATTGTTTGGTGAGGGTGGATATTCCAACCTTGGTGTTTATCATAGACCTTGATTTATGCATGGAATTCGATCATACTACCAGGGCTCTTTGGGAAGGCACCTCATCCTGTTGTATGCTTCGACATTCAATCACACCAAGGCTCTTTGTGTACATGCGCCCATTAATCTATCAGATCATCATCACCCAGCAAACATGAATGACTCACTCTTTCCTCCATTGTTTGATGATCACAGAAATACCCACGCCTACCATGTACATAAAACATATTGTCGCCCACCCTCGTACTCGTACACATTTCTTTCATTCATCATAACACTCTTTGATTGCTACATCTTCAATCCCCCAAGGTGATGTGTGTATCATGGTAGATAGTCTTTTCTATGAGTGATCCGTGTACTAATATTTGTCATGGTCTTCAAGTTTCATTCTTATCCTAGCACTTTCATTGTCATTGTTGTCATTGTAATATTGGCTCTTTATCAAGGTGAAATCTGATCATCTACATAGCATGATAAAGTACGTACTCATATTCCTTTTTGATCTACATAGCTACGTGTCATCGTCTACTATAGCCCGCATGGTGGTTGGCATAACGGTTTTCCAGACCCAGCAAGGGCAATGCCAAACATGGTGATCTAGTTGGCGGCAACGTGCACAATGCAATTCCATTTCCTTCCAGGACAATCAAGCGATCTTCTTCCTTTGCAAGTTTCTTGAGGAAGATGTTCCAAGACTTAAAAGGCCGTGCTTTGTGTCGCTTGATTTCTTGCAGCTCTTCTTCTGAAAAATGATCCTTCCAGACCTTATCCCATGGATCCAGAATGATTGATTGGCATGGACTATGAATAACCATTGATTTCAATAATCGCTCTCCTCTTGAGCCCATGCTTTTCTTCTGCTCATGGCTTCACTTGATAGCCGAATCCTCCATTCACCTTGGTGTCTGTGCTGAAGTCCATATTTGATCCTCATCGAATGCATCACTCGTTTGTGCAACCCTTTCCCGGTCGCTGGCGCTGGGATTTCATGTATAGGCTGACGGTGATGGCGATGCTTGTGTTGATGATGTTGGATAAGATTCACTGCCACTACGATCGTTGCATGATGACATCTCATTAGCTTACGTTGTCTAATATCAAGTTAGTTACAACATGCATCTGCATACCAGCCTCACGTTCAAAACACCGCATGCATTTAGAAATCCTTGCTGACCAGACGCTGCCATAGTCTTCCCATTCCCAACTGTTGCCAATTCCACTGCGTGTGAACAACGCTCCTGCTCCAGGTATTCATTTCCATGATTCAAGTGCCTTGACCCGGCTGATTGGACTGTGCTGGACCCAAGCAAAGAGTACAACAGTTGAGGTGACAATGCATGTGCGACACGCGATGAAGTCCTTGTCGTTTTTTCAAAACTTGGCAATCGGATTCGAAGTCTCAGTGCTCCTATGCCCAAATGTCTGTTCAAAGTACGTTTAGCGAGAGTCAAGAGTGAATGGATATAGGCTTACATTGTTGATATCGTGCGCTCATCCAAAGTAGGATTATGCAGAGTGACAAGGAGCAGCGGCATCAAGCGGGTAACTGGAAGCAGCATCACTTTTTCAGGCCCCGTGGCCATTGTCTCGTTAGCATACGGCGGTGAATGCAAGTATCGTGATCGAATGCTTATTTTCGTTGCTGGGACCGCCATGGCAACCGTTGTCACGCAAGCCTGGATCATTGTAATCCACATCTACCAGCGATCGACCAAGACATCAAACGATGCAATTCGTATGTATCGCTTGCAATGTGTAAGAATTTATGCTAATAATACTGTATTTACGGGTGCTGATATTATTTCTACCATAGTGCGAAGCTGGATATGCCTGAGAGCGAACTCGTTGCAATCATCAGACACTTGAAAGTAGCCCTCCGCTCCCATCCATTCACCCATCCTTTTCTACAACGACTGCCGACCTCCTCTTATTATGGTATGTGGGCTACTATTGCAGCAAGCTACTTGAATTTTGATGCCTTTGAGTTTTCAACGTTGCAGCTATCATTGCCAAGTATCCTTCTACGGGTTTGGAATACCGTTGACGGCGCAAATCTTATCGTGGGTGAGAGACCATATCAGGAGCGGCGTCCATATCTTTGGTGCCATCAACAAAGGATGGTCTGGTCGATGATCGATACCTGTTTTGATGCAGCTCACATCGATCCTGATGTAATAAGGTAATAGGATGATAGGTGATAAACGTGGGCAGTATACCTGATTATGTAAACGACAGTGGCGAAAAAACCAGCAAGGCTACATCCGAACGATTTAATAGTGGACGGACGCTTGCTGCTGTGGATGCAATGGATCAAACAAGAATGGAGTGAAGGTGGTCATGCTCTTTGCAACACAACAAATTGAATTGGGAGCTGTGGAAGCGAGTAGATTATACGACAAGTTGAGCACCAAATCAATCATCGAATCTGGATTCAAGTGCTCAAACACCTTGGAAGACGTGTTGGTAGCTATAGAAAGACTTCACCAAATCGGAAGGTGTGGTTTTTTGTTGCTGGTTTGTGCCATACACCTACATAATGAATAACTAAGAGCTGACAGGATATAAATATAGGCACTTTACTCCAATGAGTGATCATGGATTCGCCTGCTGGATATGTCTCTCGCATCAAAAAGCTGCCTGACTGGTTGAGTTTGCGTGCCCTGGATATTGATGAGTGTTGACGAGTGTTGGCGAGGACGAGGACGAGTACGAATGATGATGGACGGCGACTACGACGATGGTGGTGGCAATGTACAGTACATAGCAAGATAGCTAGATGAAATAAAGCATTGTTTATTTATTACACACTTGTTGGAGGTTGCTAGCTTGTGGATTACATACTATTGCTTCCAAGTTGAAATAATAAAGGTGGTCCGGTTATCGGTCATGCAAGAAGTAAATAGGTTTTGCGATACAATAAGGAGGACTGGGAAGTGGGATGACCTTGAGAAGAGAAAACATGAAGTGATCCCTCCATTGAGTTTCAGGATGAATGATCCAACAACATGTATACGTATCTTTTTCATGTACAAATTGGTTCATGCAGCTCGACTTTCTCCTATGTATATGCAAATGTGATACATACATTGACACACCCTCACTATTGGATGTTGTATGCTTACTTACCTTCCTCAAGGCAATCATGATCATGATCCATTTGTGCAACAACCTGTCAAGGACGTTCGTGGGTAACTACCACGTGCCATTACACTCAGCAGCTCTTCATCTTTCTGTTCATGCAGCCGATACCACTCACTACGAAAAAGCAACTCCATCACGCTTACAACATAGTAAAAACATAAAGACGCCTGTATCTCCAAACTTTACAATCAAACGTGGGCCCTTTAATAGATCAACGTGCTTGTCGGGGTCAAAGGAATCTTGTGTCAAAGTATGAAGTTCATCGTGGGCAATCCCAGATTTCGCAATGTCGCCACCAGCTAAACTAGATCCGGGGGTCGACCTCTTCGACGACGACGACCAAAAAAATATTTTTTGGGCTAGTTGCGACATTGAACGTGAAACTTTCACACAAGGTGCTGTTGGCCAAGCCGAGCCCATTGCCCTAATAAAAACCCCACGTTTCATTGTAAAGTTTGGAGATACAGGCATCTTTATGTTTGTAAGCGTGATGCTATATGAGAAGTGGTCTTTGTTTAATGTAAAGTAGTATGACCCTGGAGAGCCAAAGATGCAGAAGGACCTCTTTGGGTAACTCAGCTAAAAAGTCAGGACTTCAGGGACAATGCATGATAGGTACGCAACCCTCACTTTTATGTCATACATTGGCAGCTAATAGCCACTTTTGTGCATTCCCAACTTTTGTGCATTCTATTGTAGGTGGACGATGCTCCTGCTCTAGACATTCATTTCCATGATTAAAGTAGGTTGATCCGAGTTGATTTGGTTGAGTTACGCTCACACAAGATTACATCGGTTGAGCTACATCGAGCGTGCTTGATGTCCAGAGTGATGTAATCTCTCTTTGACCATAGCTCAGTCAAATCAGCTCGGATCAACCTACTTTAATCATGGAAATGAATGTCTAGAGCAGGGGCGTCGTTCCCATGCAGTGGATCTCGCAGCAATGATGATTGGATAAAAGTGGCCGTTAGCTAGCAATACATGCCTGTTCCTAGATGATCCATAAAGTAATTATATATTGACCCTTTCATTCATGCAAACGTAGCTGTGTTACACAACACGACCCTCTGCATCTTTTGCTCTGCCAGGGTCCACCTACTTGACAATGAACAGAGACCACTCTTCATATAACACTGGGGCTAAAAAATATGGGTTCAAAATGAAGCAAATCTGGTATATGTGCCACATATGAACTTGAGCAGGTTTTTCCAGATTTATAGCAGACAGCAATTGAAGATATG